GTCTGGATCGTCAAGCTTCATCCTGCCTGTCCACTGTATCCCGTGCATTCCTCCAGATGTTGACGTCTTCATTATCCAGTCGATCACCAGGAGAAAGAGAAAGAGTGAGAGTATGCAACCTTGCCTTACACCGGCCTTTACTTCAAACGAGTCGGTGAGTTGTCCTCCGTGGACGATTTGGCAGTTTAGTCCATCATAGGAGTTCCGTATGATATCGACTATCTTCTCAGGCACGCCGTAGTGTCGAAGAAGCCTCCATAGTGTCGTCCTGTCCACGCTATCAAATACCTTCTCGTAGTCGTTGAAGTTGATGTAGAGTGATGAATTCCATTCGATTGATTGTTCCACAATGATACGTAGAGTTGCGATTTAGTCTGTGCACGATCTCTATCCTTACGAAATCCAGCTTGTTGATCTCGAAGTTGGGCATCCACGGAATCCTTCATCCTGTTTAACAATACTCTTTTGAAGACTTCCTGGTATTGAGAGAAGAGTGATGCCCCTGTAGTTGTCGCACTTGCTGAGATCGCCTTTCTTTGGTATCTTGATCAGAAGTCCTTTTTTCCAGTCTATTGGTACTTGTTCTTCATCCCAAATCTTACTGAAGAGGATGTGGAGTATCTTGGCTGTTGCTGCTACATTTGCTTTCAGTGCCTCTGCTGGGATGTTGTCTGGTCCCGCTGCTTTGCCGCTCTTGATTTGTCTAATGGCCATGCTGATCTCTTCAATTGTTGGTGGGCCAACATCGATTGGGAGGTCTGTGGGTGCTGCTTCGATGTTGGGTGGGTTCAGTGGAGCTGGTCGATTCAAGAGTTCTTTGAAGTGTTCTACCCACCTGTTTCGTTGTTCTTCAATGTCTGTGATTACTTTGCCTTCCTTGTTTTTCACTGGTCTTTCTGGCTTACGGTGATTTCCAGCAAGTTTCTTTGTTGTATCATACAGTTGTCTCATGTTTCCCTCTCTTGCAGCCTTTTCCGCTGTCATTGTTAAATCTTCCACATATTTACGTTTGTCGGTTCTGATGCTCCTCTTCACTTGCTTGTTTGCCTCTGTGTATTCGGCTTGTGCCTTGGCTTTTTCCGCTCTTGTTCGGCTGATATTGATTGCTGCCTTCTTGCTCCTCCTTGCTTCAATCTTATCCAGTGTACCAACAGTGATCCATTCCTTGTGATGGTGCTTCTTTTGGCCCAGAACCTCTTGACACGTTGAAATGATTGCCTCCTTGATACCTTTCCAGTTGCTCTCCATGGTAGTCCTTGGTTGGGCACTTCTCGACGATCGACTGCAGCCTATCGTAGAATTGGTCTTTAGAGTCTTCATCGTAGTCATTGGTAGGCGCATAGCATTGGATGACGTTCATTGTAATGCCCTCTCTCCTTGTTCTGAAGGAAGCTTTGATGATCCTTGGTCCATGAGATTCCCATCATATAAGTGCATTTTGTGCTTTTCTGGACAGCATCAATGCAACTCCTTGTGTATGTGGGGCATTTTCTTCTTCATGACCGGAGTATAACAGAAGTTCTCCTGAAGACAGTCGTTGTTGTCAACAAATTGGTTATAGGAAGCACAATATTTCGACACAAACGCATACACAAAGCTACATGGATCTCACCGGACCACACCACAGAGAACCAGATAGATCATATTTGCATCAATAAAATGTTCAGAATGTCAATGAAAGACGTGAGAACCAGTAGAGGAGCTGACATAGATTCAAAGCACAACTAACTGGTGGTTGACGAGATGAAACTAGAACGAGAAAATCACTGAACAACTGGGAGAACAGCATTACAAAGGTTAAATGCATCCTACTTTCGACATACTGAAAAAGTCGAAATAACTCTTAACAATAGGTTCCAAGCTCTACAGGATCTATCGAAAGAAATTGAAGAAGATCATTAGAGCTTACAAGCGAAAAAACATGGGGTAACTAGCAACGACCACGGAAAAAGCTGCAAGAGAAGGAAATATGAAACAACCATATGATACAACGAAGAAACTAGCAGGGAGAGACTGGTCAAGTGCAAAGAAGGATAGACAATCACGGAGATTCAAGGACAAGGGAAAGATGGGCGGAATTCTTCGAGTCACTGTTGAATAGGCCAGTCCCATGGAATCCTTCGGAGATGGAATCAGCACACACTGACCTACCCATAGATGTCACTCCACCAACGATGGAACAAATCAAGATGGCCATCAGACAAGTGAAGAATGGGGAAGCAGCAGGAATTGACAAAATACCAGCTGAAGCACTGAAGTCAGACATTGAAGTAACTGCAAACATGCTTCACCTTCTATTCAAGAAGATTTGGAAGAAGAAAAAGTGCCATTGACGAACTGGGAAGAAGGACATCTCATCAAGATACTAAAGAAAGGAGATCTGAGCAAATGTGAGAATTACAGAAGCATCAGTTTGTTATCAGTACCAGGAAAACTTTTCGACAGAGTGCTGCTGAATCGGAATAAAGACGCAGTAGACGCCCAACTTCGAGATCAACAGGCTGGATTCCGTAAGGATCGGTCATGCACAGACCAAATTGCGACACTATGGATCATCGTGTAACAATCAGTTAAGTGGAACTTGTCACTGTACACCAACATCATTGACTATGAGAAGGCGTTCGACAGTGTGAATAGGAGAACATTATGGACAGTACTTCGACACTATGGAGTTCTTGAGAAGATTATCAATATTATCGAGAACTCACACGACGAACTACAGTTCAAAGTGGTGTATGTAGGACAGCTGACAGATTTATTTTCAGTAATGACCGTAGTCAAACAAGGAATCTCACTCTCCCCCTTTATCTTTATTCTGATGATCGACTAGATTATGATGACCTCGACATGTGAAGGAAAGCATGGAATACAGTGGACCTCTCAGAATCAGTTAGATGATTTGGACTTGACAGATGACCTAGCCCTCCTATCCCGTACACACGAACAAATACGAACGAAGACAACTAATGTAGCAGCAGCCTCTGCATCAATAGGCCTCAACATACACAAAGGGAAATGCAAAATTCTCAAATACAACATAGAGAACACCAACATAATCACATTTAATCGAGAAGTTCCGGAAGATGTGAAAACATTCACGTACATGGACAGCAGCATCGTTGATGAACAAGGAGGATCTGATGCAGATGTGAAGGCGAAGATTGGCAAAGCAAGGATCGCATTCCTACAACTGGAGAACATATGGAATTCAAAACAACTGTCGACTAACTTCAAAGTGAGAATCTTCAATACGAACATCCAGACAGTTAGTCCTACTGTATGGAGCTGAAACGTGGAGAACTACTACGGCCATCATCAGGAAAGTACGAGTATTCATAAACAGCTGTTTATGCAAAATACTCAACATCTATCGGCCGGATACCATCAGCAACAGCGTTTTATGGGAGAGGACAAACCACCTTCCAGTTGAGGAGGAAATTAGGAAAAAACGTTGGAAGTGGATCGAATATGCGTTAAGGAAATCACCAAACTGCATCACGAGGCAAGCCCTAACTTGGAATGGTGAATGGAAGCGGAAAAGAAGAAGGTCAAAGAACACATTACGTCGAGAAATAGAAGCAGGTACGAAAAGGATGAATGTTAACTGTAAAGAGTTGGAAAGGATTGCTTAGGACAGGGTTGCATGGAGAGTGCTGGTGTGCGGCCTATGCTCCTCCATGAGGGGTAACAGGTGCAAGTTAGCAAGTTAGTTACTAGACTCATTTGGTGAAAAGTACTTCTACTTTGCCCAAAAGCACCTAAACTACCTGACCCATGTCGATAATACAGCGACATAAACTCTATGAACTAGGAGCATTAGTGGACAAATTAAGACCACTTATTGTATCTCTGACTGAAACTTTGTTAGTCTGTGACTTCGATGTCGCCCCGAAATTATCCGGATACCACTGCTTAGGAGGTGAGAGACATAGATGCAGGAAAGGTGGCGTCCTTCTATTCATAGGCAATAATATAAATATCCGCTCCTCTGTTTGCGAATCCCATGATAGTCATTAGCTGTGAGCTCACTGCCAGATGTTGTACAATTGTACTTGGTGTCATATACCGCAGCCCAATTGCCTTAACTTATGACTTTAGTTTAGAGCGCATTAAGCTATGGAGCGCAAAAAACAGATGCTTGATATTAGGAAACTTTAATGTACCTGACATTAGTTGAACTAAGATGACCACGGAAGGATCCATCAACTCCTTTAATAGTAGGATCCTGGTAACAGTAATGGAGCATGCATTAGTACAGTAGGTATCCAAAATCACTCGTTTCGGTGTAAACCGAGGTTCTTCTCAGTTATACTTGGTAATCACTCCCGCGACTGAGGATATTGCCAACCTAAATATTCTTCACCGTTAGTGAATAGCGATCACCCTTTTTTGTCATTCACGTTTATAGCTAGTGACATGATTAAGCCTCGCCCAAATGCATGGAGAGCTAACATATTAACCATTCAGGAGTATGTTGCTAAGACAGACCGGTCAGTAGATAGTAGCTCATCAGTTGAAGAAGCATAGTCTATATTTAAAGGCAAGTCTATTTCAGTCACGTCCTCGTTCATACCATACCTGGTACCAAGTAGACCGAATAATAGTCCACCATGGATAACTAAACAAGTCAAGAAACCTCTTAGAAGTAGGAGGAAGTACTGGAATATGTCCATCTCTACTGGCTTAGGACAGTTTGTAAGATTAGAAATACTTGTAAAGCGTCAATTAGTAAGATCAGACGGTCATATGAAAGAACAATTGGTTGGGGATTGTAAATATAGTCTGAGACGGTTATTCTCGTATATAAAGAGGCGAACACAGAGAAGTTATGAAATCCCATCACTTTTGGTGCAAGAAAATCCGTTAGTTTTGGCAAGAAACGATATCGAAAAAGCTGAAGCTTTATAGGAATATTTCAGCAAAGTGTTTTCTGTCAGTAATGAGGAGAGACCACTGAAATGTAACAAACTGCAAGGATTAATAAAAGACCTCCTATCCTTATTACTGAATACTGAAAACTGACCCGCGTTTTTAAATTAGGCAGCTTTCGGACTCGGTGACCGTGGGGCGTATCTGCTCATTTCGAGGTGATCGAAGTGCTAATGCATATTTGTACCTGATATAAAAATATCTTAGACTTGTTAAAAAACATTTTCTCATGGTTTTTTGCCTACATGACCTGTATTTACATGAATCTTGTTTCATATATTTTCAAAAGTGAAGTCTTGTGGTTCAGGAAACACATATTTGTATCTGAAGTTACACAGTATGTTTTCATTCATGACAGCTCCATGTGCTTATTCGTAATTCTTGACTTCATGTGGGGCAACTTTTGGTTTAACGCTAAGTTGTACAACTCTAATCCCCACTAATTAACGTTAATCACTGAGAATTATAGTTGTAAGCCGAGTTAAGTTTAACTTATTATCGACGCACCAGTAAGAACATTCGAAATATTTTCTCGGGTTCCAATGTTGGAACTGTGTTTATAGAGAGCAAGAATGTTTCATTTGTCTAGGTTCTTGCAGTGATGTATAACATGTAGACAGCTACTCATCTCCGTTACCATAATTTTGAATAGCATCCTGAAAGTGATGTACAAGATGTTCGTCAACTTATGTTAATTGGTGACTTGCTTACACTGTTCCTACACGGACTAAATAAAATTTCCGATTATCACCATTAGTCGTTTCGATGTAGATGTAGAACATTAACCGGAAGACGTGTTTACATTCTCCACTGAAAAATGTGTTTCTAAACAAGCAACTTGGTAGTTGATAGCTTTTTGTTAGATGGAATCTTTTTGTTAGAGTACGATTTATTTTTAGATTCAGCATCATTGCATGAATTCAGCTGTATGAAGTCTTGACAAATTCAGTTATGTTCTGCCAGCTTAAACTGTGGTATGTTTAGTGGCTTTGTCCAACAACTGTTCTCGTAGCATAAAGTCTGGTAAAAAATCATCAAATTATGATTATAGTGTGTTTACAACAGGCAACTTTTCAAGTGAAGTTGGTGAGCCAAATTCACCATCTAAACCGTTTTAATATTCGACCTTTAACTGTTGTTCAACAGATTTGATAAGTCACTGTATCTTTAAACCTGGCACAATTATAATTCAAAACTCAGGAAACAGATAAATTGGTTTGAATTGACTTCATTTTCATTGGCATAAACGTACATCTGTGTCTTTCATTTAGGGGCTTTTAGGATATCTCGGTTTCTCTTACAGTAGATAAAAAAATACAGATCGGTGGAACTAATTACAACATATTAAATCGGTATATCCGAGTAAAAAGGAATTAACAGTATCTAAAACTCGAATAAGGTGATAGTTCACTTGCGCAGTTTAGCTAAAACGGTTGGTCCAGTACTCATTCGTTTTGGGTGCTAAGAAATGTGTCCGTGTGCATCTTACAGTTTGTTGCCTTCTCGAGTCATCCTCTCCCGTCTATTTCTTAATCAAAGGATAACCTTTTGTGTAGATATTCATTTTTCTGCCTGTAATATTCTGTACGTTTATTCTCTCTATATAATTCAAGGTTGAAGTATGCTGCCCTTACGAGCTTTGAAGACTTGGCGACTTCAGCATATCACTCGGAAATGTTTATATACTTCGGCATTATGCTGTCAAAACCCTACCTCCAATGAACCGTTTTTAAATGGAACTTCATCCAACTATTTAGAAGACATATATGAAGCATGGCTTCGAAACCCTGATAGTGTACACAAGGTATTCAGTCAAGCTTAATAATAACAGTTAGTCATGGGACATTTATTTTAAATGTTTAGCTTCTGGAGCTGCCCCAGGAAATGCTTACGTTCAACCACCTACTTTGGGTAAAGAAGGTTTGAAATTGGCACACTTAGCCCCACAAATCACTGGACGGACAGTAGTACCGAGTCTTAAGACCATCGAAGACCACCTCTCTGTTCAGGCTATAATCCGTTCGTATCAAGTGAGTCCAATAGCTTAAATTTTATTGTTGTATACGTTTAGGATATTTTTTTGCGCTTATTGATTAGTATTTCACATATAATCACTCGGCATTCTGTGAATGTGAACAGTTTTGTGTTGGCATTCAGTAAGTGTATGTAAAAAATTTTCAATGAATATGAAAGTTCACCAATAATCGTATCATTCACGGTCACCTAATTAAAAACTTTAGACCTGAACCGCTAAAGCGTTAGTAAAGAAGTTGTTACAGAAGCAAATGTTTTATAATATACATTTTGAAGTCCTACTTACTCAAATGAATCTGGAACAATACGAAGTGCAATTGCTAGTAGTAATTTAGTTGTTTTTTCTACTGCCTTCGATAAGCTATCAAAACTTTGACGTAAATCTAACTGAAGTTACTCAACATCTATCTTCCCTTACCATGACACTGAGATAAGCAATCGTATATCAGGTAAGTATACACCACGTCATCGTTTTCTACAAACGTAGTTATTGAAGATGTAGGATAAGAAGACTAGTTATCTTCAGTTTCAAATGACTGCTTTTGACTAAGTAAACTATAACTCAACTAACACCCATCCCCCCATTATTATTATTTATTGGTACAAAGAGCACCAGATACATATGCGCCACACAAAATAATGAGAATGGGAGGAGGAGGAAGATGTGTATATATAAAAGAAGGAAAAAAAGGAAAGGAGAAGAGTAATGATGGGGGGAACTGAAATGTACAACCAGAAGAGCTCTCTCAGTTAGGAAAGTTATAGCCACTCTTTATGAAGAAAATAAAAGAAGGTTACAGCAGGCACGCCACTGGCTTCTATTCTGAGCCATATTTGATAACGTCTCTAGCCACTGTGTTGCACCATCTCTCGGACCCCAGCCAGGGAGTCGTGAAGGACCAACAGAAGCCAGCTCTTTTCAGCTTTCATGCCACGACACCATGTCATACACTGACCTCCTCTCTGCTTTTTCCAACCACTCCCAGAGTCGGCAAATAATGCACGACGTGGAATTCTCTGGGACGACATTCGTAGAACATGTCCAAGCCACCGAAGTCGGTGTTTCAAGATGGTGACACCAATTGAATTATCGTCTCTGCGCCCGAACACACGATGCCGAACCTCTGCCACTGTATGTCAGCAATCCTTCGGAGACAACGATGATCGAACACAGAGAGACGTCTAACATCTTCAACTCGGAGAGGCCAGGTTTCACAAGCATAGAGCAAAACTGCTCTCACTGACGCGTTGTAGATCCGACCTTTTACAGCCAGACTAACATCACAAGGCGCCAAAGATGGCCCAGATTGGCATAAGTTGCTCTGACTTTCATAGTACGTGCATCAATCTCATCACTCATACCACCACTAGCTACCTAGATACACGAACTTCTCAACTACTTCAACCTGCTCACCATCCAGGGTGAGTACAGGATGAGAATCCTGCCAGTCTTGTAGGAGTACTTTGCACTTGGAGGGTGCAAAGCACATGCCGTACCTGCGGACACTGATTGCCAACTGATTAAGTGCGGATTGCATGCTTTGGGCATTATCGCACAGTAAGACAATGTCATCCGCATACTCGAGGTCGAGAAGTCGTTCTCCAGGCAACATATCCACACCGCCATTACTTACATCCATCAGAGCTGTTTCCAGGATGTTGTCGATGGCAAAGTTGAAGAGGAATGGTGAGATCGGGCAACCCTGTCTAACCCCACTGCTCGAATGAAACAAGGAAGAAAGGTGGTTGTATGCCTTCGCTCTGCCTGAGGTGTTCGTATACAGGGCCTTTAAGATGTTAATGAACTTCTCAGGCACACCCTTCTTCAATAGACAATCCCAGAGAACAGTCCTGTCCAACGAATCGAAGGCAGCCCTGATATCAAGAAACACTACGATTGTTGGCCTGCGATAAGTATGACGGTGTTCTAACATTTGGCAGAGGGTGAAGATATGATCAATGCATCCTCGACCAGAACGAAAACCAGCCTGTTCTTCGCGAGCCAATCGTTCTCGGGTTTTAAACAACCTACGAAGAATGATAGAAGCCAATAGTTTGGACGCAATCGGAAGTAGACTTATCCACCGATAGTTGTTACAGGAACAACGTGAACCCTTTTTAAAGTTAGGGACGACTATCGACTCATTCCAGATTGTTGGAACACTTTCTTGCTCCCAAACCTTTGCAAACAACGCAGTCAGTTCCTTAGTCAGAAAGTCACCATCATCTTTAAAAAGAGCCGGAGGTAAGTCATCTGGGCCCGGTGATTTGTAACGTTTCAAGAGTTGGAGTTCCTTGCGGACTTCCGCCTCGTTTGGTGGATCAGTCGTCACCGGCCGTGGGGGGCAGGATGAACTGGTTGATGTTGTCGGAGCAGCAGGCCAGTTGAACTGCCCTTCGCTGAATTCCGCCCATCGTCCAAGACGTCGAGAGATGTTAGTGATTGGCATCCCGTCATTTTCACAGATTGTTTCACTCACACCAGACTTGCTGCTAGTGGCTCGGATGAGTTGGAAGAGCTTTTGGCAGTTACCAGATACAGCTGCTGCTCCCATCCCATTAGCACTCTCCGACTACCAGGCTTCTCAGTCCTTACGCAAGCTTTGCACAATTTCATTACGTAACAGCCTTCGTTTGTGGTCAAACTCACGGTCACCTTGAGTAGACCGACGGGCTTCTATCAGTTGAAATGAGCCAGAAGAAACCCAGTGCTTGTAAGCGGGACGTTTCGCGAAGCCGCAAGCGACCTTACTCGCCACTTTCATGGCGTCGTGAAGATGCAACCAATGCTCATCTATACTTTTCGGTGGTATGGTAGCTAGCCTAGAAGCTAGCTTCGCTCGATACTTACTTGCAACAGATGTTGCAGCCAGTTTACTAACATCGATCCGTTGGTGGTGGTGCCTGGGTGCCCAACCTGTGCATTCAAGTCTTCGGCTTGTACTACAATATCTGTCGAACGCGCTTTCTGGAGAAGAACTGTTAACTGGTGGTAAAACTCATCCTTGATTGCATCCGGGCTGCAATCTGTCGGGGCATAGGCGGAGATGACGAAAAGACACTGTTTCTCACGCCGATTTCTTTCTAATCTAACAGCACATAACCGACTGTTAATGGGGATCCAGTCGATTAGTGTTGTCTCAGCTCTAGCGCTTAGTGCGTCACCAACGCCTGCAAGACCAGACGAGGATGCCACAGAGTCCCCGGATAAGCGCACGTGAAACAAGCTTTTCGAAGCGATAGATGGAGAGCGAATTTGTAGTACTTCACTAGTCTTGAATACGGGTCTCGGATAGACAACAAACGTCAACATTAAGACCTTCCAAAGACATAGCCAGCCCTATCTGTTGTCTGGTCTGCATTAGTGTGCAAACGTTGAAGGAAGCCAGCTTGAACGGCGTTCGTGGTTTCAGAAAGACTGCTTCAGTATTCGTTATCGGTGGAAGCATTCACTTTCGACCAAACAGCGACTAGAGATCGTTTAGATGGAACAGAGTTTCCACCATGGGCGAGCTGCATCATAAGTTGAAAAGTAAGGTTACACAAATTGGGGATAAAAGGGGGTGAATTAGTGATATGGTAAATAATAATAATAATAATAATAATAATAATAATAATAATAATAATAGTGTAAATTGTCTTGCTTCTAGTATGAGCGAGAATAGTATCGTCAATAGAATTCATCATTTCATTTATTTGTGTGGGGCTGTGATACTGCCCAGGTGCCCAAACCGAAGCAGGTGGTTTTCTTAGGGGGCCACACCCCGAGCCTTTGACCTAAAGGTCTAGTCCACAAGGCAGTGAAGCATCGTAAGGAGATGCAGTCCCATGGTAGCCGTTGACGAACGATAGGTTCATTCGCCATTCGTTCCATCAGGATACTGGATCCCATGTGCACCATTAGTTTGGAATTAGGGTTTTCCAACTCCCCTAGGTGGATCCTTCATATCCACCAACCCGGTTAAAGCGCCGGACATTCGCTTTACGTCTTTTCACTTTCGTAAACAACACCCACGCCACAACATCCTTCCATAGGTTGCATGTAGCCAGATTTTCTTACTTTCGTTCATAAAAATGTATACAGTCAATTTGCGCGCTTTGTATTTGAACATGCTCCCGAATCGCTATGTTATTGTCGTAAACTTTTTCTCCCTTAGAGATGTCCAAAAAGATATCCTGAATAGTAATAATTTTCATGAAGAAATATCCCATCGAGATTACCGAACTATAATTTACTTCTAGGCATTCACGTTCTGCTTTTGTAAAGAGCAGTTACTTTTAGACTCCATTGTTTTCTACACTTCACTTTGTTATTATCTGGTGCACATCTATTATTGTGCGCTTTCTTTCGGTAGATTAATACTTCTTGTCATACATTTCGTCTTCCTAAGATATATCACTACTTAACAGAGGTCTGGATTCAGTTGGGGACGCAGTGTGCCACACAAAACACTGTGAAGAAATACAGGGAATATCCTCCAGTAAAATTTGCGACAGTGTTAAGAAGAAATAGACAAAGAGGAGTAGGAGGATTGGATTTGAGAAACGCAGATATTTACTTACACATTTAAGCAGGTCGATGGACAACCTCGTACTTCAACTTTGAAGAACTGATTCGACCCTTAAAGCTCTGTTTAGATTTTTGGTGTGGAAATCATCTGTGTTCCTTCTGATAGCTACAACAGTTCGTCTAGCTTTCTAGCGAGCAAAACACTTATTCTAGTCGCTAAATCAGTTTTTTTTAAAGGTGAAAATCTTATGGCTTGTAGAAATAAATTGTTATTGAGGCTTGAAGATCGCTACGATAGTCGTTTTAGACATTAATTCATCTCGAGCTTTTAGGGCGATAGCCTTTACTCCTTTTAGCATTATAAACATCTGGTTGCATTTATTCACCTATACTTTGTGAAACGTAACGAAGTCAGATAGTTTTTGCTGGACCAAATAAATTTTGGTAAGTCCACAAATATCGTATATTGTGTTGATACTTGACTAAACGTTTGAAGCGTTATTCAGTCTCTAGGTCATCGCATCGCCGATCTTGACCCATTGGGGATATTGTCTGCCGATCTGGACGATTCTATACCCCCCGAGTTGTCGTTGAGTTTCTACAACCTTGGTAGGTTGATCTTAAGAGTGGTTTTACTTATCTTTGAACGGTTTTATTTTTGCCATATTTTGTATTGATTTTTCACGTGTCTCGTATGTATTAGATGCGTGGTCATCTTGCTGCGCATCTAGATCCTCTAGGTATTACGTCTCCAGAGCCTGGCATAGCCAGATACATTGTTTATCAAAGGTACCTAGGTGATAAAAGTAAGTCTGTTAGATATGTTAGGTCAACGTTGTGCAGTCTTAGTTTGTAAATTTGTTTAAAGTTGTTTTGTGTCCGTATGATCTCTTATTAATGAAAACGAAAATATTGCATACGATTCGACTGTTTACACTTATCATACATGTTGTGTTTTAAATATCGCCGGATATTATGAAAAGCATGCTTTTTCTTTACTGTGAAGATGCATCATCCTGATAAATGCTAAGCAGAGACTGTAATTTTAGGTATTTCAACTGCTTATTCCAAATATTTAAACAAGCATCCCGAATTTGTTTGTTCGAAAGCTTATTATTACTGTTCACGCATACCAAAACTTTGGAATCTAGGTTTGTGTTTCGGGTTGGGTTTTGTAGGTCGACTCTATTAGATGTAATTTGGTTTTTTAAAATAAATAGTCTAATTTTACTTTCAAAGTACACTATTCATGAGTTCAGAAGTGAAGGCTAATATTTAAAATCGTCAGTTTGTTGTACTTTCGCCTCGATGTTGTCATATAGGTGCATGCTGTGAATGGGAGTTAATTTTGTTTATTTTCTTTTGGGCAAATGTTTGAACAATCATTATTCGTAATTGTCACTAATTTTAATCAGTCTTTTGCTGTTTGCAGGCGAGCCCGATCTGGATAAGACGTTTAGGCTCCCACCTACCACACATATCGGAGGTGATAAGCAGGAACTTACTCTACGAGAAATCATTAAGCGTTTAGAGGTAGGTTTTCAGTAACGTTATTTTGATGTATAGTCATAGCTTTCGATTCTGGATTGGTATTTTTATTATTTGAAATTATATATCTTGGTAGTTCGATAACTAATAGACTTAAGTTTTGTTGTTCAAACGAGGATCTTTTTCAAGTTACACATAATTACGATAAAAGCCATATGGTTAAGAAAGGATCTTGTGTGGCTTCTTCACTCATATAAACGTAAACGTAGGTAATAAAAGGTTTTCTAGTGAATTCGTTCAAGCAAATAAACTGTTGATTATTAAGGAATCTTTTAGATGTAAAGTAATTTTGGTTCATTTAATCAAAATCCGTCTACGATTCAAAAAATTATTGGTTTTTATATATGGTCAGTAATAATAAAACTTTTTGAGTTTTTTTCGGATTAAAATGGACTTTTACAATCTTTATTAACAAGTTCATTTGTGATTGATTTTAAATTTTTTTTTCTAGTTTTGATATATTATCGTGACAAAACTTTTAAACCATTGAGCTGTCAACATTTTAAGCTTATATTCAGGATGATGTTTAAATTCAATGAAGATTGAATTTTGTGAAGTCATAACTCTTTTACTGGTTTTATCTTGTTTCTGAAATATTGTCATATTAATTTTAGGATGTTTACTGCAAACATATTGGTATTGAGTACATGTTCATTAATAGTTTAAATAAATGTGATTGGATAAGACGAAAATTTGAAACACCTGGTTCAATGAATTTATCGTCTGAAGAGAAACGTTTAATATTAGCTCGTCTTGTCCGTTCAACGCGTTTCGAAGCATTTTTAGCAAAGAAATGGAGTTCAGAAAAACGTTTTGGACTTGAAGGATGTGAAGTGTTAATACCAGCAATGAAAGCTGTTATTGACTCTTCGTCTGCTCTCGGTGTTGAAAGTTTTGTAATTGGAATACCACATCGGTTAGTTCTTTTACTATTTTATTAGACTGTCTTTGTAGACTGCTGAATACGTGTATATTTCTCAAGGAAATTGTTATTAGTTGTTACTGTTTATTGGTCCTTCTCAAGGGAATGAATTGCTCTCGATGTTTTGATTAAACTACAATAATTAGTTTACTGATTATTACGAAACACTAGTTGCTACCTTGTCATGGTCATGACTACGTGACAATACTTATGTATTTAAGTCATATTGGCTTGAATACTTCAGTTTTCATCAGGTTGTTTAAAAAAACATTTTATGACATTCAGCATTCACTGTTATAGTATTAATAAGTATCCTATTGTGGTGGAGAATTATACCGTTGACATACATTTACAAGGAAGATGATTAACTAACTATTATTTATTTATTTAAACACATAAATATTGGTACAAGGAAGCACCAGATAAATATGCGCCTCACAAATCTCATTTGATTTGTGTGAGGGCTGTGATACTGCCCAAGTGCCCAGACTGAAGCAGGTGGTTTTCTTAGGGGGCCACACCCGGAGCCTTTGACCTGAAGGTCTAGTCCACAAGGCAGTGGAGCATCGTGAGGAGATGCAGTCCCATGGTAGCCGGTGACCAACAATAGGTTCATACGCCATTCGTTCCATCAGGATACTGGATCCCATGTGCACCATTAGTTTGGAATTAGGGTTTTCCAACTCCTCTAGGTGGATCCTTCATATCCACCGACCCGGTTAAAGCGCCGGACATTCGGTTTTCGTCCTCTCACTTTCGTGAACAACGCCCCCGTCACGAGAAGGCAGTGAGTAGGACTTCCCTGGCAGAGGCTATATATTCGCGTGGCCATGTGAGAGCATTTCGAGAGGGAAAGTGGACTCTCTCCACTCTCGGCTGTACCAGGGCATTTGGGGGCGATTAAGTAACTAGTTGTTATTCTTTTAGTACTCGTTAATTATGAAGACTTAAATCTATTAGTTTATTGCAATACATTGGACATGCATGAGACGTTTGTACTAAAATTAATTGTCGGATGTGTACAAATATTGTATACTAGAGTGTAAAATATCAGTCTACCTTTTTAATGATTATTTCAAATCTCAACTTAATTTTATTAACCATAAGGTGTTCCATCCGAAATTCATGAAATTAACAATTATTTATGAATAACTTTGTAGAATGTAATGGAGCTGTGAACAAATGACATTAGTTCAAATGTTGGAAGCTAATTAATACAGGTATCTCTTCTAATTTAATATATTCCATCATCCATAGATGTTCAAGTTTGTTACTAAACATATGATAGCAACGCAATCTGTATTCTTATGTTAGCTTATTCGTACAGTTAGTTTATCCATACCGTCAAAATGATTATGAACTTATATAAATGTTATGAAAAAGTTATAAACAGTTTGAAGCAATTAGTCCCTTTAGTAAATTTGGATATTGTAATAAGAAGACATAGTTCAGATAACCTTTGTCTTCTTATTACACTATAAACGGTTTGTGAACTCTATAACGTGCCGCTATACTTTTTCTTTACTATTCTCAGTATTATTTCTATTTAAGCCAGTACTATTGTAACATTTTTCCCTAACTTATTTGTTATGTGATGTATTTGTCTTTTTTTAAATAATACTTTTGCTTTATGCTTATCTCAAGATTGATTGCATTTATGTAAGCACTTGTAAATAATCGTTTAAATATTTTCGTTAGTTTATCATTTCTCCGGGTTTTTTTTTCTAGTGGAAGGTTAAACGTTCTAGCCAACGTTTGTCGTAAGCCTTTGGATGATATATTTTGTCAGTTCGACTCTAAATTGGAAGCTTGTGACGAAGGTAGTGGTGATGTGAAATATCATCTAGGCATGAGTCATCACCGATTGAATCATATGACAGACAAGATGATTAATCTCGCAGTATGTGCTAATCCAAGTCACTTAGAGGCTGTTTGTCCAGTCGCTCAAGGTAAAACGAAAGCTGAACAGTTTTATCGGTAAGATTTTACTGTTATTTTGTTGCAATTTACGTTTATGAAAGATGTGTAAAACTATATGAATTGGTGTGATGTGGAAAATAAGGTACCGCATAGTAATAGCATCATCATTATGATCTGAACGTGATACAACGATTTGGATATTTATTTTTGAGTTGTATGAAAGTAACTGGCTTATTTATGTGACTGCAAAATGAAGGTTAACTATATTGGGTTAGGATCCATCAGTTAGTCGCAAGTCGTTCAGATCACTGACCATGCAACTTTATGATTTGAGACTTTATCAAATATAGCTTACGCTTGAAGTCAGCGATAGTTTTCTAGGATCGTTCACGTAAACACTAAGAGTCATTTTCGAAACAGACTAAATCTCCATTTATTCTGTTACTTGAATATTGTTTTCTCTTGAAGTTTTTGCTATTAGTATTGTATTGATTTTTTCATGTTATTATCATAACCTCATTATTTTGTTTTGTGTGGTGTCTTCCACCAAACCAAGTTATTTAATTCACTTTATGTTGTTTACTTGTATCTCTCCATTGTTATTTAGGACTGCAATTGATCAGTCTATTATTGACATATGTGCATCCTGTCCGGACTGCCTCGATATTGCCTTAAGTCACAAGCTTTATAAGCAAATATGAATAGTGGCTAGTAGTGAAATTCAGGACGCGCATTTAATCGTATTTGGAACTCTTCAGTTAAATGTACCTGCATCTCAGAGTTGATGTTCACTCTGAGATGCAGGTACATTTAACTGAAGAGTCCCAAATACGATGAAATACGAGTCCTGCTTTCCACTGCTAGTCACTATCCATCTTTGCTTGTAAGTTATTCGATACTTCATTACATAGTAAATTTATTTTTATTCATTAATTAATACAAAATGAAGTATTTGTGCTGTTCAGTGTTAGTTTTTACATGAGATCGCTTCACATACAGAGTTTGTAGTCGTATTTATTATTTTTTATTTGGCTTGTAAATTTAAAATAACAATTTTTTTCTAAAAAGTGACACTTAAACAATATATTCATTGTTGTTTCTTCATACTTTAGGGGTGATACTGATGGAAAGAAAGTTATGTCAATTTTAATTCATGGGGATGCAGCATTTAGTGGTCAAGGTGTTGTTTATGAAACTTTCCATCTTAGTGATCTACCTTCTTATACAACTAAAGGTACCATTCATATTGTCGTGAATAATCAGGTAAATTTATTCAATGATAAATACAATTTTGAGTTACCTTCAATTATTTATTGCAAAGAGATCATCCTTACTAGATACAAAACAAATTATCTAGTGAAATTCTGTTTGAGTATGTTTTTAAAAATCGGGTTTTCTTTTGTGTCTTTACTGGCCTAGTTAATTCTGTGACCCATTAAATCTTTTCTGATTCATCTCACTCATTTTGATTATCTTAGACGAGATTTCAGTCTAATTATTGATTTACCACTGCTGTTTCATTGATCTTCAGTGTTTTTTACTGTTATCAAAGTAGGTAAATATACAAGTTTCAGTTATGATGAATATTCCTTAGATTAGTATCCAGAGTTTAGAAGTAGTTTTCACAGTTCTTATCGAGTATTCGCTGTCCTATTATCGTAATGATCAATGTACTGATTACTTTAAAATTGTCATCCGATGTAATAATGACAAGTGTAGATTGAACCATTTGACAATTATTTGATTTTTATAGAGTTGAGATCATGAGTCAATTGAAGCTAGACTACCATGGAAAACCTGGAAGCACTGGACGGCCGTTTCGTCCTATTATGGGACTCCTCAGCAGTGCGCGTCCACGAACCCACTCTCGCGGGATTCGAACCCAGGACCTACCAGTTTCGAGCCGAAGCCCTTAACCGATAGACCACTGAGCTGGCATCCAACGGTGTTAATTTCTAACTTCAACTGATTCACGAAATTGAGCAACCATTCACCAATGTCATCAGTGAGTTCCTATCTCACAACAGACCTGGTTGAACTCCACCGGTTACTGCTTCTCACTAGAACTTCTCACTAGAAATTAACACCGTTGGATGCCAGCTCAGTGGTCTATCGGTTAAGGGCTTCGGCTCGAAACTGGTAGGTCCTGGGTTCGAATCCCGCGAGAGTGGGTTCGTGGACGCGCACTGCTGAGGAGTCCCATAATAGGACGAAACGGCCGTCCAGTGCTTCCAGGTTTTCCATGGTAGTCTAGCTTCAATTGACTCATGATCTCAACTCTATAAAAATACTAAAATCTCCACAAAACCCCTTCTGATAATTATTTGATTTACTATTGTGATAATATTTAGGTTAGATCTCTGTAGGTATAAATAACGGGAATCAATAAAATTTTATAAAGATCAAAGTTGACTAAACTGGTTTTAATTCAACACTTTTTACTACACAACTATTCGTTAATGTTATTCTGTTTAGCCTAAGTATGTTGTGTAAATTACTTACTTACTTACGCCTGTTACTCCCAATGGAGCATAGGCCGCCGACCAGCTTTCTCCAACCCACTCTGTCCTGGGCCTTCTTTTCTAGTTCTATCCAGTTCTTGTTCATTCTTCTCATGTCTGTCTCTATTTCTCGGCGTAATGTGTTCTTTGGTCTTCCTCTCCTCCTTTGACCTTCAGGATTCCATGTGAGGGCTTGTCTTGTGACGCAATTAGCTGATTTCCTCAAGGTGTTTTCAATGTACTTCCAGCGCTTCTTCCTGATTTCTTCCTCTGCTGGAATCTGGTTTGTTCTCTCCCACAGTAACTTATTGCTGATAGTGTCTGGCCATCGGATCCGAAGTATCTTGCGTAGACAGCTGTTAATAATCACTTATATCTTCTGGATAATGGCTTTCGTAGTTCTCCACGTCTCCGCCTCATACAGTAGAACTGTCTTCACATTTGTATTGAAAATTTTAACTTTGGTGTTGGTTGACAATTGTTTTGAGCTCCAGATGTTTTTCAGTTGTAGGTATGCTGCTCTTGCTTTGCCGATCCTCGCCCTCACATCTGCATCTGATCCACCATGTTCATCAATGATGCTGCCCAGATATGTAAAGGTTTCCACATCTTCCAAAGCCTCTCCGTCAAGTGTAATTTGATTGGTGCATATTGTATTGTATCGGAGAGTCTTGCTTTTCCCTTTGTTTATATTGAGACCTACTGCTGCTGAGGCTGCTGCTACACTGGTCGTTTTCTCCTGCATTTGTTGTTGCGTTTGTGATAGAAGAGCCAGATCATCCGCGAAGTCTGGATCGTCAAGCTTCATCCTGCCTGTCCACTGTATCCCGTGCATTCCTCCAGATGTTGACGTCTTCATTATCCAGTCGATCACCAGGAGAAAGAGAAAGAGTGAGAGTATGCAACCTTGCCTTACACCGGCCTTTACTTCAAACGAGTCGGTGAGTTGTCCTCCGTGGACGATTTGGCAGTTTAGTCCATCATAGGAGTTCCGTATGATATCGACTATCTTCTCAGGCACGCCGTAGTGTCGAAGAAGCCTCCATAGTGTCGTCCTGTCCACGCTATCAAATACCTTCTCGTAGTCGTTGAAGTTGATGTAGAGTGATGAATTCCATTCGATTGATTGTTCCACAATGATACGTAGAGTTGCGATTTAGTCTGTGCACGATCTCTATCCTTACGAAATCCAGCTTGTTGATCTCGAAGTTGGGCATCCACGGAATCCTTCATCCTGTTTAACAATACTCTTTTAAAGACTTCCTGGTATTGAGAGAAGAGTGATGCCCCTGTAGTTGTCGCACTTGCTGAGATCGCCTTTCTTTGGTATCTTGATCAGAAGTCCTTTTTTCCAGTCTATTGGTACTTGTTCTTCGTCCCAAATCTTACTGAAGAGGATGTGGAGTATCTTGGCTGTTGCTGCTACATTTGCTTTCAGTGCCTCTGCTGGGATGTTGTCTGGTCCCGCTGCTTTGCCGCTCTTGATTTGTCTAATGGCCATGCTGATCTCTTCAATTGTTGGTGGGCCAACATCGATTGGGAGGTCTGTGGGTGCTGCTTCGATGTTGGGTGGGTTCAGTGGAGCTGGTCGATTCAAGAGTTCTTTGAAGTGTTCTACCCACCTGTTTCGTTGTTCTTCAATGTCTGTGATTACTTTGCCTTCCTTGTTTTTCACTGGTCTTTCTGGCTTACGGTGATTTCCAGCAAGTTTCTTTGTTGTATCATACAGTTGTCTCATGTTTCCCTCTCTTGCAGCCTTTTCCGCTGTCATTGTTAAATCTTCCACATATTTACGTTTGTCGGTTCTGATGCTCCTCTTCACTTGCTTGTTTGCCTCTGTGTATTCGGCTTGTGCCTTGGCTTTTTCCGCTCTTGTTCGGCTGATATTGATTGCTGCCTTCTTGTTCCTCCTTGCTTCAATCTTATCCAGTGTACCAACAGTGATCCATTCCTTGTGATGGTGCTTCTTTTGGCCCAGAACCTCTTGACACGTTGAAATGATTGCCTCCTTGATACCTTTCCAGTTGCTCTCCATGGTAGTTCCCTCTCCATTGAGAAGGTCATGAAAGGCCTCGAACCTGTTGCTGAGGGCTATGTTGAATTTGTTGAGTTTGTCAGCATCTCGAAGAAAGGCCGTATTAAACTTTTGTGATGTTGTCCGCGCCGTTGTCCAGTGCTTCTTGAGTTTTAGTTTCATCTTGGCGACCAGCAAATGATGATCGGATGCTATATCAGCGCCTCTCCTGGTTCTCACATCCTCCATCGTCCTCCTGAACTTTTTGTTGATGCAGATTAGTCGATTTGATTCTGTGTAGTGTGATCCGGTGAAACCCAAGTGGCCTTGTGTATGTTTTTGTGTGGGAATATGGTGCCACCTATGACCAGTTTATTGAAGGCACATAGGTTTGCAAATCTCTCACCGTTTTCATTCCTTTCTCCCAGTCCATGTTGTCCCATGACGTCTTCGTATCCAGTGTTGTCCTTTCCAACCTTGGCATTGAAATCTCCCATCAGGATGGTCAGGTCCTTGGATGTTGTGTAAATTACTCATGATTAAATCTACTAGCAGTTCAATCAATGAAAATTTTGCTATAAATTACACAATTGTTTTGCTTAGAATATCAGAGAATCATCTTGTTTCTTTTTTTTCTCACATACAATATAATTTAGTTCTATTTTGAAAAAACAAAAAATAATCAAATGTCAGTCTTTTGTAGGTCAAGGGTAGATTTTAAAAATGTACTTTACTTGATCAACTTATAACTGTTCATCATTAATGTTATATCTTGTGGCCGAATGGGTGCCTAGTTAATATGTGACTTGATTAGACCGCCAATCAGAGAGCAGCGAATTATCGATAGGATCAGTGACACACGAAAGCTGTACGAGCAGTCTAGAGCGCATATCGATCCTGCTTCTGTCTAGTCCAGCCAGTTAAGTCCAAAACACCAATAACAGCATCTGTGGTATGAATCATTGTATTTCAAACATACTGAGTTTATATACCAAACAGACTGACCACATCGTACCAATAAAATAGAAAATAACATGTGTACAAGAGTTAACCAAATGTGGCTGTGAATAGGGGGAGCAGTAATTAATAGACTGGGTATAACTCAGGAACGGTAGATCGTTTTAATTTTTTTCTCTTATTAGCTGTTTATTGAAATCAAAGTGATTTTTTACTTTCGAGCGTGTATACTTTCTAATTACAGACTATCTAATAAATTTCTTTAAGGGTTTTGATCAATTTCGTTCAATTTAAAGATAGTTTCTATCATGTTGAACTGGTTACAGCCAAAGAATCACTGCAAACTAAGGCGCTAGTGAATAGCTGTTTTCATTTTTATTTGGTATTCTTCAGCAGTTTATAATCATGTACCAATACGGATTGAACTCAGTTCTTGTGATAAGTAAACTGCCTGCAAACCAATAACTCTTATCCGTATGTTCTATATTTACAAATTTGATGAATTCATCATGTAACGCCGTCATTATCTAATCCAATAAACTAAAAAAGGTACTGAATTCTATGGATTTCCTACTTCCAGCTCGCTCTATAATCTGTGTAGTGGGATAGGTCAGAAGTTAACATCACTGCTTATCAATATAGATTGTAACAAAAATGAGTGCTTTAAATTTTTACTCCTTTAATGGGACATATTTTACAGATTGGTTTTACCACTGACCCTCGTATGGCCCGTTCATCACCATATTGTACTGACGTTGCTCGGGTAACAAATTCACTTATTCTTCATGCAAACGCTGATGATCCTGAATCAGTCATGCATGTTGCAAAAGTTGCTGCTGAATGGCGATCTGAATTTGGAAAAGATGTTGTAATTGATCTTGTCTGTTATCGCCGTTCAGGCCATAATGAAATGGATGAACCAATGTTCACTCAACCACTTATGTATAAACGTATTCGTGAACAACCAACTGTATTAGAACAATATAGTAAAAAGTTGATTGATAGTGGAATTGTCACTGAACAGGAATTTAAGGTAAATTAATATCAATTTCAATATTTATTTGAATATTTTAATTATTGCCAATGTTTAATTTTGTATACGAAGTTGTTCTCCTTATTATTCATATTAAGTCACGTAATTATAAATCACTAATCGTAGTTACTGTGATTAATTCAGATATTGGTTTAAACAATAGTGTAACGATGCACCCTATATTTTCAGAAAACATTAAACTAGATTGTACTACTCACTTCCGTAAAAAGGATGGTCCTGTTTATATTATATCTGGTTATGAGGTTCTGTTCTGATATGTGACATTGAAAGTAAAATTTGATTAGTCACTGAGCGTGGACAAACAGGCACTTAGCCTACTGACCATGAAGTATGTGATTTCTACTCCGGACTCATTGAGTGTAACTGTTGTTGAGTAAAGTATTATTTAGTGTTAATCTGGTTCTCTATTCTGGGTGCTAAATTCTGGTTCTGATATAACGTGACTAATCTTATCAAACTAATCAAAGCAACCAATTTATTCTACTGTCCATTTAATAAACTTGTTCACTTCCTCAATCATTAACAGAGTAATCTGTACGAAACTTGCCTCCCAAGTTATACATTTTGTTATGATGGTCGGAGTTTCCTTCGTCTACACGACTGGGACGTCAATTTACTTTAAACGAATATCTACACTAGATTCCCTCCCAGTGTCTATTCTACAGGACTTCAATACAACTCGGATCAAGAACACGTGATTGGCCTGAATAGAACGTAAATATATTCCTACACCAACAACCGACAACACGCCGTTGCAATCCAGCAACAATCAATAATAATAAAGATAGGAGAATATATAACTCATCTAGTGCCTGTCAGACTATCTACGAATCTGACTAAGCAAACAAACAATCATTATCATTCTCGCCCATACATCACTTTTGTGTTTAAGATTAAATCACTGACCAATAAAACAACTGCTCTCTCTAAATTAGAACAATATCAATAGTGAGAAATATAGCTTGATAAAACCTTTATTCATTTCTAAATAGACTTTTCTGTATTTACTGGAAAACATTTCATTTATATCCTACATTATATTTCAGGATGAAGTGGCTAAATATGACCAGATATGCGAAGATGCTTATGAATTAGCTAAAAAGCGGACAGTCACGTATAATCGTGCTTGGATTGATTCTCCATGGCATAATTTTTTCGAAAATAAAGATCCAATGAACTTACCTAATACAGGAGTAGAAAGCGATGTCTTAGAACATATTGGTAGGTCTCCATGGGGATTTTACTGGAATGTTATCGTTTATAACATTATTTCCCACCTTATACATTATCTCTGTCTCGGTCTAAAGCCCGTATAAAGAAGGAGGTTTGAGGATAGGGTCAGCAACCCTACCCTGTAGGAAATAACGCTGCCAAAGAAGCGTTAACCAGAAAAATGCATAGACTAATTAAAACGTGCGAACTATTAATACTCAACAATAGTCCATATTATCCTACGTTGTAGCTGACTGACTGAGTCCATATTATGTGTGTGAAATAGTGAGGTATAGTTTCCTTATCACTTATCTGGAACTAAAGTTGGATTGAGGTAATCAAGGTAGCACAAAAAGTCGTTGTATAGTTCTTTTACTATTATCATTATTATTATTATTATTATTATTATTATTATTATTATTATTATTATTCTGTCTTGAATCGAATGGTTTTTTCGAACTAGATTTTAATAGTAATATAAATATCCTCTTTTTTTAGGTCATGTAATTAGTGAGCCTCCTGAAGGTATGGTTATTCATCCAGGCTTAAAACGTGCACTCAAGGAGCGCAAAGATTTATTAGAACAGAAAACAGCTAATTGGGCTCTTGGTGAATTGTTCGCTTATGGATCATTGCTAAGAGAGGGTATTCACGTCAGACTGTCAGGTCAAGATGTAGAACGTGGAACGTTTTCACATCGACATAGTGTTTTACACGATCAGGTATAGTGTTCATTTTTATTATGAATATAATGTACTTTATGACAACGGGGAAATAAAATCGACTTGGTGAATCTACGAATTACAGTATGATGCAATAATATCCTAGGTTTGAGATTATTAGACCATCAGGCCAGGTCAAATTATGTACGGATATATGACCAACAATTGAGAATCAGATCATAGGTTACAAACAGTCCGTACGTGATGAAACCCAGAGTAGAGATCAATAGTAGAAAGAAATTTAAATAGTGAAGAGAAGCTAGAGATCTCTGTCTTCACCGACTGCTTGAACATCGGTTTCTTTTTTCAAGTTAGTATTCATTGTAAGGCCTCAACATGATGAAAATAAACGTTTACATAGTTTGTTACTGTTACTTACATGTAACATAAAGAGAACAAGAAATCACTTAAAAGTATTGATTAGTTTCGTTTAGTATATATATATATATATATTATCGGTGAGTGAATGTCCAATGCATTCGTTGCATAGGATTTTAACATTCTATTTCTAAGTATAATCTGATAGTTGACAGAAGTTCCTGAACCTAGTTTTCATGAGATTTCAGATTCATCAACACGGTATACTTGCAATTTTGAGGGGACTGATGCTCCCTTGTGTATTTGACCCCGTGTCACCCAATTTCACAGTCAGAGACGTTACCACTAAACTATTCGCGCAGCGAATAACCTGTTGAACTGAGATACATTTACAACTGATTTATTACTGGAAAATCCTTAAGTATTTTTAGTGTTTTGATGACAAGAAACTTTCCTACTATTCTCCTCCCTTAACAACAACATAGTTTTCTGGTATTGGTTCCTGTAAAACTAGTTGAAATGTCAGTCTGATAGAACAGCAGAAATTTCGTGAAAACCGTACAGATCTGACAAATAGGATCAAAGAGTTTTTTGGCTCAAATTTTCATTCTACCCACCTTATATTCCACTACATTGTGTAAAAGTTAGCAAATACTCAATATGTTAAGTTTGGTTGTTTTGAACAATTTATTGTACAGATAGTCCATATTTACGTCTCGCATTCAAGAACAAACCATTAATTTCTTTATCTCAGCCGTTTCAGATCGTGTATGGTTGTTCAAATCATGCTCATCAGCAATTTCCTAGTCTTAATCCCCAAGGTAGTATACTTAACTAAAGGATGAACTTGATTATAGTCGTCTTACAAGTCTTCTAAACTAATTATTTATTTTGATGTTAGCACACTGTGAAGCTATCATTTTCATATGCTGAATTTACCTTGGCTTATCTACTAAAATTTTGGAATTCTTTCCTAATTTCAATATATATTGCGAAGCGAGTCTAATGTTAGGACGCTTGTCACATTCAATTTTTTTTCAGGAAGTTGATAAGAAAACATATGTTCCGCTTAACCATCTTTATCCTTCACAAGCACCATTTACTGTATGCAACTCGAGTTTATCTGAATACGCAGTAATGGGCTTTGAGTTGGGTTACTCATTGACAAACCCTGAAGCTCTTGTTATATGGGAAGCTCAGTTTGGTGATTTTAACAACACTGCTCAATGCATAATTGATCAGTTTATTTCTTCTGGTCAACAAAAATGGGTACGTCAATCAGGAATAGTCCTTTTGCTTCCACATGGTTATGAAGGTATGGGCCCAGAACATTCTAGTGCACGTATCGAACGATTCTTGCAGATGTGTAATGATGAGGAAAATCATGTCCCCGTGAGTATATTGTTTTCCATGTTTTTTTCTAGTTGTGACTGTTGTATAGCGCATAGATTTGATACTTATTCACATTTGCTTATCATTTTATACATTGGTTTCCGTCATTAAATTATAGAGTGCAATTTTTGTATGGTGTGCGATGTATACAATAAGTATGTGTTTACCATTTACCTAAAATGTAATGTCTTAACCTACAGCTCACATAAAAAACCTATGATACGTAAAATTCATCATCATTCAAGTGTGTTACTTCCGTTTACATGATTCAGTGAGTTTTCTGTAGGTTGTCCGAAATTATTTCAAATTGTATCACATTCTTTCATGGTGTAAATATTTTAACTGATGTTTGCCTATTATGTATGTTCTTTTGTCTGGTGTATCGGTTTGTGTTGTCAGAAAACCCGGGTATCTTCGAAAGCGCTAAATAAGGTATCTCACTGTCACCTGAGCAGTAGTGAAACATGTGAAAAACTGGAACTATCACTTATTACTGGTGCTTTGTTGATTTAAGTTGTATTGTTAATACTTTACTATTATCTTTCCCTTTCCATTTATATCATTGTATTCAGCCGCCGTCAATGGTAAGCAAATTTTATGGATCCTTATGGCTAATCATTTTTCTACATACATATATTTTTTCTAAATTCTACCGTATCATCAACAACTATTATAAAAGATTAATTGCGAACTGTATCTTGTTTGAACGTCAACTGTGTCTTGATGAGACTCCATATGTATATCTGGACGGTACTAAGTGCAAAAAATAGTCTTTCAATTTCATCTTCATAATAAAAATGCCAAGAATGTACTTTTTAGAAAAGCTAACTAAGGATTTAGTGAATCATGAATAATATTTTTATCCCGAAATGGCCTTAGATAATTTTCAGTTTACTGTAAACATAGCGGTTAGAAGACAGTAATTAACAACAGACGAACACGAGCAGAGAAAGTCAAGGCACAAGCAGAGTATGCACAAGCAAACAAGCAAGTGATGAAGTGCATTAGAGCTGACAAGCAGAAATACATGGGAGAACTAGCAACGACTACGGAAAAAGCTGCAAGAGAAGGAAATATGAAACAACCAAATGATACAACGAAGAAACTAGCTGGGAGAGACGGTTCAAGGACAAAGAAGGAAAGACAATCACGGAGATTGAAGATCATAGGAACGGATGGGTAGAATACTTCAGGCAACTGTTGAATAGACTAGCCCCATTGAATCCACCAGACATGGAAGCAGCACACACTGACCTACCCATAGATGTCACTCCACCAACGATGGAACAAATCAAGATGGCCATCAGACAAATGAAGAATGGGAAAGCAGCAGGAATTGACAATATACCAGCTGAAGCACTGAAATCAGACAGTGAAGTAACTGCAAAAATGCTTCACTTTCTATTCAAGAAGATTTGGGAGAAGGAACAAGTGCCAACGGACTGGAAAGAAGTATACTTCATCAAGATACCAAAGAAAGGAGATCTGAGCAAATGTGAGAACTACATAGGCATCACACTGCTTTCAGTACCAGGATAAGTTTAAAACAAAGTGTAGCTGAACCGGATGAAGGACTCAGTAAAAAAAGTTTCTAAAAGAGTGTTGTTGAAGTGAGTAAAAGATTCAGTAGACTTTCAACTTCGTGATTGCCAGGGTGCATTCCGAAAGGATAGGTTGTACACAGGCCGATTTTCGACACTACAGATCATTGTCGAACAATCAGTTGAGTGGAACTCATCACTATACATCAACTTCATTGACAATGAGGAGGCGTTTGACAATGTGGACAGGAGAACCCTATGTAACCTTCTTCGACATTAGAGTATACCTGAGAAGATCGTCAACATCATCGTAAAGTCATACGACGGACTATATTGCATGATCGTACATGGAGGACAGATGCATTGTAGGTACGGACCGCAGTCAGACAAGACCGACTACTCTCCCCCTTTATCTTTATTCTGATGATCGACTAGATTATGATGACCTCGACATGTGAAGGAAAGCATGGAATACAGTGGACCTCTCAGAATCAGTTAGATGATTTGGACTTGACAGATGACCTAGCCCTCCTATCCCGTACACACGAACAAATACGAACGAAGACAACTAATGTAGCAGCAGCCTCTGCATCAATAGGCCTCAACATACACAAAGGGAAATGCAAAATTCTCAAATACAACATAGAGAACACCAACATAATCACATTTAATCGAGAAGTTCCGGAAGATGTGAAAACATTCACGTACATGGACAGCAGCATCGTTGATGAACAAGGAGGATCTGATGCAGACATAAAGGTGAGGATTGGAAAAGCAAGTGCTGCATTCCTACAAGTGGAAAATATATGGAACTCAAAAAAACTGTCAACTAACTTCAAAGTGAGAATCTTCAATACGAACATCCAGACAGTTAGTCCTACTGTATGGAGCTGAAACGTGGAGAACTACTACATCCATCGTCAAGAAGGTACAAGTATTCATAAACAGCTGTTTATGCAAAATACTCAACATCTATCGGCCGGATACCGGAAATAGAAGCAGATACGAAAAGGTTGAATAGCAACTGGAAAGAACTGGAGGGTTGCATGGAGAATGCTGATGTGCGGCCTATGCTTTTCCACGATGTGTAAGTAATAACGGTTAGATTACATAAAAATAAGTATGAAAGGTTTATTGGGGGGTTAACTGAGAGAAAGCATAAGTCCATGACTTCATAGATTATTGATCTTAGCTTTGTTGGGGAATACAGCCTTTCGTCTTTTCTGTTTCTGTTATTGGTACCCTAGTACTGCCGAGGGTTGGGAGAGTCCTCTCTTTCTCTCGGAATGCTCTCAAATGTCTATGCGTATGCAGACACTGCCAGAGAAGTCCTACGCACTGCCTTCTCGCGGTGGGGCTGTTGTTTACGAAGTTGAGAGGACGTAAAGCAAATGTCCAGCGCTTTAATCGAGTTGGTGGGTACGGAGGGTCCACCCTGATTTCAAACCAATAGTGCACATGGACTCCAGGATCCTGTATGTATTTTGTGCCTGTCTGTACCAATATTTATGTTTAAATATAAATAAATTTTAATTCCTTTACATTATCTTGTTGTGGATTGTGATAACAAAAGATTTCTGCTGTCTTAACTTTTCATATATTCTCCTCTATCAAATCTACTGTTAGGTATTTAACTGTCACTAGATAACCAGGATGAGAATAGGTATAATGGACTTTTCTACCTTTGTTTATTCATACTGTATTTGCTCTCATATAGTGCCATCATTTGGTACCACTGTATTGTATGTTAGCGCGCAAATATATTTAGAAACTGTCGTATACTTTTAGAATGGACAACTCAAATGCTCAATTTTGTGTATGGGCTTATGCAAGTGATTATTCAGTCAATAAACCCGTGTGGAGATAAACTTTGGGCAAATTTATTATTTGTGCATAGTTGTTATAAAAAGTCATGCATTATTTTACTTTTTATCACGCAAACGGCAACGTTCTCTCTTTAAAATTGTTATTGTCGACGTACTTTTAGCCATTTTTATCGCATGTTGGGAGGAGCCAGAATATTCTTCAAAAAAGCTCAGAGGGGCCTTAAAAGCTCTTGAAAACGTTTTATTCAGTCAGCATTAAATAAATGGCTCTCAGAAACATCTAGAAAGTTAATAGTCGCATGTCACATTTCTGATTAGATGATTACGTATCCTGCTACTATGTTTAGTAGGGTTCCAGAAGCCCAAAGCCATCTGAAATGCTATAAATACCCTAAATTTTCTGTACATAAACCAATCTTGAAGTGAAGTGCCTTTTCTCTCGTGTTCAAGTTGTCGTGTAAATTTAGCCTGGTGGATACTAGAAGAGCTTAGGAAACCGAATAAAGCTCTCAGTTAGAAGATTTATCATTGCACGTGCTCTTAAAATAGTCAGTAATTATAATCAAAAGCCACAAATTTTTTCAGTTTACAACTGTTTTTTTATAATACATACACCACTTTTTGGGACAAATTAATTATAGTGCAACACTTTGTGTTATGACGAACTTAAAATTGGACCCAACAGTTGGGATATAATTCATTGGAGGGTGAGAAATCCACGAAATCGATACTGTTCCATCGTTATGTCATTCCATCATAATTATTCTTTAGTTAGTATTCTGTACATGAATTTGTTATATTTTTTTACAAGAAATTAATTCTTCTGTCGTTGATTCCAAATCATTCGGGGACTTACGTCAATGATACAGTTTCGTTAGTAGCCTTTAATACGATCACGCTTTAATACGAGCGCGCATTTGTCTGCGCCTCAATGGACGCAGGAAAAGTACACTAAGAAGACCCATTAGGATTGAACTGGAGGACGAGAAAGCCAAATGCGAATTCCAGAAACAACTGAGTTCACATCTAGGCAGTTCTGTAAACGAGACTGACCCAGATACTGCTTGGAAAGACCCACGAACAGCTGTGAAAACAGCAGTAACATCTATTAGTTATTTAAACCATAGGGCTCCAAAAAAGCAGTGGATTTCTTCTAAATCTATTTCACTGATGGATTCGCGTAAACTCATCCCATCAGGCTCTGAACACGACGAAGAGCGTAAACAAACTAGATCTAGGTTAACTAAAAGTCTAAGGAACGATCGTGAGCAGTGGTGGGCAACGAAAGCAAAAGAGATGGAAAAGACAGTGTCTGTAAGCAACACCAGGCAACTATTCAGACTAATAAAAGAAACCGGAATTAAGAAGTCAAGTGTAAGTGAGACGATCTTGGAAAAAGATGGAACCCTTATCTGCTCTCAACCCAAACGTTTAGAACGATGGGCGGAACACTTTAAGGATCAGTTTAGGTGGCCTTCAGCTACTGCACAACTACCCACTATTCCCAGAAAACCTGAATGGAACATTGAAGTAGGCCCCCCGACCCTACTTGAAGTTCAAAAGGCTATAACTAATCTCAAACGAGGAAGTGCAGCTCGTTCAGATGGATTGGCTCCAGAGGTCTTTAAATATGGTGGTCCGATTTTAGCGATTAGGTTGACTAATATTCTGGCTAAAATCTGGGAGACGGACGTAATCCCATCCGACTGGTCACAATCACTGATTGTCCCAATATATAAAAAGGGGTCAAAATCACCCTGCGATAACCATAGAGGGATTAGTCTGACTAACGTAGTATCTATAATACTAGCCTCAATAATTATCGTGCGCCTAACTAAGACTCGTGAACTGCAAACGCGAGAAAATCAGACTGGCTTCAGACCTGGTCGTGGCTGTATCGACCACATATTCACCATTCGTCAAGTTTTAGAGCACATACATGCTTATCGGCGTCCGACAGTGATAGTTTTTCTTGACTTAAAAGCAGCATTTGACTCTGTAGACCGAGAGGTTCTGTGGCAGTGTCTGTCATTGAAAGGTGTACCTGAGAAGTACATAAACCTTGTGAAGGCTCTTTACTCGAACACTACCAGTCGAGTGAGAGCTTATGGCGAACTGTCATATGATTTTACAACCTCAAGTGGTGTCCGTCAAGGCTGTCCACTATCCCCATTTTTGTTTAACTTCATTATAGACCTGTTACTGGAAATAACACTCTTCGACTGAATTTTCAGGAATTGATCTTCTACCAGGAGGTTCACTTATCGACTTAGAATACTCAGAATACATAATCCTGTTTGGTGAAGACACTGACAAAATGCAGAGTCTTCTGTTGGAACTGAGTAATAATGTCAGGATGTTTGGGATGCGTTTCTCCTCATCCAAATGTAAATTGTTACTCCAGGACTGGCCTACGTCAACACCTGAACTAAGGATAGGGAGTGAAGTAGTCGAACGCGTCGACAACTTCACTTATCTTGGAAGTCTGATCAGCCCTAATGGGTTGGTGTCTGACGAAATCTCAGCACGGATTCAGAAAGCTCGTTTGGCTTTTGCCAACTTACGTCACCTATGGCGAAGACGAGATATCCGTCTATCAATTAAAGGACGAGTATACTGCGCATCAGTTCGCTCTGTTCTACTTTACGGCTGCGAAACATGGCCATTAAGAGTAGAAGATACTCGCAAGTTGCTAGTATTTGACCACAAATGTCTTAGAAATATTGCTCGCATCTGCTGGGATAACCGGGTAAGTAATAGTGAGGTTAGACGCAGGGTATTAGGGAATAATGGTAAATCAGTTGATGAGGTCATGAATCTTCAACGACTGAGATGGTTGGGCCACGTGTTACGTATGCTTGGACACCGATTACCACGACGCGCTATGCTGACTAGTGTAGGGGATGGTTGGAAGAGAGTTAGGGGCGGCCAAACCAAAACATGGCATCAGTGCTTGAAGTCACTAACTTCTAATCTGAGCCATGTTGGTAGATGCAGACTACCTGGTTGGGGTCCGCGTGACCATCATAATAAATGTTTGGAGACTCTGGGTGACATGGCTCAGAATCCATCACAATAGCGTAGGTGTATACACTCTTTATCTTCCCTTAAACCTTGAGATTAAAATTGCTTCATATCTGTTATTCTTCCTGTACTATATCCTTATATACAACCTTTCTTTATATACTACCACCACTAAATTAATTACTTCTATGGATCCAGTGTTGATCTTGTTGTGCTAACGAGGTATGGTAACTTAGACCGATGCATATATGTGCCTGGTCCTACGTTGTCGCTGACTGACTGAGCCATCATTTGAACATATCGTCTGTCAATCAGTATTCTTTTCTTCCATTTTTGACAATATAAAATCCGTTCATTAGATCATAAAAGTTCTCCTTCATAACATCTGTTTAGATGTATTTTATTGTAAAAAAAGAAGTAGAAAAATTGCTTGAATAAGATACAGATTAGTTAAAATAGTTCAGGTCTGTGCCATTCTAATAATGATATGCAGAAGAATTGTTTCATCATACAAAGTAGCGTGTGTTAAGTGTTTTTTTTCTTGCGAAAACTGTGTATCTCACAATTTATTCCTCTAGTGGTGTAGTCATATTATTCTTTTTGTTACAATCCTCAACATTCGCTCGTCAATGATTTTCTTTTTATGTTTATATGGTTTGCTGTTGCCACTGAAATCAGTAATCATTTCTGTTTCAAGTAGCTGTTTCCGAAATTTTCCATTGTATGCTGCTTAGTTTTTAGTATTACTAGCATTGTACATAACTACCAAGCTATGAAACTGTCGTCTTATAAGGTATTAACTGATTCATAGGAGATGAATTCCTTTGCGTATAAATATCAATAGTGTGTAATTTTAATTAGCTATATATCTTCATTAATTTGTGTTTGGGAAAATGAGTTAAACCAGTGAAACGTGAAGCTGCTATGTGTGTTATTTTCCTATATGATGCAAAAAAGTAGGTTTTTCACCTGTCTTGATCATGGAAAATCCTCTCTTCGATTATTCAGTCATTAAATTCAATAAACAAAAAGTTAATTTTCTGGGTAACTGCGTTTATTTAGAAATGAGTTATTTCTGGGCAGTCTTTCTGTTTGTCTTAAAGTGCTTTTTTACTGTGAATATTCACTAGAGTTGCTGCTGTTTCTCATCAATTCTCAAGATTTACGTTCACAAATCTACTTTGCTTGCTTTTCAAATCTAATTAAATTTATTTCTATAGAACATTAGAAAAAGCTGTGAAAATGATGATGTTAAAATAATGTTGTTCTTAATGCATAGTGTGACTTATTCATATCTCTAGCTAACCTATGAATTTTTAAGAATGTTTTGTCAGTCAAACGGATAATCAGGCGACTTTTTTGCTTATCAGTTTGCAAAATAAATTCTTTTATACTTCTTTGACATAAACTAACGAAATAGCTTATCTGTATTTTTGGTAAAATTTTAATGTTAGCATTTATATGAGTACATTTTTTGATAATCAGGTTAGTGTGTGTCCTTAATCTTGCTTTTGTATTTGTTTATTGACAATTTATCACTAAAGCCGTAGCATTGCACAGACAATTTTATTTTTTTACTTCTGGTACCTAGTGTCAAGTAGAATACATCATCTCGTATACAATTAAAACATATTCATTAGCCAAATACTTTATACAATGATTTTCATTGACACAAAGAAAGAAACTCAGTAATTGACATCTCAATCTTATTAAATATGATATTTTTTTAATTTTCAAAAAAATCAATTTCATTCCAGGTTTATAGTGATAATTTTGTCATGCAACAGTTACATGATACAAATTGGATTATTGCAAACTGTACTACGCCAGCTAATTTCTTCCATATTTTACGACGCCAAATTCTGCTACCGTTCCGTAAACCAGTAAGTGATTTGAGATTCATTGTGAAATTCTTCATTCAACTTTTGTTTAAAAAGCGCTAGCCTAATAGTTAAATCACTAATAGACCTCTAGTTCAAACCGCTTTCAGCTGAGGTAATAATAAAGTATCACTAGTCCTCTACATCTAGAATGTGACTTAAAGCCCGGTGATTATGCAACTCACGAAGTAAAGATTCGTGTACTCTGCTGAAAACTACATTATATGCATGACGGTTAGTTTTTGGAACAACACATGTAAGCGAACAATTGTTTTCAATTAGATCGTCATCAAGCTTTACTCTAATATACATGAATATTTATATGAAAATGTTAGACCAATCAAGGCAATTTGAGTCAATAATCACAATGAAATAGAATACGTTACCAAGCATAATAATAGTTAAAAGTACAAGTTGATAGTGGTAAGACAGGTGTACTGATAGTAGTAAGAATAGTAAATTACGTTAACAAAAGTCTTATCAATAATTAAATATAAGAATTAAGAGGTCAAACGTCGGTAAATAGACTGGAATAGTAATCACAAAACACTAAAATCATTACGTAATAAGAAGTATGTAAGTAAATAGATAGTGAAGAATAGAAAATTAGAAAAAAAGATAACCAAATTAAGATAATAAAAATAAAATTTTACAAGTAATAATAATAATGTCATTTATTAAGTTATGTCCGGCCATGGAAGGGATAGGGGGGTTACGAATTTCTTCTGTACACATAAATTGGAGTGGAATTTACGAATTCCTATGGCTTCTGCTATATGAAGGAGACAGAAGCGAACTTTTGGTGTTGTTTCGTCCTCTAGGTTCAGAGGACGAAACTTCAAAATCATCTACTTTATTATATCCCGAAGAGAATTATGAATGATACGTTTTGAGAACCATTTATGGACCGATATGATGCATATATTTTTGTTGTAATTGTTAAGTAACTAAACTATTTATATTCATATTCCTCTCATTATTAGCTTTATTTTGACCCATATACCATTACTATTCGATTGACCGTTCTTGAGTTATCCCCAGTCTATCAATTACTATATCCCACATTCGGCTAAATCTTGTACAGATGTTATTTTATGGTACAATGTGGTCGGGTTGCTTGTTATAGAAACCCAGTATCTTTAAAATACGTGTTTCATATCACCGAGGTTGTTATTGGTGTTCTGCATTTACCAGACAGGGCTAGGCGGGAAGCAAGGACTGTAGACTGCTCGTAGTGGTTTTACGCGTCATTGGTCCGAACGATAATTCACTGCTCTCTAATTGGCGGTATTATCACGTTGTACATTAACAGGGCACACAGGCCACAGGATATAACACACTTGGACCACGAATCTCTACCATCTCAATGACGATTAGTTATACAGTCCGATAGCAAAAACAGAATTAGGTTAAGCGGCAATCATACCTATTATTATTATTTATTTATTTAAACACATAAATATTTGTACAAGGAAGCACCAGATATATATGCGCCATACAAATCTCATTCGATTTGCTTGAGGGCTGTGATACTGCCCAGGTGCCCTAACCGAAGCAGGTGGTTTTCTTAGGGGCCAACACCCCGAGCCTTTGACAGAAAGATCTGATCCACAATTCAGTGGAGCATCGTGAGGAAATGCAGTCCCATGGTAGCCGGTGACCAACGGTTGGTTCTTACGCCATTTGTTCCTTCAGGATACTGGATCCCATGTGCACCATTAGTTTGGAATTGGGGTTTTCCAACTCCTCTAGGTGGATCCTTCATATCCACCAACCCGGTTAAAGCGCTGGACATTCGGTTTTCGTCCTCTCACTTTCGTGAACAACACCCCCGTCACGAGAAGGCAGTGAGTAGGACTTCCCTGGCAGAGGCTATATATTCGCGTGTCCATGTGAGAGCATTTCGAGAGGGAAAGTGGACTCCCCACTCTCGGCTGTACCAGGGCATTTTGGGGGCTATTGGTTAAAAACCAAATCCTCTAATCACTAAACAACCACTAAAAAAATAAATCTCTTAAGTTATTCCTCTCATCGTTAAGAAACCGGTGTTCATTCTAAATGAACACAGCAATTCCCATAAATTATCACTTCTAGCTGAGTATTAGGCTATAAGGTATCAAATGTTTCCACTGCGTTATATGAAGTTGTTAACTCAATTCTTTGACTAAATAGTAGTTGTATTTCATAGGTGTAGATAAATTTAACCAATTCATATATTCCAAAAATAAAACTCATTACTTAGGCAAGAATTTGGTAGGGTAGATAAATATCGTGGCTTTAATTTTGTATAACAATATTCTTTCCTTTTTTCTTTTTTAATAACCTTCTTGTGCGACTTGCGCAATTTTGTTGTAGCTGATTGTCTTCACTCCCAAGTCGTTGTTACGCCATCCAGATGCAAGGTCGCCATTCTCTGATATGCTTCCAGGCTCAGAATTCCAACGTTATATTCCTGACAATGGTCCAGCTTCACAGAAACCTGAAAATGTGAAAAAACTAATTATTTGCAGCGGCAAAGTGAGTTTTATCATGTAATTTGCATGCTATGTGATACATGACAAAATGTAGTTGCTTCCTCATTTGTCTTACGTTTCAAAGTGATCGTTTGCTGATTACACAACCAGGTTGTGCTTACTGAATTATATAGGTGTATAATGCTTGATTAAGTGTATGTTCATTCCCTCGCCGTGCATTTTCAAATCAGTTTATTTTCGTCACTGATTATTGATACTCAGGATTCTTATCATTCTCGACTTATTTACATGACACTTTTTGGACACATTAGTTTAATTCTATGTTTATTTAAGAGCTTTACCAATTATGCCATGCAAAATAAGATTTTTCTGTTTTCTGTTGATCTTATTGTCACTCCTAAAGTGCAAATATGTGGTAGTGATACTTACATCCCCTTAATTTATACAAGATTTCCAAAATATAAATTATGTTCACAATTGTTAATTCTATACCGTTGATATATTATAATGTTTAGATTTATTTCTGACCGAGTACTTGTATTTTGTTTGCAGGTTGAATTCGATAAGTGTTGGTCTCTTTCAAGTCATAAAATGTCCAAATGCTTGACTAGATATTTGGTTTCGTTGATCGTCAAATATCTTTCTGTATTTTTCCACTCTGTCGTTTCAAATCATATTCTCAATGTTCAGTTTTTCTTAACTTCTTTTCTGCCATATTATTTTGATTTATTTGCTAAGCATCTTTTTAAATTCATCTCTTTGTAATAATTTAACTCATCCACTAGTTAGATATGAGCCACACTCTGAATGTGAGAACTAATGCTACTAAACGATTACTCAAGCTGTATTATATAGAACGGAGCTTGAACCTGAAAGTTGGTTGTCGAAAGTCGGACGCCTTAACCACAATGCCATTGCTACTGTGCCATGGCAACTTGGGTTGACGCATGTATGTATGCTTGAGGCTCACCGTAGATTCTATTTAACTGTTTGGTATAACCAGTGATCTAGAAATATGTTTTTTTAATTGACTTTTTTATTTTGATCGGCTTCTAATCTATTTAGTTATGCTACTATGTAAAATGACATTCAATCATTATCACTATTTTTTCCACAGAGAAATATCTTTCCCGGTCTTTTCTCAGCATTGAAATTAATAGTTTATAATGAATGAGATGTATACTTACTTAATTTTCCCTGATTATTTAGAAAAACGGTTACATTATCTACTTTCCGTTTGTGATTATTCACTAACTTTAAGTTTTGTATACATCGTATTTTTTTGTCAGCGCTTCAGTTGGAAACCAGTAGTTCCCTAGAATTGGTTCTCATCCGGTTTCTTTGTCTACGAAATTCTATCTATTCCTAGTTTTTTGTAACCATTAGGATTTTAAATAGTTTCTCGTAAAACCATATCGTTTTCGAATTTTTTTGTTAGCTGTTCTAAGATTAATCCTATTGAAACTTTAAATAATAAAACTCATAATAATCTTTGACATATATACAATTTAATTGTCATATATCAGTTGTTAGTGAGACTACATTTAAAATAGATAGGACCGCAATCTACTCACAGCCCCTAGGCGATTGGAACATTGAGAAGGACACTTCATAGAACAATTCATTTATTTTTCAGTTATTCACTATTCTAAAGAAAACAGAATTTGAGATTAGGATAAACTGTCGTCTGATTCTTTCTACTTTTTAATAAATTTCTAACCAACGTCACTTTGTGGTGTTGATCATCGCCAAATTTTCATGATTACATATAAATAATCGTAGTTTCACATTTCATTAATACAACCATTTTAAGGTACCACTGCAGTGAACGTTCATGGGGCGATGTTGTTTATATTCGTTTAACTTTTCAGATTTATTATGAATTAGATAAAGAACGCAGATCGATTAATCGAGAGGCAGATATAGCTATTAGCCGAGTAGAACAGTTGACACCTTTTCCATATGATTTGATTCAACAAGATTTAGAACGTTATCCAAATGCTATTATTCAGTGGGTGCAAGAGGAGCATAAAAATATGGGACCATGGAGTTATGTACAACCAAGAGCTAATCATTTAATATTTAGAACAATGCCTGATCGTCTTCACAATAAAATTTTGTAAGTTGGCATATTCGTTTTTATATATATTCTGATTTCTCACTTTTTTATTTTGCTGTTTTTCTCAATGGCAATTAATAAACCTTTGTTTACCAAGTCTTCAGATTATGTAAACACCTTTGTTTCCAAATTATACATTGAAATGTTTATCAAAGTCTCTAGTATAACAGTAAAACAATAGTGAGCTACTATCCCATCTTCATGAACTTATTGCAATCAGGATAAATTCATGTCTAAATTGTTCATAGAATGCTAATTTATGGTCATATATATGGAACTAATATTTTGTACAGCTAAGTATCAACTATCTTTACAAGTATTCGTAATATTGCTACATTTTGCTGGTTAACAATATTAATTTTTCGATATTTTATGCAATCAAAAGTGAGCGAAGGGATCTATACTAATCAAACAGATTGTTAAACTATCAGTAATGATTTTGTATACTGTTATCTACCAGTTTGCTCATATTGACAAATGAAACCTTCAAAAATCGGTTTCTTTATGTCTATGGAACGACTGCATGGTATTTTCTAGCTTTCTTTTTCGTTTATATTGTTTTTTTTTTTTCACTGACAACTGTTATTTTTGTAGCAGAAACTAGGGGTTAAAATCTATTCGTAGCTATACTGTTTACATGATTATTATTGTTGTACAATCAACCTTATTTTTACGGAACACTATATATACGACTTGTCATCTTGTTACTTTAATACTTCTCAAATATCGATTAATAAAGCTGAGTTCGGATAGATTAAATCGTATATGAACATCTCGGTGAACCATGCACAGTTTCACTTTTCCATATATGTAGGTTATATATCAAGCATTATACCACGTTAGATATTTTGTTTTATTTATTTGTGTTGCCTTAATCATTACAGTTACGTTGTCGTTTAGTTTTGTTAAACATTATTTTAATTTTATTAAATCCTCACTCTTTAATTGTTTTATAGATACGCCGGTCGACAACCTAGTGCTGCCACAGCTGCTGGGAACAAAACAATGCACTTGATGGAGATCTCTCATTATTTGAAAAATGCTCTGTCATTATCTTAGTTTTGACATTCTCGTAAAGTTTTATTTCTCTTTTCTAGAGTTCACTTATAAACAGATTCTCTAGGAGACATTATTGTCTTTTAGTTTATCTTATTTATCATTTCGCCTCACTTTTTTCACTAATTATCTTAACTCATAGGACTACTTTGTTTTGTTGTGCGTGTAGTTGATTAAAATTTGTCGGACTAAATTGAATAAATATATTTTAACTCTATGTAATGTTAAATTTCTCTGCTGTTAATTATTTGGTTTCTGGAGTTAATTCCTTCCTAAAATCATTAACACATCAATTATTTAGAAGGGGATTTGTGGAGATTTCAGTATTTTTCAAAGTTGAAATCATGAGTCAATTGAAGCTAGGACGAAACGGCCGTCCAGTGCTTCCAGGTTTTCGATGGTGGTCTAGCTTCAATTGACTCATAATTTCAACTTTGAAACATCAATTATTTTCCTAAATTAAGTAATTTGTTCCAGATTCATGGACAAACTAGAAAGTATGGACGTCTTAGTTTTCTATTGTTTGTCAAATTTATCATGGGAAATAAGCTTGTTGTATTAATTGTGTAGTGATAGTTGGCAGTTTCAAATAGTTGAGGCCTGCATGCATTTTTAACAATCGTAAATCACTGAATAAGGCAGTCGTGTTCTTTTCACCATATATCTCTAAAACTACTTTAAGCTCTACTGGTTATAGGTTTGCGATCGCTATTTTGTATAGGCTTACGGATCTATTGTGATTTATAGTATGATTGGTAACATCACTAGCTCTTCGCATCGCTTATCTTCAGGTCTCCACAGACGTGTCAATAAAGTACGTCACTACGTAACGACTCCTGTTACTTCCCAAGTCTATGAAACCATAGGTCTTGGTTTCCTAACAGTGATAAGTTTGTCAGCATATAATATGGAACTGTTTTTACTTATCCCTGAATATATTGTTTGGCTTCCTATGGTGTGGCCACGAGTGAAAAAAAGGATGGGTGTCTGTTTGATATTAGTGTATGAATCACCAGCTGTATCTTCATCGCCTCAGCATCACCTAATTCACTTATGTTTCAGTGACAGTCTACCTGTTCTTGTGTATATTGTGATTTCATATACGCTGTACTTAAGCGCCTGTTTACTCAAGTGTTGTTTGGTAATGTGGTTCCCTTCAAAACGTTTTTGAATCTATGTAGAAAATGGACTACATCGAAACACTCATTGGTCGTGGTCTATCAATTTTACTGGAACTAAGCGACTAATTTCCGTGAGTCACGAAAGAGTGACTTTTAAAGTTCAAAAATACAGAACATAATTCAACCAGTCAGAAAATAGATATTAAGAAAATAGTACGTAGTCTGTATACAGCGGGTGAACTATTTTGGTGAAATTTTGTTCTCCGAGCTGGATGGTTTGGGTATGAACCTTCCATCAATTTCTTAAACATCGTCAGCACAAACGTCTACTCATCGTTCAGAAAAACAATGAAAGATCCATTACCAAGCCATCCAGCTCCGAGAACAAAACTTTACGAAAAGCATTCACCTGAGCTACAAATCTTTACCATTTGGCGAACTGTACAATGCTTTTTGTACTAATTGATCAATCCTATGTACTTAACTGAGAGTTTATTACAAGTATAATGAGTTCGGTTGTGCTCATTGGGTTTTATCTGACCTAGATTGTATTATTCTGGGAGTTCAGTACATCAATTCTAAAACTTCATATTGTCATATTTACTATATTTGGAGGGTTTATCCACTTTTAATCAAAGAACATTTGGCGCAAGAAATTGTCCACCTGATCGGAAATCATCTCATTTAGTATATTACAAGCTGGAATAGTGCCATGATTTGAATTATAGTATGAACTAGTAATCCCAGGAATGACGCAATTTAATCAAGAAGTATTCCATTAACACGAGCGTACTGTACTTCGAATTCAAAACAGTCAGCAATACAAAAGAACCATTGGTTCGTTTAAACACCACATTCGCCACAGCTTAAATTGGAGTCTAAGTGTTTGTAATCGATCGTACGTCTTCTTCTTAAGTTAATCTTACATCTGTTCGACAGTGTATGGGATAAAGACTATAATCTAGAATGCTCTCGTTAGTATTAGAATTAACAACCGAAATTGGAACAGACTCACCTGATTCCTGAAACTGTATACAATCATCATGTCAGTTGTGAAGTGAAACCTCTGTTATTTAAAATTTGCACCATAAACATTCCAACATTATGCTCTTCCAGAAAATAATATTGGGTCCTTACGTTGCAATGTTATAACCAATTTGACGTTCCCAATTTGCATTATCTTCTCAAATCTCACGCTTCGATTACTGTATGTGAGCACTTTAGGGATATACACTGATATGTAATTTGAGGTATTCCATCCTGTGACTTTAACGTGCATAAAGGTCATGATAAATATTATTTTTGTTATTCATATTAGAATACACAGATAGATATGCATTGATATATGTAATTAGCACATGTGATTCATCTAGGCTTGATTCACCTGCGAAAACATCAACTGGAAAGCATTCATCTGCCTCATACACATTAGGGTAATCTTGAATTGATTTGGATTCTCTGCCTGTGCAGACTCCATATCTGGGCAAACTGGTTCTCTGATTACTTCAAGAAAACTTGCTATTCCCTTTGATTCATCATACCACTGACTAGGGATTCTACTCATCAAACGTTGGTTCGGAGAATATTCAACATGTGATACAATAACATCAGAAATTTGACTAGAATTCGACTTATTCGGAACATATTTGTCACATTCATTAGAAATATCACCAGACATAAATTCATTGTCAGGAACACTGACACTTGATATGATACCAGAATTTGATTTTTCTGAAATATTATCCTCAAATTGATTAAGAGTTTTATTAGAGAATAATGGATCATTAGGAAAATCATCATCTATCGAAACTGAATCCGGTTTTTGATTATGACTAGACTAATTCAACATATTATTCTCAGATTTGTAGGACATTTCATCAGAAATATGTGAATCATTATGACGAACCACATCTGGTACAATAAGATGAGAAATCCGATAAGTTGGTTTATTGGAATTTTTTGTCTCTCAACGTATTGGACTGAGACGACGTTGTAAAGTAGTGGAATTCCTGATGTTCTGGCGTCATTTTATCGGTTTTTTCTCCTTTACCGCATTCGAAATTTGTATACTTTACATGGTCCAGTATTAGTTGCTTGAGAGTTGCATAGAGGAGTGAAAATTGCTTGTCTGGAATTGTCAAAGTCTTTATTAAACTATATGCTGTATGAATGTAAAGAAATGGGCCACAATATTAAAATCCTTGAGGATACAACCAGTATTCTAGTTTGACAAATATTAATCAGTAACACTCTCTATATTCGAATCATTCCCCACTGGGTTAAAATCAGAAGTCAGATGCGAAGAGGTGGGAAAGATATATTTGATGCGTTATCAATATATCGAGAAGCTGTTACTCTAATCTGGCTAGTGAAGTATAGGAGCTGCTTCCCACTCTGAGTCGTAACGTCATATGGTACGGATGCATGATCGAACGCCTTCAGTTTAACAGGTCCACTTTAAACAATGTGGTCAGCATCCAATGTCGAACACTTAATGAGCTATTAATTTTGGGGAATTATTTACGGCTACAGATCACTCCCTCCTTAGTGAGGTAGTGATCATCCTGAGACGTGTTCAGCAAGAATTTTAAACCCAACGAGTTTGTCGTTGGTAAACACTCTTCTGATAGCTTGCTATGTTTAGCAGCGTCTGGTTGTCTTTGCTTACACTAAGGGACCATGAATTGCAACATAGTGATAACGAAACAAAGTAAAATGAAAATTTCTGTTCCTTGTGAAATTTTGTCGCTTTTTTCCTGCCGTCAGGCTCCCTAGTGTAGACCATCAACGTTGATGATCTATGTCGAATGATTGGAGGTCTACTCATGTGAGACGGGAACGGTATAACGAACAATCTAACTTTGAAGTCACATCTCACGACCAGCACCTTACGTGGATTGCCTCATCGACGTGTCAAGGGACCATGGATGCTCTGAAGACTGTACAACAATAAAAAGCACTTTGTTACAGGAATAAATTAGTTAAAGTAGATACTAGCGAAAGTAGAACCACTGCCGAATGGGCTAGTCCATGGCGCATGATAAACTGATGCGTGTTGATTGTCCTTGACCCTGACAGGGTTCGATGACCCGTTCGACATTCAGTGACCTAACTGCTGGATGATTTGTCTAGGGTTCAGTGACATTTCACTGGCATTACATCCTCATCATTTTCCTTGGTCATAGCGCAGATTGGTCATAGCAGATTTATAACCTCTGCATTTTATCCTCAAAAGCATTAAAATCTGAATGTACATCCAACCGTTCCATCGCAGGCTCCATCGCGACTTTAATGTAATGATTTGAAGTATTGGAATTATAGTATGAACTAGTTGTGAACTATTCCTACATGTATATTTGAGTAATACTTGATGCTCAGATAAGCATTGATCACAATCAACACCAATACATCAATTTATGAAACTCATCTTAATAAAGTTGTGTGTGTGATATGTAGTAATTTTCGAGTCAGATCAATATAGCGATCGAAGGTTCTTTACATTTTAATGACATCAGTTTTTGTTCACATGGCTAGGATACCTCAGAATGATATCTGTCAGTTTGGAGATTCTTGTAGTGTGACGTTAAATTACAGATCAATCGTAATTTTGAGTAATTTCATCTAATTACTAATTGTAGCATACTACGAATTGGTATATCATTCATTAGCTACATGAATTAGGTTTTTTTCCCTGTAGACTAAACAGTGAATGGAATAAGTTTTAAAGACGCTAATTCCTACAGAGATGAAAATCGTACATGTACAAGTCTAGGCAATAGATTTAAGAATATAAAGAGAAAAAATTATTACTATTTATTATTATTAGATTATTTATTTCATCGTAAAATTATGGCTTGCTAAGTTCTTGTACAAACTAGTATGGTTAACTTATATGTTGCAAGGGAAAAATACGAAGCCACTATATATCGAACTTTTGTTAGCTCGTTATATCGGGCAAACAACTCTCATTGTCATTGATCAGTAACTGTCTCACACATAGCATGAATAAACGCTAGTTATTACATTGAATTTTTCGCATACGCTTTATGACAATAGAAAGTGCGGTTGAGTTCGAATGGAAATTCTTTTCTTCCATATAAAAAATATTCACCAGCTGACGAATGGCGCGTAAACGAACTAAGTGGGAACTAGTTCATCAGTTTGTTCATGAAGTTGTTGACTTCAGCTCTCATCATGGATCGGAAAGTGGAACTGCATTTACAGCGGTAAATATTGCTGGTCCGTGTCAAGTATTATTGTGATTCCAACGCAACAGACGCTTTTGATCAAAAGACATAGCAGGCGAATACAAAGGCGAAAAATGAACAAAATACCTGTGGCATACAGGTTTTCACACCGAGTTATCAATACTTGGAACCTGCTGCCCAGAGTAGTAGTTTCCACACCTTCGATTGACTCAATTAAGAAGAGACTGGACACTCACGGAAGCATACTTGGATAGGAATAACATAGGCCGTAGGCCTTCTGTTCTTATTGCATAAATCTGTATTCAAATCTAAATCTAAAACCGCGTGATCACCAGTGTTCAATAGTTAAAAGTAGTCTGATGTGTTCTGAAGAAACATTTTAACAAACTAAGTTGATACATGCTCGTTATTGCTTGAGTAAAGTACACTGCGCCGTATTTTTAATACATGAGACAATTTGACATTACAAAAATAAACCAATAAATAACTCACTGATATTAGGTTCAGTTGCAGTTTGGAAAGGACAGGAGGCTTGATAGCCTGTGTTAGTCTTGGCAGTGATAGTCTCTCAGTTGATCCAGATTTCTTTTGAAAGAGTCGACGGATGGAGCCTCAACTACGTGCTGAGGTACTGAATTCAACTCGTTGATGATTCGATGAGAAAGTCGATATTCAGCTGACAAGTAATTCGTTCTGGGCTTGTGAACTTTTTTTGAGTGTCCTCGTAATGTTTTCGTTTTGGGAGACAAGAAAAATGAGGGCATATCACGTGTGAATTTATAACTAAACAATTTGAAAACTGTAATCGGGTCGCCTCTGATTCTTCGATATGACAGCTGGAATAGGTTTAACTTGGTCAGTTTAGTTTCAAACGAGAGCTTCGCTATTACGGGAATCACCTTAGTAGCTCTTCTCTGAACCCGTCCCAAGAGCTCACTGTCTCTTGTATGCAGTACTCAAGTTTAGCACGTACGAACGCTGTATACAAAGTCAGAAACGTTTTGGCGTCGATGTGACTAAGAGCCCCATGTATGGACCATAAACTTCTAAAACGTTTGGCGGCTATTGCACGACAGTGTTCAGTAGTCTTTAAAACATTACTAACGATGACTCCTAAGTCGTTGTGTATCTGGACAATAGGTAGCTCAGTGTTATTTATCGTGTATGTGTCTGTACCTTGATGGCCAATATGCATCACAGGACGTTTGGAAGTATTTATCTCCAGGTCGTTTTGGAGTTCCAAGCTATCACCCTTACTTTGTATCGCTCTCTATATCTTGACATCGTCAGCACAATTCTTACTGTTTAATCAATAGTGTTAGCTAGGGACGATGCAAAACTACATTTTCTTCAGAAAAGTGTAATATTACCATATTCAATTACAAGATTACAGTTGTTCGCATTGGACGTCTGAGATGTAACCTCGAGTGTCATAGCAGCATTTGAGTACTAATTTAAATAGTGATGAATGATGCGCTTAAGTATCCCATAAGTCAATTGGTCATTGGAGAAGTTTGTTCGTCATACGTTAGTGACCATTATCATAGGAATGGCTTGTAAAAGTAGCTAATTATCTGGAAAATAAAACTGTCAACGACAGGATAGAAAAGACAAATATATCATACACAACATTTTTGCAGGTATAGTTTGTTTCTCGTTGACATTTCTTGTAGAAAATAAAAAATGTGATCGATATATTTGAAGAAATAGAATCAGATTTGATCCATACCGAGAATAAAATACATGAAACTCGTAGAACTGTTTATACGCTTGGAAATCAGTTTGACAGATTAGGTCGATTCTGCCTGAACGAAATTCCATTTGTAGTCCAGAAAGGTAATTATTATACTATCATTTACAAGAGGAGATTTGATTTTTCTACAATATGTTTTGGATTATTACTTAAAGATATGTTTTTGTGGTTTCCTCTCTCTTCTTTTTTTATTTATGTTGAGCACATGCGTCTCTTCAACAAAATAGTATTGTATTTTTCTTGCCCGACGAGTTCTGAACACTAAATATTATGACTCTTTTGAGTGATTTGTATGAGATTATCTGACTCATTTGCCGTACAATCTTGAATAATTTTCAGAATTCTTAATGACCCTTATTTTTTAAGATAGAAATCAGTAAAAGTTTGTATGGAGGAGAATATGTAGTTTTCAAGTTAGTTGAAATGTAGTTTCTCTTGTTAAAAAAATATTCACATAGTGTTAACTCTCAAGCTTCTCGTTACTATTCAAACATGTATCAAATTTAACGCTTCAACTTATTTTTAACCGACATACAAATCTGAACTGACATTTTCATCTGGCATTTGAGCAGATCTTTTAGACGCTTATTGTGCATATATATATATATATATATATATATATATATATATAAATCATACTATTCTTTTGTAAAATACCATTATGAATTTAAATGTATGCAAACCGGTGTATTAGCTTTTCATCATTTGCACATTATTAACGTTTTTAGTATCCAGAATACTATATATTTTTGTTAAGGTATAGCTCAAGGAATGGATGTTTTAGCATGCGCTCATCACAGAAAACAACTACTCATCTAGGCTGGTTAGTTGGAAATCCAAACAAACATCTTTCAGAGTGTGGTTAGGTCCTGTCATTTTTTCGTTGAGAGTAACAGAATTTCATAATTTAAGAATGAAGGTACCTGGAAAGCGTTAAAAGACAAGTTTAACAATAATATTTAAGTCATACAGTTCCTAAACTGACTTTATATATAAACTCTGTTGAGTTTTAACTACTATGAGCTGAATTAATTATATATGTACGAGAATTATGGTCTTAAAATAGAGGGAAATCCTTATTTATTTTTCTTTGTCACTGTTAAGTCTAGGCGAACTGTCACTTAATAATAATGTTAAGGATTCTCGAGTGAAATAAACTCTAAATGTAGGTGATGAATTTTACCTATCTGAGTTTATTTTAATCACTGAATGCAAAAGTTTATACGTTATGCGTTACAAGATGTAAGGTGGTGGTTGGAGGTAGTCGAGAGAAATTTCAGGATCTAAGTTTCATGCTTTAAGGAAATCGTTAGCAGAGTAATGGCGCTAATGAGTGTCAAATAACGCAAAATCTAGATTTTGGGTTTCCTGTGAGCTACCTTTAACACCACCTTACATCCTAACATAATGCATGCGATATCGAATCACCTAGACTCGCGGCCACATTGCAACTTGATCGATGGGATTCAATCTGCACTATGAAGTGCATGACATACGTCACACTGATCACCACATAGTGATCAATAAATTAGTAGTTGTTCATTTCGTTAGCTTTCTATTATAGCAAAACATAAAGAAAAAATATTACCACTTAAGTAAAAAGCAAAGTGATAAACATTGATAATCAGAATGAGCTACCACGGGCACCAGGCATCATACTAGAATTTAATGATAATAAGCTTTTCGGTAGTTTTCTCCTTGAGGTAGGTATTTGCCCCCAAATGCCCCGGTACGGCCGAGAGTGGGGAGAGTCCTCTCTCCCTCTCGAAATGCTCTCACATGGCCAGCGAATATATAGCTTCTGACAGGGAAGTCCTACTCACTGCCTTCTCGTGACGGGGGTGTTGTTCACGAAAGTGAGAGGACGAAAACCGAATGTCCAGCGCTTTAACCGGGTTGGTGGATATGAAGGATCCACCTAGAGGAGTTGGAAAACCCCAATTCCAAACTAATGGTGCACATGGGATCCAGTATCCTGAAGGAACAAATGGCGTAAGAACCAACCGTTGGTCACCGGCTACCATGGGACTGCATTTCCTCACGATGCTCCACTGAATTGTGGATCAGATCTTTCTGTCAAAGGCTCGGGGTGTTGGCCCCTAAGAAAACCACCTGCTTCGGTTAGGGCACCTGGGCAGTATCACAGCCCTCAAGCAAATCGAATGAGATTTGTATGGCGCATATATATCTGGTGCTTCCTTGTGCCAATATTTATGTGTTTAAATAAATAAATAAATAAAGGTAGGTATTTAAGGTTAATCAAAGCTGAAACATAGCTTTCAAATCTTTCTCTGGTCGACTTGCCTATTTTTTATTCTGGGGCTCAAACCCTGCAATGTTCTCTTCAAACACCATCACGTTATCTACTTGGTTACTGAGTCCAGAGAGCCACTAGCTTGTCCATTTGGGTCCCTAGTGTTCCGGATTTCACTACTAGTCGTCATCATCCCTGCTTACAATGTTTGTAAATGTAGGTGTCATCAAGGCAATCTGTACAGGATGTACATATGTCAATAGGAGACTGATCAATTTTCAGTCCTAAACATCAATGGAGAGTTTCAAACAACCAATACGAAGATGAATTTCTTGTTTTACTTCAGTTTACTGAGAATCTTAACGTAATATTTATTGCGTTGTGTGCTTAGGCATATACCACTTGAAAAACTTGTCATATGGTTTTAGAAAGGACATTACCTGAAATTATAGTTGTTAGACACTACAAAACTTGGTTTTTGACGCGATTAAAAGTTTCTATTCAATTTGTTCACTGGTCACCATCGCTATAATTACAAGCAATTATAAACATTTCAGATAGCATTTCCTCATATAGAAACTTCTGTGTACTTTACTTAACTTTATAGCTGGATCAACAAACCTTGGACATATCATAACAAAAAGTCTAAAATTTCAATAGTGAATTTTATTCTGGGCTTAAATATGATTAAAAGCAATGTAGCTGACAAGATCTTGGAAGGTAATCGGCAATTTGCTATTGAAAAAACAACATAAGCTAGAATATCGAAATCCTTGGATTTTTAACTCGTGGATTTCAGATAGCGTTCATTACAACAGTTAACTGATTGTAAACAGCGAACTAAATGCATCCAGGCACTGCTTCGTTAACGAAGTTAGGTTAAAATAAAGAGTAATATATACATATGTAATAGCCTGAGTGCTTTCTGGCGACAGATTTAACGGTACTACTCTAAGTAACCCATTGTCTGATTATTCCGTAATTAGTCTAACTGGCAGTTTACGATCGTTACCACTAACGATTACTTGTTCTGTTCAAGCATATTTACTATTCCTGACAATTAAATTGAATGTCATTTTATTTTTTAAAAATGTAGAACATGATCAAGCTTCTAATAATCTAACTGCTTTAAGATGGAACATTAAGAAAACTCAAGAAGAATACAATAAAGTATTTACTAGACTGAGATCGCTAGCTGCAACAAAAAAGAGTATTGAAAATGAAATTTCACAACTGACAGGATGCACGTAAGCACCCATTATTTATTGTGAAAATCAATAAAAGCATATATATATATATATATATATATATATATATATATATATACGAAAAGTTATCGAAACACGAACTGAATAATTGATAAATTGCTTCATATTTAAATTAACAAAATAATCCTTAGAAAAAAATACAAGCTGGTTAGGAACCATATTTAAATGTTTGATGACATTTTCTTCTGTTATGAGCTCATATTCGGAAAAACGTACTTTGTACTTTATTCAAAATGATCGTTATATTTTTAAAAATGGCTTGGAGAACAAACTTCACTGTCAAAATGTTTGAATTCGCAGAATTATTTAAGAGATTTTCTTAAAAATCTGTTACATTTGTAAAGTTTTGGATATTACTAAATAAGATGGTATATGACGAACGTGCAGCTTGTTGTCGAAATCACGAACAGACTTAAGCTAAATAACCAATGTAAACCAGAAGTCTCTAATATTTTTAGTCCCTGTTGGAGACTCGAAATCGATGCTGATTTACTAATGTATAAGGGGCTCAACTTAGGGAATCAAGAAATTATTTAGAGCACTTTGCTTTATATACTGTAACTTTCAAGAGTATAATTGAAAAACTACTTAAAAACTGCTGATACATTTCAACTTGTATCTAATGTTAGACAATCTATACTTGTTTAGATGGAATGATGTCACAATTTTGATATTGAACTCTAGATTTGGTAACAACTTTGGAAGGTGTAAATCATAAATTATCTTCTTTTTAAACGTTAGTTTTGAAATAGCGGTAGATTAGGACAAAGGAGAATTACTTTTATTGTTATTCAGTTTTTACTAATTAAAACATAGATATCACGAATATTAAATTAGAAGTGTGAGGTTAGTAACTGATGAATCAGATATATATTTAAGAAATACAAATGTAAGAAGGTAGTATGCAACAATCCACAGGTCTGGTTATTCTTGTCATTCACTAGTGAAATTTACCTTTAAAAATGAACAACTTGATGATATATTCCCACGTCAACCGATACACATTTGAACCAAAATAAAAATATTTACTGTACAAGTGGTGTTGGTATTCCATGTAATTCTAGACGGAAATATCACATGGCACTGCAAGACCACCTAATACGTGGAGGATACAAGTCTTTTATGTCTATTGTAAGTGAATTATTTGTCTTGTTAATGTCATCAATCATATATATGTAGTTGGGTCAAGTATAAGGATATACAGCTGCATGAATTTGGCGTTGAGAATACAGAGTCCTGAGAAATAGCACATAAATTGTGGTATATAAACGTATATAAATTCTCATTTTAGAAGTCTGGTGAATGAAAAATCCTTAATTACAGAGACGGAACTTAAGGGAATCATTGATCGAACAACTGAAGTAAGTTAACCTGTTTTAATCAAATTTTGATTTATATATATATATATATATATATATAACTTTGCTGTTAAGGTTTTTAAGTTTATGCTACTATTTCAACAACACTAAATACTTGCTTGACGGTAAATTATAAGAAAACTGGAGCTCTTTGTAAGCACTTTATTTTTTACTTAATGGTAATTAATATAAATTTAATAAGTCAAGTTTCGTATTAAGCACTTTTTATCCAACAGCAACAAATATTGTGTAATGAAGTGAATTTATTTCATATTGTTTGCTCTAAATCTCCCACGTACACACTTATCTCTATTACTGAATAAAGCGTTTTTCAAATGTGATTTGTAAGTAAGATCCGTAAAGTAATTTAGCATACTAGTAATAATAATAGTTGAGGGACGTATGCAATGACTTGGATAGCTAAATTGATTAACGAGTTCAAGCGTTTCATTGAACAGAGTTAAAAATAACTAGATAAATGATAATAAATTAACTGTAAATTAGAAATAAAAATTTGACGAACACTATAATTTTCTACCATTCACTAGTTTGCGTCTAGTCGCTGTGACGTTTTTGGCATTATAACATACTCGTTATGTTTGTAAAGGTTAGAGGTAGAATCTAACCTGAAGGCAAATTGTATACTGGGTATATGTGCAGGTCAGCGTTTGCGTGAGAATCTGGAAAAAAAGAATAATACATGATCCGGTAACTGCGTAAGCGTATAAAATCTACTTTTAACAATGAAAGCAATTAAACACTGTAAACGTTAACTCAAGTATGAAATCGAAACGAACTGATAAAACAAACTAGAATCTTATGGTGTGAAATTTCGAATGAGTTACAAAAATGAACAATAACAATGTTATGACAATTAAATAAAATGCAGTATGAGGGGTGAAGTATGTTCAAATAGTTATCTGATAGACGAAAGTTGGCTTAGATCCAAATAGTATTTAGAAAGAAAGATACTTAGTTACTTACTTACTTAAGTCTGCTACCCATCGTGAAGGAGAAGATGCCGCACACCAGCACTCACCATACAACTCCGTACTGTACAATCCTCGATAATCCAATTCTTTCCAGTTGTTATTCTTCCTTTTCACAACTGCTTCTATTTCCCGACGTAATGTGTCCTTCGACCTTCTTCTTTTCCGTTTCCGTTCAGGATTACAGGTTAGGGCTTGTCCTGTTATGCACATCGGTGATCTCCTTAATGTATGTCCGATCCACTCCCAATGTTCTTTTCTAATTTCCTCATCGGCTGGAAGCTGGTTTGTCCTCTCCCATAAAATGCTGTTGCTGATGGTATCCGGTCAATAGATGTTGAGTATCTTGCGTAAACAGCTGTTTATAAGTACTTGTACCTTCTTGACGATGGATGTAGTAGTTCTCCACATTTCAGCTCCGTACAGTGGGAATATCTTGACGTTTGTATTGAAGATTAACTTTGAAGTTAGTTGTCAGTTTTTTTTTAGTTCCATATGTTTTCCAATTGTAGGAATGCAGCACTTGCTTTGCCAATCCTCACCTTTACATCTGCATCGGATCCTCCTTGTTCATTGATGATGCTGTTGATCAGGTACGTGAAAGATTCTACATCTCCCACAGCTTCTCTATCAAGTGTGATTGGCTTGGCGTTCTCCATGTTGTATTTGAGGATCTTGCATTTTTTCTTGTGTATGTTGAGGCCTATTGATGCAGAGGCTGCTGCTACATTAGTTGTCTTCGTCCGTATTTGTTGGTGTGTATGAGATAGGAGGGCTAGGTCATCTGTCAAGTCAAAATCATCTAATTGATTCTGAGATGTCTATTGTATTCCATGTTTCCCCTGAGAGTCGAAGTCTTCATAATCCAGTCAATCACCAGAAGAAAGAAGAATGAAGAGAGTGATCAGCCTTGTGTGATTCCAGTCCTTACTGGAAATGCATTTGTCAGCTGTCCTCCATGTACGATCATGCAATATAGTCCGTCGTATGAGTTACGGATGATGTTGATTATCTTCTCAGGGATGCTATAATGTCGGAGAAGGTTACATAGGGTTATTCTGTCCACATTGTCAAACACCTTCTCATAGTCAATGAAGTTGATGTATAGTGATGAGTTCCACTCAACTGATTGTTCGGCAATGATCTGTAGTGTCGCGATTCGGTCTGTGTACAAGCTATCCTTACGGAATCCAGCCTGTCGATCTCAAAATTGGGCGTCTATTGCTTATTTCATCCGGTTCAGCTACATTCTGTTGAAAACCTTTTCTGGTACTGACAACAGTGTAATGCCTCTGTAGTTCTCACATTTGCTCACATCTCGTTTCTTTGGTATCTTGATGGGGTGTCCTTCTTTCCAGTCTGTCAGGGTCATAATTATTTATTGAACTCGGAAGGCAGAGTTTAAATGGTTCAATGTGGTTGGCGAATTTTTTAGCAAGAATGTTTTCTATGGGACGTGGTTGTCAACCTTAATAGCCAACCCTGTTTCTTTACCCGGGCGTGGAACCGGCAGTAACTCTAGAAGTGCTACAGGAGAAGTGAAAGTGGGATAGGATAACAATGAATCGGTTACCATTGTATCACCGTTAGATTATTTAACTATTATTATTATTATTATTTTAATAGTGGTAGTGTGTGTGTCAAGTTTTTATTCTAACATTAAGAATTGGTTTTCGTTTAAGAACCACTGAAAACCAGGAGGCACGGGCAGCTTTTTTTTCCTAGTATGTGATTCTACACCAGAACCGGTGCAAATGTTTGTCAACGATTGGACATCATAACATTCATCGAATAAGTTGGAATCCAATAGTTTAAATTTAAAACTTTAACCCGTTATTTAATTCATTTTCTCAAACATTTTGTAAATATCATTGAATCGGATTTTTTTAAATGTTGATAAATCTAAGGCATTAGAAACACTCACAAAAGCGAATACTAAGTTAAACGAAACACAAATACGTTATAATGCTGTGAAACAAAAATCTGAAGAGATTCGAATGAATTTAGCTAGCGATGTTCGTAAAGCTGAAGAAAATCTAACAAATGCTCAGTAAGTTATGCATTATACTTTATTGTGTTGGGCTAAATTGATACAAAAGATTTCTACTACTTTGTAGAAGTAATGTAATTGTTATAATACATCCTAGACTACAAACGTAACAAATGTAACATGCACCTTTATGTGTATCCACCAATGCTGATACTACTGTAGAACTGATGATATAAATTGCAAAAACTATGTTTTACCAAAATGATTTCTAAAACTTAATGTATCTACTTATCTAGACGATAGTGAACAAGTACCTCCTCGGTTGGAAAGTGTATTTTGATCATGCTATCTCATCACAGTCATAAACATTGTCTTGATATTCTATTTTTGTACTGTAAGTTTACTTCCCACTTACTATTATATGATTTCGAAGCGTATGAATGTGTACACTTTCCTGGTCACTTAAATTGGTTTTCCTATTATAAATCCATTTCATTCTGTCTACAAAATAATAATGTACTGTGCTTCACTCACCCATTTTCTCATGACTCAAAATCATTCAATTACTAATAATAGTTCAATACGACCAAATAAACACAGAAGTATAACTTTGGAGACTAGTGTCACAAAAAAAGTGAATCTTACTTTAATGGATTGTTCTTGACTTTTTTATTATTAATCCTACACAGGTTTCTTGAATTATAGGACAGATCCCCTAAAGATCAAATAATGACTATTTTAATTGTCGTATTGTGTGCATTCTTATTGTTTATAGTGGATGATTAGAGGCTTAATGTTATAAAGATCAATGAATAGAATCTATAACGATGAAGAGCAGCAGGTCACAAAGTATTATTTATTGAGAACTTTAAGGATACAGATCCGGTTACAGCTATCAGATTGACTGAAATATTAGCTAGAGTCTGAGAACTGAACTTAATTCTATTTTACTAGTCTTGATCATGATTTATGAATTTATATGTGATGGTAAAACTTCCTCTGTTTCTGAATTCTTTGAATTAGCATTCTCTGATTTGTAGATCTGCAGAACTGCTAACTTGAGCTAAACTGCTTAGGTTTCTGTATATTTTTAAAAGATGGGTCTTTGAATTAAAGACATTATTTTTGGGATCGATAAGTCTTAAAGCAAACCATGAGAAATCTTTGATTGAAAAATACTAATCACAAAATTCAGCTAACTATTTGAAAAATATGCTACCTAAATGTCAAGTAGTAGTTAATACTTTTAACTTTCTACAAGTTTATTATTATTTATATAAAATTATAAGGTATTGATAACCAAAACACATATAAGTAGGTGAATTTACACGCATCATCACTTCGAAGACAAATTTATTAATAACAATAGCTATCTATCAATTATGTACATTATAAACCCAGAAAAGGATGTCTACTCTCCCCATTCTTCTTTCTTCTGGTGATTGACTGGATTATGAAGACTTCGACTCTCAGGGGAAACATGGAATACAATAGACATCTCAGAATCAATTAGATGATTTTGACTTGACAGATGACCTAGCCCTCCTATCTCATACACACCAACAAATACGGACGAAGACAACTAATGTAGCAGCAGCCTCTGCATCAATAGGCCTCAACATACACAAGAAAAAATGCAAGATCCTCAAATACAACATGGAGAACGCCAAGCCAATCACACTTGATAGAGAAGCTGTGGGAGATGTAGAATCTTTCACGTACCTGATCAACAGCATCATCAATGAACAAGGAGGATCCGATGCAGATGTAAAGGTGAGGATTGGCAAAGCAAGTGCTGCATTCCTACAATTGGAAAACATATGGAACTAAAAAAAAACTGACAACTAACTTCAAAGTTAATCTTCAATACAAACGTCAAGATATTCCCACTGTACGGAGCTGAAATGTGGAGAACTACTACATCCATCGTCAAGAAGGTACAAGTACTTATAAACAGCTGTTTACGCAAGATACTCAACATCTATTGACCGGATACCATCAGCAACAGCATTTTATGGGAGAGGACAAACCAGCTTCCAGCCGATGAGGAAATTAGAAAAGAACATTGGGAGTGGATCGGACATACATTAAGGAGATCACCGATGTGCATAACAGGACAAGCCCTAACCTGTAATCCTGAACGGAAACGGAAAAGAAGAAGGTCGAAGGACACATTACGTCGGGAAATAGAAGCAGTTGTGAAAAGGAAGAATAACAACTGGAAAGAATTGGATTATCGAGGATTGTACAGTACGGAGTTGTATGGTGAGTGCTGGTGTGCGGCATCTTCTCCTTCACGATGGGTAGCAGACGTTAGTAAGTAAGTTATGGTTTTTTGAACTCACTAACTTAGATGTATATTTGCAGCGAAAGGCAATGGTTTTCCAGTACCAGTTACAACATCGATATTTGGATGCAGATAATTTCAGATGACAAGCCTCAATCATGAGAAAAAAAAACTTGACATCTAGTTTCGATTACTAGTCACAAATCTATTCACTTTATAATTGACTAACTTTATGTACTTTTATAAGCAAAGATGGACAGTGGTTAGCAGTGGAATTCAGGACGAGAGTTTCATCTTATTTGAAACTCGTCAGCTGGATGTACGTGCATCTCAGAATTGATGTTCACTCTGGGACTCGAACTCAGTACCATTTGCTTCAAACGCCATCGCGTTATCCATTCAGCTACTGAGTCGTGATAGCCACTTGCTTGTGCAATGGGGTTAAGTATGAATTTACTTAGTATTGTTTGTTTGAATCTTCCCATTATTATTTGGGACTGCAATTGATCAGTCTGTTATTGGCATATTTGCATAATGTGCGTATTCACTCGATATAGCCTTATTTCACAAGCATTATGAGCAAAGATGGATAGTGACTAGCAGTGGAATCCGGGAAGCGCATTTCATTCTATTCGGGACTCGAACCCAGTACAGTTCACTTCATTTATTTAGTAAAAATATTTAAAAAATTATTTAAATAGATTAATATATATTTTCAATATATTTTTAAATTTTAGATAATTAGAAATTCGGAAATTGAATTTCATTGCTTTGTATTGAAGAAAAATAATAAAAAGAACATTTTTTAAAAACGTTATACTACCAATATCATTTCTTTTTTTTCCTTTTTTTAAATAGAAATAAATTAAAAGAAGCTATAAATATTGAACCAATCCTTAAACAAGAAATAATTAATATGAAAAATAAAATTGAATCTATTAAATTAAAAATTCAAACCTTAACAGAAACATTTAAACAAAATGAACAAATATTTAATGAATTAAAACAACAATTAATTGAATTAAATAAAAATTTAAATAATAAACAAAATATAATAGAAAATTTATTAATATGGATTAAAAAAAATGAAGAAAATTTATTAAATCAATTTAATGATAAATTAAATATGGAATTAAATAAATTAAATGAATTATTGAATAAAAAATTAGAAGAATTTTCTAATATTAAAATGAATGAAACACAATTAAAAATTGAAAATGATAATTATGAAAAACGAATCATAAATTAGTAAGTTTATTATTCTGTTTTTTTTTATTTTTTTGAAATTTTTTAAAATTTTTTTACTCAGTTATTTATAGTTTTTATTGGGATAAAAAATTAAATTTCAACTATAAAAATGCTGAAATATCCACAAAACCCTTTCTGATCTATAATATCACTAGTGACTGACTGTAAGGGATGTTTCCTTGAGTTCTAGTGGGAAGCAGTGACCAAAGGAGTTCAACCAAGTCTGTTGTAGAGATATCAACGCACTGAAGACAGTTGGTGAACGGTTGCTCAAACATCGTGGATTGGTTGAAGTTAGACATTAATGTCGTTGGATGCCGGCTCAGTGGTCTATCGGTTAAGTGCTCTGATGCGAGACTAATAGGTCCTGGGTTCGAATCTCGCGAGTGTGGGATCGTGGATGCGCACTGCATAATAGGACGAAACGGCCGACCAGTGCTTCCAGGTTTTCCATGGTGGTCTAGCTTCAATTGACTCATGATTTCAACTATGAAAATACTGAAATATCCACGAAAACCCTTCTAATCTAAATTTTCAATATTTATCTAACTCTTATTATCATTATATAAAACTGTGGAATAATGAACATTTTAGAATATTAAAGATTACCATAGTGAAAATTAAAACAACACATGTAAGCGAAAAATTGTTTTCAATTAGATCATCATCAGGTTTCACCCTAATATACATGAATATTTATACGAAAATGTTAGACCAATTAAGGCAATTTGAATCAATAATCACAATGAAATAGAATACATTACCGAGCATAATTGGTAAAAGTACAAGTTGATAGTAGGAAGACAAGTGTACTATCGTTTTGTGATTACTATTCTAAGTCTAATTACTCACGTTTGATCTCCTATTCCCAATGTTTAACTATTGATAAGACTTTTGTTATCGTAATTTAATATTCTTATTACTATTAGTACACTTGTCTTTCCACCATCAACTCGTACATTTAACTATTATGCTTGGTTACCTATTCTATTTCATTGTGATTATTGACTCAAATAGCCTTGATGGGTCCAAAACATTTTCGTATAAATATTCATGTATATTAAAGTAAAGCCTGATGACGATCTAATTGAAAACAATTGTTCGCTTACATGTATTGTTCTAATGAACATTTGTTTAATTCTAATTTTGAATCCAAGTATAGGACAGTCAGTCACCAACAGCGCAGAATTTTGTATATAAGTATATCAGTTCAAGTTGCTATACTACATTAGTATAGATATACAATTGTCGCTTCAAATCCTATAGTAGTAAAGATAGTAAAAGTAAGGCAGTAATCGGAAGGATTATGGTTTACAAATGTTATTCAAGGAGTATAATGCAGTGAAATAAATTTAGAGAGAGAAAAAAGAAAGGAGTATGAAGAATTCAGAAGACTAGAATTTAGGAGAACACAAAGAGTGGATGTACCTGCACCATTGCGAACAATTTCGGGTCATATCATTCAAGGTCTCTAATCATAGATTGTTATCATCTCGAGGATCCCAACTAGTTAATCTACGCCTATTAACAAGGCCCATTCCACATTTCAGTGACTTCATGGATTTGTGTCATGTTTTGGTCTGACCGCCCCTAGCTTTCTTCCAATCTACTCCTACGCCATAAAACTTCGCTCATCGGGGCAGTTAGTGGTCGGGCATACGTAATATATGTTCCATCCATCTCAACTGATGATGTTTCACTACTTCATTAATTGACTGAATGTTCAAGTACAGAATATTTCTACCTCACATTGGATATATATATATATATATATATATATATTCTGATTAAATAATAAGAATTTCGATATTTTTATTATTGAGCATTTTAAAGTTACTCAGTTGAAAAGATGTAAAGAATAATACCGAATTCGAACTCATAAGTGTACTATAACTTTTTAAGGGGTAATCATTTTATTTTGATGTCAGAGTTAATTTGTTGAATGGTTATTCAAAATAATGATGAAACATTAAGCCTGTTTTAGTACTTTCTGAGATTTATCGGTAAGGTGCACTCGAATTCTTGGAAAGATAAACACTTCCAAACTTATGTTATGTAACATCTAAATACGTAACTGAGGCTTTATTTTCGTTATTTTTAACACACGAACATCAATTTAACCGTAATAAAGTGTTAAACCTACTCACTTGTCAGAGTAATCGATGGGATTTATTCAGCTTCCAAACATAACCAACTGTAACATAAGTTATCATACAATTATCCATTGACGTAGGTTAATTTCTTCCATGCTCTCATTGTCATACAAATAATGTCTCCATAACATTTTACGAATGATAGTTTTATAATTCAATTGATTGGTAGATATCTTTCTATAAGACTGAAAAGTGTTTGACATTTCAGACTTCTGTGTTTAAAATTTGTTTGAATAGTTAGTTCGTACTTCGTGAATAATGTTTAAAAACCTTAATACGACTTGATTTCTGTCTCTAAATAAGCTCTCTACATTACGGTCACCTTTTAATATATATTCATGCACGGTCAGGACAACTTTTATTTTGTATAAGAAAATTTTACTTAATAAGAAAGGACCCTTGGATCAATTTTTAATTATTAGTCATTCTAGCTGTCATCGAAGCATTGGTCACATATGGTGTGACAGTGTTTTGAGTAGTACTGAGGTCAGATACAGGATGACAATAAATCTATTGGTAAAACTGTGAAGTTACATCGACTGAGGTATCTGGGATATGTATTGCGTATGCCTAAACACTACTTGAGTTGACAAGTAGTGTCGAGTAACATTGGATTCGTTTTCAAGGACTCCTAGGGTACCCAAATTAAAAGCTGCCATCAAGCCATAAAGCCACTGACAGTCGTTCAGAGCTGTATTAGTAGATGAAGACTACCTGGATGGAAGCGCATGATTAAATGTTATGGAAATGAAATAACATAGATTTGAATCAGCTACATTGGCGAAGGTTTATTCACTCTTTATCTACCCTTAGAGCTTTGAATTTAAGATTATTTTGTGCTTTTCATTCTCAGCATTTATTCTTTCTCACCAAATTATATTTCCTTTTACATCTATTTCTATTATCATTGAAACTACTATTACTTCTCCAACTGCGATATCCATTGCGATAAGTTAGTCTGGTTTCATTAATGTGGTAATGACAACTCATACCGATGAATAAGCATACCAGATTCATATATTACTCTTCATTGACTGGCTGACTGAACAATGAAATTTCATAATATGTTACTTAAACATCTATCCGCCTATCGATCTGTGTATACCGTAGCTAATTTCTTACTTTAATATTTTGTCGCTTTTTTGGAGGTTAATAACTTGTATAACCAGTTTATTTTATATTTGATTTTGATGTTATTCTTCTTGTTTTTGTTTTAATATTTATAATATAATACTTATCAACTTATTAGTCAAAATGAAATATCTAAATTTAGAAAATCTATTGAATTACTTGAATCACGTTTACTTACTGCACAAGATTTATTACAAACTTCAAATACTGATTATAATCGTACACAATTAAAACATTCATCAGTTAAAGATGATTTAGAATTAACTAAATCTCGTACAAGAACAGAACAAGATGAAAAACAAAATATGTTAAAATATTTACAGCACAAAATAGATGAGGTTAGTCAATTATTATTGATATAAGTGTTAAAAGAGTAGTAGTATATATTGATTTATTTCATGAGTAATTTCTTTTTTGGAACGATAGGCGAGGTTGAGTTGTGACAAGTTATTCTAAACTGAATACAATTTATTATTCGATAGACATTTGATTAATTTATACTGTACAACTGATATGATACAATCACATTTGATAAGAATCTTATACAGGTTAGTACAGTAACTTGTATCATTATTTGAAAAGTTAATTCATGATTCATTTTCATCATGTTTTCAATGATAAACAGAATGAAATAAATGAAATGTACAAATGTCCGGAAACGTTTGCTTATTGTTTGGTTCGTTTTTTAGCTCACATTTCTATTTCTGTATTGTCTAAAAAGGGTGTTTCCGCAAGATATCTATTAAAGTTTAAATATTGATGCCTTTGTGTGTTTTTGTGTTGTAAATACCCTTTCCGGTTACATTTTATATTTCATGTCGAATAAATTAAAAACTTTAGTCTAATTTTATCGTTCATTAGAGGCTAGATTGGATAATCTATGTTGTCGTATTACAGAATATTTGAAGCAGGTATCCTGCCTGGTAAGGACCATAAGCATAGCTAGAATGAGATGCGCTTATCTCAACAACATTATTTTCAGTGATTCGTTCTAGGTGTAAGGTAAATATGTGTTTCCTTTGTTTCGTATGGGCTGAAAAACCGAAATAAGAACAAAACTAGAGTTCCAGGTTCCACTGCTAGTCACATTCAAAATATATATTAATAAAGCATTCGAGGCTCATTATTATCATATTTTCTCCTTTTTATTTGCATTTTTCTATCACACTGTAAAGAACAATGAAAAGTTGAATAATTACAGCATGATATCAAGTCTCGTGCAGCTCACACTAGTCACTTACTTTGTACTAAGCAGAATAGCTTGAATCCCAATTAAAAACCCAATTAACAAAGTGTACTAAACATGTTTCATGAAGCTGCATATCAATGATGGTCAGGTTTAATTGTTTGCTAGTGTTTTCCAAAACAGATGAATCAGTAAATGTAACAATCTATTTATTTAAATACTGAATTGTTTAGATTAATTTTTTTTTAATATTTACATGTAGATCTCTAACTTTGTATTACGATCAAACTGGTTTTTAAGTTCATATAAACGTGTTTAGACACGTGACTGATGCTTTCATTTTACTTGATTATCAAAGATTTCAGTTTTACAACAGTCATTGTCAAAACATGATTTATTTTTATGGTTCATCATATTATTAATCTCATTGCCATTAGAATCACGCTACAGATGATATTAGGAGAGAGTTAAATGGAATCCATGAGCTAATTCTAGATACCTGATTGGTGCATAAATTTATTGTCAAGTCACCGAAACAGTTCGATAAATTTATGAAAGTATGACTTTTTTAAATCAATACACTCAATACTAAATTCATCATCAGTGAATAAATAAATGGATTTGGTTAGCAAGGTGGTCAGATTTTTATTACTCACACGATGTTAACTTCCAAAGATAAATGGGATAATAATGATCATGATGTTGTGAACGATATAAGAAATGTGTTACTGTTGTTTTCTCATGGATTTATCTTTCAACATGACTGAAGCCATTTCATTTTTTTTTCAAATGAATTGAAAATACTACTAACAAATTTAAATGTGGCTTTTGAATTATCCTTTCATGAATAGAATAAGATTTAAAGAACAACCTTTATAATTCGATTTGTAAAATATATCATACGATGAGTTGGCAATAAATAAGCTTTACAAAATTAATCTATTATTTAAAGTAAAACTTATTGATGAACTAAAATTATTAATCAGTAATGGGTCGTGGAGATTGTTGAGTTTTTGTTGAGATCATGAACCGATCAATATTAAACCACCATCGGAAACATAGAAGCACTGGACGACCATTCTGTCCCAGTATGGGATTGGTTGACGTTAGATATCGACACAGTTAAATACCGGCTCAGTGGTCTAGAGGTAAGGTGTTCGCGCGCAAGACTGAAGGTTCTAGGTTTGGATCAGACTTGCGATATCATCGATGGGTACCACTGAGGAGTCACATACTGGGGTGAAATAGTCGTCCAGTGCTTCCAGTTTTTCACTACTGGTCTAACATTGATCAGTTCATGAGCTGAACTAAAATTATTTAAAAGCTTTGATGACCGAGTCAATCATAATTTGAAACGTGAATTTCAGAGTTACATCTACAACGGTTTTACTTGAAAATAATGTGATCAATATTATATATGCGACTTCAATGAATAATTGGGTGATTCGAGTCAGTGAAGTGTAGAGTATGATTTTCATCTTTTTTAATATTAGGTAAAAAAATATACCGGCATCCACGATACAGTGTCACTAATCAGCCAAAATATAATGTTTGTATAGTTACTCTTCATTTCAGTACAAATATCGAATGGATTTTCATTTATTCAAATCATATCTTAGATCTATACACAAAATATCATACCTGTATACAAATACATATATATAAACCTTTTTCTATAATCTTAACTCTTTTTCCTTTGATTTAACAGGTTTGATAAGTGTATTTCATTTCTATCAAAGTATAATAAGTAATACATTGAACAAAATTATTTACTCAGCTGTGTTACTATGAGTATTTTCCATAGCTTTTGAGATAAGTAGAAAAATGTATGTAAACAACATTGAAACTAGAATAACCTAGTGAGTATCAGTGTTATAGTACAGTATTTGTTAATATTTATGTTTTCGGGTTTATAGCTGAATATTCAAGAAATACTAATACCATTGTTTCTAGATCATGAATGCTTTTTTTACTATTCAAATGCATTAACTTAAACTCTTGGATAAACATATGTGATAACTTGTATACTGCCAACGATCTGATAATCATCACTTAATCATTAGTCATAAGTCAGAAATTTTTCAAACAAGCTCAGAAAAAATAAGAGACGATCACTGAATTTTATATTTAAGTCGACATATCTTGTTCGATTTTGGAATTTATTAGGCTTTAATAGATGTGAATTCTTAAGTAAAAATCTCATACTAATTAATGGTTAAGCAATACTGTTAGTCAAAGTAAGGATCTTCAATAAGAATATCAAGACGGTCCTACTGTATGGAGCTGAAACGTGGAGAACTACTACATCCACCATCAATAAAGTACAAGTATTTATAAACAGTTGTTTACGCAAAATACTCAACATTCACTGGCCGGACACAGCAGCAGCGTTTTATGGGAGAGGACAAACCAGCTTCCGACTGAAGAGGAAATTAGGAAAGAACTTTGGAAGTGGATCGGACATACATTAAGGAAATCATCAAACTGCATCACGAGGCAAGCCCTAACCTGAAATGGTAAAGGGAAGAGGAAAAGAGAAAGGTCAAAGAACACATTACGTCGAGAAATAGAAGGGGATATGAAAAGGATGAATGTTAACTGGAAAGAAATGCCCAGGACAGTATGGGATGGAGAATGCTGGTGGGCGGCCTATGCTCCTTTACGAGGGGTAACAGGAGTAAGTAAGTAATACTGTTAACAATATAGTCCTATTTTTAATTTTGATCATCTGAAACTGAATGCAAGTGAAGAAGTACACTATTCAGGAAAACAGTTTATTCATGAGTCCTAACTTTCCGATAATCAGATTGCTTTTAGTTAACTTTAGTACATTTCTCTTGTTAATTAATCTCAATTGATATTCTCTAATAATTGAATACATGTTATATCATTTATTTAAAACACATAGGAGTGTCAAATTAAATCTAAACTGATGATAGACTTAGAAAATAATCTTATAGAATTTGAAAAAATTAAACAAGATGGTTATCAAAAACGTTTAGAATTAGAAGCAACAGTTAAACAATTAGATAGTAATTTTGAAAATGTTAAATCAGAATTAGAAGCTATTCGATTAAATAATAATTATTATTTAGAACAATTGAATATTAAACAAAACGAGTATAAACAAGTAAGTAACCTTTTTATTCCATTTTAAATTTGTGTATAACCATGAAATTGATATACTACTAATATATACTACTAACATTCTATAAATTAAACTTGATTTACTTAAATGATTTTAAATTAAAAAATTAAACTAATAGTTTGAATATTGTTGAAATCATGATTCCATTGAAGCTAGACCACCATGAAAAACCTGGAAGCATTGGATGGCCGTTTCGTCCTATTGTAGGACTCTTCATTTGAACATTTAAAATGAAACACTAGAGCTTTTGAATATGACAATTGATAAGCAATATGATAACTAATTTACAAAGAAAATAATGTCAATTAATTATCTTATGAAATGATTCACAATGATGATATTTGAATTATTCAATTGTTAATGTTCACTTGTATCTTCCCATTGTTGTTTAGAACTGCAATTGATCAGTCTCTTGTTGGCATATGTGCATTCTGTGCGGATTACCTCGATATTACCTCAAGTTACAAGCTTTATAAACAAAGATGGATAGTGGCTAGCAGTGGAAACTCTGAGATGAAGGTACATCCAGCTGACGAGTCCCGAATAGGATGAAATGAGCGTCCTGGATTCCACTACTAGCCACTATTCATCTTTGCTTATAAAGATATTTAAATTAGTTTTCGATTAAATCATAAGTTAATATAAAAATGATAAATTGTAAAAGAAAATTAGTTGTGGGAAGAGAAAACAATAAGAAATTTCATCATGTTCAGCTACATGAACAAGGTCCAAAGTGGCAAAATTATTCTTTCAACTTGAACAAAAATTAAAAGTAAAGAATATAAAAAAGCAGTAGCATCAGTGCTACTTATTCTCTTACTACTTCTACCACTACGGGATTCGAATCGACAACTGCACCTCTGTGCTAATGTGGTATGGCGACTCGAACTGATGTACGTCCGTACGAAGTTATACGTTGTGACTGACTGACTGTTGGCAGCAAATTCAAACATAGAGCAGGTAATACAAACGAAACTAGTGAAATGAAAAAAAAGGAAAACATGAAATACCGTTAAACTTAAAGTTAAAAGGAGGATAAAAAAAGATTTCAAATGTTAGGTAAACTCTGAATGGGTTTATCTATTAATGGATTTTTTTTCAATCTACTATCAGGTTAGCCATTATTGCATGTTGATTTGAAGGGATGATTGAAAATGTGTCATATGTGCATCAATCATTTCAACTGATAAAGTTTTACATTTCCATTAATTGATGGACCACATTTATCCAATACCATACTACTAACTTTATCATTAGTCACTTGATGATTCTACAATACATGAGTAATAGTTAGAAAAAACCTTTGATTTAATACTAAGGATCTGTTTTTCTACACCAATTATTTAATCCAAAATTAGACCAATATTTCCGGTTATATCAGTGTGTCAAGTGAAATGTTAGACTATACTAAGCAAATGAATATTTCTTACTCTTTGTATTTCATCTATATATGGTTTACGTATTTTTTTTAATGTCCAACTCATGTCTACAACTATTTAAATAGATTAATATGGAGTAAGATCTATTGTAACATTTCACTCCTACTTTGTATATATTCAAAGTTGAAAAAACGTAACCAACCTGTACACTTTAATGTTTTTTGTGGATTATTGCCTAGTGCTATTGGGTCTTTAGTTTGGTGTTGTATGAAGAATATTGATTGTATAAACATTTAAGACATTGTAAATGAATTCAATAACCCATTTACTATCTCTGGCATGTTCTGCGTATAAGGGGACTTAACTGATTAGTACCTTCCCCAAAAGAAAAAACTAAAGCTGAATTTTAGTTTCCATTGTTAGTTTTTCTTTTAAAAAAACACATAGTAATCGATCATACAATTTTTCTTCTTACTATTTAATTTGTATCCATCAAGTTTGAAAATGAATGGAATGAAGAATATTCTACAATGTGTAATAAAGTTCAAACACTAGATGAGTCTTTACTGAAATCTAAAACACAATTCAGTGAATTAAAAACAAGATTAGAAGGAATGAAAAATGAGAAGAATTTTCTACAGGAGAAACAAAATAAACTTAAATTATCACTATTAGCATTAATGAAAGTGAAACTACGAGGAACTACGAAATTAAGTCAGTTGAGGTGAATTTATTATTATTTTGTTTCATAAGTTATAAATATTTTCTGAGTCTAAATATATTTTTATGAATCTGTTTTTTATGATATTTAGTCGGAAGCAACGGACAGGATACTCTTGACTTAGGGTTTTGTGTCAGCAGACATTTGTAAGGAAGGCGTATCTTAAATCCTCAGGGAACCGATACTACTCCTCAGGATTTGCGTCTATACAACTAATGTTGGAGTTAAGTCTGTTACCACTGAGGTACCTGACCTATATAGTATGACTCAAATTTTCGCACTCATTGGTTATTCGAACTTTATTTATAATTTTCACCCGGGAGACCCGGGTACGGTATACTACACAAATCTATAACAAGGAGTTGAGGATTACTCCACCCTTCTTTTTAGTTTTAAATTATTTTGTCATTTTAGTTAAACGTTTTTCATAATGTTCAAATTTTTAGATGCACGGTTGCTGATCTTACCAAAACAAATAAAACATTGGTCTCAGAAGTAGACATTTTGAAAAGGCAAACTGAACAAATGAATCAACTTCAAACTAAACGTGAATTACAGCTGTCTAACCTAATGAAAACTCGTGATTTAGTATTGAAAAAACTGAAGGTAATACTTATCGAAAATCTTTTGATTTCTAAACACTTCATACATCACTTAGTACTAGGTGTGAAATTTGCGTCATCTATAATTATAATTATAGAAAGCACGTTTAATAGATGTATTGTTATGTGAGAAGTTGTAAGCTCAACAGTCTATTTCATGGACTGATGGTTTGACCGTCCCCTCTCAACTTCATTTCAACTTATTTCTGCTCCAGAAAGTACTGCTCATAAAGGTAGGGTGTGGTTAAACGTACTTCAGACATATTCCAGACACTTCACACAATAACAATTCAGAGCTTCGGTAACTGACTTCCCAATTCCTCTAAATATCATACGTCTGACTTCAATATTGTTTACCCCATTGTTCCTCGATATTCGGAGGATTCTTTGAAGACGACACCTACGATTTACTGAAACTCATTTTTTCAAATGATCTAGATCTTTCTTGGATGAAGTCAATGTTCTTATTATTTGAGAGTTAGTGCAATGGCAAACCATTTAAGTTTTTGAACAACTAATATATTCTCTGATAAAACTCAGTTTCCGTCTACTTTCTTTTTACTCCAACCATTACCAAAAGTCATGGATAATTCAGTGAAGTAATTCCTTTCTTTTCTTCAACCAAACGCTGGATTTAATCATTTATATAAAGAAGAACACGAAACATTTATAAACTTTCATTTGCGTGATATAATTTACTCGATAATACTGATTTATAATGAAAGCTCCATCTTCATTAAAAGCTGGAGGAATGTTTGTTTTACTTATTCATGAATTTAAAATGTTTTTTTTCCTTTTACAAAAAAATCAAACTATAAAAAAAGTGTCCTCTTCTATTTGTTTATTATCATACTAATCCTATCAGGAGGATTTAAAAGAGAAACTCTCGCTTAACTTAACATTATCTGATCAATATATTAAAATGCAAGAAGAACAAAGTAAATTGTTATCATTATTCTACTTAGCTGTAACAAATTCTATATTAGATCAAAATCAATTATTCAATGCAGAGCAAGTGAGTATCAGTGTGATGCTATAATACCTTAGTACTATGATTATTCATTATTATTATTATTTTATCAATTTGTAAGGAATTATTGGACATATAATCGATTTTAATAAGCAAATTTCATTCTTCGATAACAATCTAATTTCCTGGGTTGATAGGTGACTAACTTAAAACTGCAAATATAAATAATAAATAATAGTATAGGTCCTTCTTATACAGTATGTTCTTATTTCCCCCCCTTCCGGCCATAGGAACATGAAGAAGCCTAGTAGGCTCTTTTGGAGAAGAGTGCTACATCGAAGCACGGCACAACTACCGGGGCTCAATAGCTGTTTTTACAATGCTTATGCAGAATCATTACACCATTCTTTCTTTTATTTTTTGGGCAGACTCATTCTTACTTTCTTTCTGAACCAACAATAATTATGCAATGATTCTTTGTAGCAATCGTAATCATTTGTGGGTATAAGCAGAGTGGTTGATTAGGCCAATCTCCACCATCCGTGTTACCGCTCACGTTAGTACATGGAAACAGTTCCATGATCCAGGAGGCATGACGAGGACGTGTGAATCGGGTTTTGCCTCCCATGTTCTTATTTCACTATCAGAAAATAAATATATTCCGTTAGTTTATTTTAAATGATCTATTTGTAAGGAAGTGACAATTAATTGCGATATAAAATCACACATATTGATAAGAAATGTAATCACATTATATGGTTAATTATATAATTCTTAATATATTCACAAAAATTAACCAGTCAACTACATCATTACGGAAACCCCTGTTTTTTATTTTCCAATCATGTACATGTACACTCTATATTTCTCTATTTATTGAATCGATATAAAATTAGAAGTACCATATTACCTAACAAATTGCCAGGTACCTTTCAGTGGGACTAACGATCAATTTAAGCTGTGAAATGGAATAAATTATTGAGCGTCCCATAAATATCATTAGTTTGAACAGTGATAATTCTATTCTTTAGTACAAATGTCCAACGAATTCACCAAGCTCTTAAGTCAAAATCTAAAAAAAGGTCGAAGGAGTGAAATGTGTAGTTTAATTCCATAAAAATTAAAGGTTCATGCTTGCAGAATGCACACATACATATAAGCACAATTCATTTATCAGATTAATTGTTTACTTGAAACACGAAAATTATTTTAAACAATACATGCATGGGCATATTATGAATAATGTATCCATAATTTAGCTTAAAAGTAATATGGTACTTGAATGATTATTGTTAAGTATCATTATTGATTCGAGAAAGTGTCATCAATGTTTATAAATTAATATAATTAAATATAGTAATTGATCATTTGTTTATTAAATTAAAACATGTGTATTGTGAATGTTTTCATATACACAATGTAATTAGAGATAGGTATCTACCAAATTTTATTGACAAGTGAATCTTTATCGGTTATGATTAGCGATATCTATTCAAAAAACCCAACAAACGAATTTTAACGGCAAACATTCACAGTGCCTCCACATCACTGATGTAAACTACATGTTCGACAATCTCCACACCCTCACATACTTATGATAATTATCTAACTAACTTTAAGGTAATTGCCGGAGTTCAGTAAGAAGCTGCAACCAATAGAGTTTAACTATGACAGTTGTGAGATAGATATCACAAAGGGCAATGGGAGATGGTTGCTTAAAATTGCTAATCTACTGAAGTTATAGATGTAAACCACTAGATGTTGAGTCAGTGGTCTGAGGAGTAAGTGCTCGCCATGAGATTTAATGGTCTTGGTTTCAACTCATAGAGGGATTTCGACGAGTCCCATGCTGAGACAAAACAACTGCCCTCAGTTCCTTGGTTTTCAAAGGTTGTTTAACTAAAGTCAATTCGTAAACTACTGATACAGTGGTCTCCACAATTTCCTCCATACAAGATAATCTCACATAGTTTTCAAAAGTTATTTAGTATACGACAGGCTATTTGAATGGAACTCTAAAAAACAAAACAATATTAATTATCTCTTATTATTATCCCAGAAAAAGGTGAGTTTGACGATGATGGAAGATATAATTATTATTATAAATATAATAATCATGTTAATAATTAAACCTCGTATTGAAAGTTTATGTATTAAGCAATGGAACAAATTTATTATGTTGCAGTGAAACCGACTTATTTTGCTTGGTGGTTTTGTGAAGAAAGAAGCTGGGTGTTCAATTTGTACTGAAAAATACGTCATACTGTTATCCTTCGAAAATTATTATATTAAATTCAAAATCACTTTTTATTACAGAATTTACAGAAATGTATGGTTATACAAGCAATCATAAGATGATATAATGTAGATTACTTACCAGTTATGATTGAGATAGCTGAATCCAGTCTAAAATCAACAATACGGCTATATTGTAAGAACATGGTTTAAATAACCTTGTGATGAAACAACAACGGACTTTCATACCACAGAGTATTAAGTTGTTTATTCGTATTCCTAGAGCCGGTTTCACCAATTCAGAGTGAAAGTTCGGGTGAAGATAAACTTCAGTCTTGTTCGCAATTTCGAACTTGAACCTGACAACCGACCAAAATGGAGCGAAAACTATTATTTATAATATTTTAATTCATGTTGGAGGACATGTTTAGTTCTCTGTCGTTTTTTGCTGGCTTACATGATAAATGTAAAGCTCCTAACGACGAAAATAGCAGCTCATTCGGTCATTATGGAAGAAAAATTGCAATATGGCAATAATCATTACCTCCAATTAATTCTGTAATTGAAATCATTCCAAAATATCTACAGCTGAGTGACAATATGGACGAAAACACAACCGTATTTACTGACTAAGATACATCTAGATGACTTGATAATGTCGAGTTTATCCTGACCTGAGCTTATATATTCATATTTATTATGCTCTTCAATTAAACTGTTTGGTTGTGTTATTTTAGTCTGTAATAATTTGTTCATATTTTCATACATATGTATCTTCTCGCTTGTACAGATGAGTATAAGTAGTTGACATCCTACGCATTTATTGCTTATACTCGCTCAAATGTTAATTACTTATTGCTTGATGACTCGCTTGTATAACGTTGATTACATATTTGGTTAAATGATATTCACTAATTTATCTTACACATTGTGTGCTTACTGGTTGTTTAACTAAAGATGTGCCAAAATTGAGCTGTTGAGACAGTTTCGTTTGGCCATTTGAAAACTTTATTATGGTATTAACGACAGTCAGGTTGATTAATATAAGAATTCAAGGGATAGTGTTGTAGATAATTTCCAGCAAGCTGAAGATTATAGTATACTAGCTAGTCGTTATTACTCCGAATAACATGTACTATAGTTCTTTCAGATATCGTGTAAGGAAGTTATAATTAGAATTTGTCGGTTTGATCTTCAAAAATCGGTAATTTCTAAAAGTAAACATTTTGAGTTGTAAATTAATTTCCACAAAAAAATCTAAAAAAAATCAAAGTAATTCAAAGAATACGATAAACTAATTTTACTTTGAAGCCTCTTTCCAGCTACAGGTAAACAGTCTAACATGTTATTAATATTCATCAGCAGTATAACAATCCTGATATGTAATAAACGTAAAAGAATCGTTAAAGCATGTCGATGGCAGAAAAGGTTGTAAAATATCATCATCTGTCAAGATTATTATATAAAATATTTTAAAAACCTTTATCAATGGTGGATCATAGTAATATAATTAATGAATGATACAAATGGAGAAGATTTGTAGCCCAAGTGGATGATTTTGATGAAATTTTGTTCTCTGAGCAAACCATCCAGCTAGGAGAACAAAACTTCATCAGAAAGATACAAATGTTACTTATAAATTTAATGTATAAGAACTTCAGATTGTAAAAAGACCAGTAAAATTAGTTTTAAATTCATCAATCGAAAAAAACTTATGGTTATAAAAAAGGACGAAAAAATCAGTTAGTTATAATCAATTCACAGTAATACCATAAATATACATTGACTCAAGTTACTATACCATATCAACATAAACAAAACTACATAAGTGTAATAGGCATCAAAAATTTAGAAAATGATAGTGAGATAAACAAAATATTGAGAATATAATTTTTAAAGAAAAAATGATGGCAAATTAAATTTACCTTTAAGATATAATGTGAAAATAAAAAAAAACTAGTGAAATGTTTCATTCAATGCACTTGGTATTGTTTGTTTGAATCTTCCCATTGATTTTTAGGACTGCAATTGATCAGTCTCTTATTGGCATATATACATACTGTGCGTATTGCAACGATATAGCCTGAATTCACAAGCATTATAAGCAAAGATAGATAGTGGTTAGCAGTGGAATCCAGGACGCCCGTTTAGTCCTATTTGGGACTCATCAGCTGGATGTATCTCCATCTCAGAAGCCAAAGGTACTGAGTTCGAGTCCCAGAGTGAACAACAACTCTGAGATGCAGGTACATACAGCTGAAGAGTCCCAAATAGGACGAAACGCACGTCCAGGATTCCGCTGCTAGCCACTCTCCATCTTTGTTTCTTTCAATAACCTGAACATTTTTCAATGTGTCATTGTAAATAAATGTCTTAATGTTTCCATAGTTGAAATCATGAGTCAATTGAAGTTAGACCACCATGGAAAACCTGGAAGCACTGGATGGCCGTTTCGTCTTATTATGGGACTCCTCAGCTATGCGCATTCACGATCCCGGTTAAGTGCTCTGGCGCGAGATTGGTAGGTACTGGGTTCGAAACTCGCGAGTGCGGGGTCGTGGATGCGCACTGATGAGGAGTCCTATAATAGGACGAAACGGCCATCCAGTGCTTCCAGGTTTTCGATGGTGGTCTAGCTTCAATTGACTCATGATCTCAACTATGAAAATATTGAAATATCCACAAAACCCCTTCTGGTCTTAATGTTTGTTTTCTTAAAATTATCCATTTATTATTTAATTAAATAATTACATTATTATTATTATAGCTTTTAGTATTATGGGCAAGAATTTTACGTCAACGTAATTATTGGGAATTGAAACTACAAGCAAAACAAGAAACAAAAGTTAACGATTTATTAAACCATAATTATCAAATTAATCAACAAATTAATGAAATTAATACAAATATGAAACCATTACTTTCATTAGAGTATAAAACATGAATTTTTGTTCAGTCTAAAACACATTAGGGAATAATGATCTTCCTGTGAATGATAAGATGGGACTACAAAAGATGGAGAAAAAAAACGAATCGTGGTACAAATTTTATTATTTTTTTAAAAAAAAAAACAAAATAAATTGCTTTCCATTATCTTATTTTTTAGTTCTTTATTGAAATATTATCAGACGTTTTGTGGAGATTGGAATAATTTAATAGTTGAATTCATGAGTCGGTTAAAGCGAGATCACTTTAGAAAAGCTGAAAGCATTGGACGACCGTTTTTTTCTAGTATGGGACTTCTCAGCAATGCGTGTCTACGATCAAGTTTGCGGGATTCGAATCCAGAACTCAATGGTCCAGAGGTTAAACCTTTCCATGCGATATCAAGGGTCCTGCGTTCGAATCCCACAAGTGGCATCGTGGATGCGAACTGCTGGCGAATCTCATACTAGAACGAAACGACTGTCCAGTGCTTTTCATGGTGGTCTGGTTTTAATTGAATCATGACCTTAACTATTAAAACTATTCAAATATGTTCGATTTATTTTAGTGTACATTAATGCAACACCTGTAATTTGTTTCGAAACTGTAATGCTGTAATAAGTATGCAAATACACTAATTATACATTTTACTCTCCAAACAAGTCAACTATTATTATAGGAAATTTAAATGGATAGCGAAATCGATTCATTTCACCATGTGCAGGTACTCATGTTTCGGTCATACACAAGTTGCTTTCGGTAACGCCTAAAGTGGGGATAGCCAATTTATTACTTCATACAAAAATTACAGAATATCTTGATAAAATATGAGAACCGTACATTGAATAATTCATTTGCGAAATTTCGCTATTTGTCCTCCATATTTTATATGATTCTTCCAAGTCACAGTTCCTTCCCATTTCCGTTTCTATTTTCTTCAAGTCGACCTTCATAGTCTTCTGTTGCCGGGTTTTCTACTTCCGTTTGATGTTACATGCTACTTATGTCTGTCGACATTAGTAGCATACACCACAATACTATTCCCTGAGAACCCGTACCAAAGTAATTTAAACGGGATTCGAACCTGTGGTTTACAGGTTGAAAGTCAAATGGTTTGACGAATAAGAGCAAGAATACGGATAAAGAGAAAAAAGACAGCAATTTTGTCTCTTAAAACTAAAATTACTCAAGTGTGATTACGGTATATGTCGAAACTGAACATTTCTATCGTAAGATTGTGTGCTCGAGAGCAGTGATGATGACTTATTTGGTGTCATTATTTTGAAATAGTTTCAATGGTTTTGGGTATGTTTAACGAATGTCGGGCCAGCGAATTCTACATTATCATGGACTGCCAACTTTGGGGCTGGTTTAAGAAAGTGGAGAGGTGTTCAGCTTATGACATAGTATCAGGGTATGAAAAAAAAACAGTATACGACTATCACCTGTCGATCAGTCACGAATTCCTAGCTGGGGTTTTGGAAATGGCGCAAATCAGTTTATTGAGACATCATCAGACATGTTTCAGAAAAGAAGCTAATGGGGATCCAACTGTAGATCTTTCTTAATCTTTATAAAAATAAAAAAAATTCGAAAGAGATCTTTACTGACAATTATTTTTCAAATGAGTTGTTAGTCCTGTTACACGTTAATTTTGTTCATTTATTTGTTTCTTTATCTTCAAAAATATTTTGATTTCCTTTCGTTATTCACAATATTATTTCCATATTTTCTGTAGAGGATTCTATTTTTCGGATCCAATTGTATAAGACTTTATTCACTTATGCCTGTTACCCCTAGTAGACAAGCATGGGTCGCCCACCAGCATTTTTCTGCACACTCAGTCCTGGACAATTCTTTCCAGTTGCTATCCATACTTTTCATGTCTGCTTCCAATTCTTAACGCAGGTCACATAGGGGATTTCCTGTCCACATTGTCAAACGCCTTCTCATAGTCAATGAATGGTGACGAGTTTCACTCAACTGATTGTTCGACAATGATCTGTAGTGTCGCGACTCAGTCTGTGTACAACTTATCCTTACGAAATCCAGCCGGATGATCTCGAAGTTGAAAGTCTATTGAATCTTTCATCCGGTTCAGCAAGACTCTATTGAAAACCTTTTCTGGTACTGACAACAGTGTGATGCCTCTGTAGTTCTCACATTTGCTCAGATCTCCCTTCTTTGGTATCTTGATGAGATATCTTTCTCCCCAGTCTGTCTGTGGTACTTATTCTTCCTTCCAAATCTTCCTGAATAGAGTGTGAGACATCTTTGCAGTTAATTCAATGTCTGATTTCAGTGCTTCGGCTGGTATTTTGTCAGGTACTGCGGCTTTCCCGCTCTACATTCGTCTGGTCATCCTGATTTCTTTTATCGTTGGCGGAGTGACATCTATAGGAAGTCTATAGGTGCTGCTTCGGTGTCCGGTGGATTCAATGCAGCTGGCCTATTCAACAGTTCCTCGAAGTGCTCCATCCATCTGTCCTTCCGTTCCTGCATTTCCGTGATCGTCATCCCTTCTTTGTCCTCGACCGGTCTCTCTGCTTTGCCACACTTCCCTGCTAGTTTCTTCGTCGTATCATATAGTTGTTCCATATTTTCGACACTTGTAGCTTTTCTCGCTGTCGTTGCTAGGTGTTCCTTAGATTTCTGCTCGTCGGCTTCAATGCCCCTTTTTACTTGATTGTCTGCTTCTGTGTATTCAGCTCGTGCCTTAACTTTCTCTGTTCTTTTAAGACTGTTGTTGATTTCTATCTTCTTTTTTTTTATTTCTTGAACCTTGTCCACGTTTTCGATGAACATCCATCCCTTATGATGACGATTCTTGAGGCCCAGAACCTCCTGACATGTGCTTCTTTTATCCCTTTTCACTCGCTCTCTTTGGAAGATTTCTCTGCATTGAGTAGATCTTGTGAGTCTTGGAACCTGTTGTTGGGAGTTATCTTGAATTCGTTGAGTTTGTCAGTATGTCGAAAGTAGGATATATTGAACCTTTGTAATGCTGCTTCTTTAGTTTCAGTTCTACCTCACTAACCACCAGTTGGTGGTGACCTGAAGCTATGCCAGCTCCTGTCATGGTTCTCACGTTTCCATTGACCTCCTGAAAATTTTATAGATACAAATATAATTGATCTGGTTCTGCGTAGTGTGATCTTGCGAGACTCATGTTGCTTTGTGTATGTGTTTATGAAGTACCAGAGGGACACCTATAACCAATTCATTGAATGCACATAGATTTGCAAGTCTCTCCCCATTTTTGTTTCTCTCTCGCAGTCCATGTCGTCCCATTATATCTTCATAGCCAATGTTATCCATTCCGACTTTGGTGTTTAGATTTCCCATCAGGATGGTGAGGTCCTTTCTTGAGCACTTCGCTATGATCGATTGCAGCCTCTCATAGAACTGATCTATATTGTCGTCCTTGTTATCATTGGTGGGTGCATAACACTGGATAACATTCATTGTGATTCCCTCCTTCTTTGTCTTGAAAGATGCTTTGGTGATCCTGGATCCGTGAGATTCCCATCCTACAAGTGCATTTCGTGCTTCTTTGGACAGAATCAGAGCAAGTCCCTGAGTATGCGGAGCATTTTCCTCTTCGTGACCGGAATACAGAAGCATCTCTCTCGTATCTAGCCTTTGGTGTCCAGTGGGTTTCGCTGACTCCGAGTACTGCTAAGTTGTATCTACTTATTTTCATAGCTATTTGACTAGTCTTCCCGGCCTGCCACATTGTCCGGACATTCCATTTATCTATATTAATGGTTGCTCTGGTTGTTAGAAGTAGCATCGGCCTCGTGACTTCCGAAGAATCTCAGCCTTCACTTTGAGGCGTCATAATTATTCTTTCCACTCGCAGAGCCGTTTAAATGGTTTAATTTATTTAATCTGTTTGGTCTTTTTAGCGAGATTTTTTTCTACGGGATGGAGATGCTGACCTCATGCCCAACCCTCCTTTTTTGTGTGGGCTTGGGACCGGTAGTAACTGTAGAACAGCTACAGGCAAATTTAGATTTTATTTGGAATAATTAAATAAAGTAAATACCTATAAAATTGGCATGGGTTTTAAATTTAGATGAAAATGTTTTAAAATTATGTGGTAGATTAAAGGTATTTGATTTGAATCTGAATATCTCGTTGGGTTTATCAGTGATAAGGGCATGGAAAATTCGAATGGACTTGTGTAAAACCAAGTAACAAAGCCATAAACAGACATCGAGAAACAACTCTGCTCTTTTGATAAACAAATTTATGATACCATGTTCAGTGATAGGGTGTTCTCAGAATCAACTGGTGGAAATTACTTTACTTCTTACTGATATAAAATTAATGACTTGACAACAATACCAAGTGTTTGTTTGGTATTCATCTGGCCACATTCATTATGTGTGAGTTAGCAATATTACTCAAACCGAATGGGAGCATATTTTGAAACTGTAGTCCAACGGTTAGTAGTAGCACATTTAGGTTAATGAGCAAGTTATTCACTAGTAACATATCGTCAGTATATCATAAAAAATATTATCGTCACGTGACGTTTCATAAATAAAGCAATACAGCACTGTAATTAAACAAAGCAATATATTATAAAAGTTTTGAAAAGTTATCACATGGGTTCCGGAAAATAAATATTATTTGGACATTTTTTAAATCGGGGATGGGAGTTTATCACTAAATCCGTGGAGGGGCTGTTGAAGTGTGGTGATAAAGCAATTACAACATATCTTCCATGTTCTGAGTTACTGTTATTTTGAGTGTCACTTATCAATGGTAAGTTAGGAGCAAGGGCAGCTTCAAGGTAGTTTCCATTTGGTAGATCTAAATATATCTGTCTAATTGTTGATAATTCTACACGAGAATCAGGCATTTGTGTAACAGGATCAAAAGTAAGCGTGTTTTGCTCAGATATATTGCGTGGTAGAAGATAGTCATCTGGACCGCAAATGAACACTACAGATGACGGAGATCGGAGAGATTCAATCGAATGAGATTTTTCTAAATGAAACAGAGGAAAACATATTGATCAAAGCTTTTTCAGCACTCAAATCGCATAGCAAAATAATATCATAAAACTATAACAAAAAAACATTCAGTTTTTACCATTAGACCATTCAAATTGAATACCAATCCTAACTCAGTCAGTCAGTCAGCTAAAACGTAGGACCGGGCACATATACATCAATCCAAGTTGCCACACCTCATCAACACAACAAGATGAATACAAAATTCATAGACGCAGTTACTTCAATGGTACTTCACAAAACATTTCATATGGGGATATGATACAGGGAATTAGTTCGTAAAAAGAAAGTTATAAAGTAGTTTTATTCTCATGGTTTAAGGGAAAACAAAGAGTGCATACACCTTACACCATAATGATCGATTCTGAGCCATGTCACTCAAAGTCTCCAAACAATGGCTACGATAGTCGTGCGGACCTAAACCAAGTAGTCTGCATCGACCAAAACATCTGTGATTAAATACTAGTAACTTACGAGTATCCGCTACTCTTAATGGTTACGTTTCACAGCCGTAAAGTAGAACGTAACGAACTGCTGAGCAGTATACTCGTCTCTTAATTGATAGATGGATATCTCGCCTTCGCCATAGGTGACGTGAGTTGGCAAAAGTCAAACGAGCTTTTTGAATCCATGCTGAGATTCTCTCAGACATCAACCCATTAGGACTGATCAGACTTCTAAGATAAATGGAGCTGTCGATGCATTCGACTACTTCACTCCTTATCCTTAGTTCAGGTGTTGACGCAGGCTAGTCCTGGAGCAACAATTTACATTTAGAGGGGGAGAAACGCATCCCAAACATCCTGGTATTGCTACTTAGTGCTACCAAAAGATTGCATTTTATCAGCGTCTTCACCGAACAGGACTTTGTCATCTGCGTATTCCAAGTCTTTAAGTAAACCATCTGATAGGATAATTCCTGAAAATTCAGTCGACGAGAGCATTATTTCTAGCAGTAGGTCTATGATGAAGTGGACAGCTTTGCCAGATACCACTTGAGGTTGTAAAATCAGATGACAGTTAGCCATAAGCTCTCACTCGACTGGCAGTGTTCGAGTAAAAAGCCTTCACAAGGTTAATGTACTTCTGAGGTACACTTTTCAATGACAGAACTACCATAAAACCTCTCGGTCTACAGAGTCAAACGCTGTGAGAAGGCAGTAAGTCTTCCCTGACAGGCTACATACGCGTGGCGATGTGAGAGCATTTCGAGAGGGAGAGCGGACTCTCCCCACTCTCGGCCGTACCAGGGCATTTGGGAGCAGTTCACGAGTCTTTGTTAGACATCCGATAATTATTGGGGCTAGTATTTTAGATGCTATATTAGTCAAATTAGTCCCTCTATGGTTATCATAAGATGATTTTGACTCCTTATATATTGGGACAATCAGTGTTTCAGACAAGTCAGATGGTCTTACGTCCAACTCCCAGATTTCAGCTAAAATATTAGTCAACCTAATCGCTAAAATTGGACCACCATACTTAAAGACCTCTGAAATCGATCCATCTGGACCAGCTATCCTTCCTCGTTTCAGATTAGCTGTAGTTTTTGAACTTCGACTAGATTCGGGGGACCTACTTCAATGCTCCATTCAGGCTGTTTGTAAATGGTGGGTAGTTATAGAATAGCTGAAGGTCAGATGAACTACTCTTTAAAGTGTTCCTCCCATCGTTCTACACGTCTGGGCTGAGAGCGGATAAGTGTCATCTTTTTCCGAAATCGCCTCACTTACATCTGACTTCTTAATTCCAGTCTCTTTTATTAGTTTGAAAAGTTGTCTAGTGTTACCTACAGCCGCTGCCTTTTCCATCTCTTTTGCTTTCGTTCCAACTACTGCTCACGGTCGCTCCTTAGACTTTTGATTAACCTAGACCTGAGTTGTTTTCGTTCTTCATCGTGTTCAGGGCCGGATGGGATGAGTTTACGACGATTTGTCACCTGAAAAAGAAATTGGGTCAGAGTTGGCCTTAGTGACCCGAGAGCGTGACCGTAGTGCCTGAGGGACAACTGCTTGAGGTAGATCCATCAATCCCATTTAACTTCAGTACCCCTCTATGAACAGTGACTACGAAGTCACTAACCATGTTTCAATAAGTTATGTAAATTTACACGTTTTAAACTGCTCCTATACGATAGATATTTAAGCGATTAAAACTAATTTATGCAGAATGTTTATAACAAGTGGTCCCGAGCTAATGAAAGTATATATCTGGATCATGTACTCTATTTGATAAATAAATAATATTAAAATAACTAATAATCATATAATCTCGGTTTGTTCAAATCAATATCACGATATTAGCTGAAATTGAGAGGAAACACTAGGTATCAACTTAGCAGTCCAAAGGTAATGAACAAGGGTACTAGGTCTTAGGGTGCTTCTGGGCAAATGTATGCCGTTTCTGAATGTTTGTCTAGTTGAAATCGGTCTGTGACGAAAACGACAGACTGAACAATCTCGAAAATCTTCCAGTACTAATAAAAAGAGGAGTGTGTCAGAAACAGTGATTCCATAGTTGATTATCTGAAAACAGATTGCAATTACGAACTGAACAGATAGATTATGAATGGTAATTATGGAATAATATGATTAACACATTACTTTCTAACGTTTGAAAATAGATAGTCCGATAATACTATGAAGTATTAGACAAGAAATAGTGAGTTTTAAGTTTACAAAGGAGTTTTAAACTAAACACAAGATACTAATTATTGGTACCAGAAAAACATGAAAGTGCATTTATTACTTTGTCATACTATTAAGGAATGATATTTAAAAATCATAAAGCATCGTGCATTAAATACAAGCCTACAAAACAATAATACCACCACCACTACTACCACCACACAGAACAGAAGTGAGTTGTCGACATATTATCAAGTGCACTATATTAATATTTACAAATCCAAAACAGGGTTTATATATATCCTTATTAATGAATCATGCTTGGCCAACAGCTTAATTTTATTCACTCCATAAATTAGACGAAATTATAAACATACTTATTATTTGCAAGGGTTTGTTTTATCCTGGTATTGATATTAAGAATTGAAATTTTTTCAATCTTTGTTAGGATATAATCTACTTGGACTGGCGCCTTAGTATTATCTTGTATTTCGTAGTCAATCGTAACCAGCATATAATTTAGTGGCAAAATGTGCATTAGTTCAAGTTTTTATATCATATCAACAAGACGAGATGCAAAACAATCGAAATAGTAATGGTATCAATGATAATAAGTTAGATCAGATGTAGAATGTACCTTCATTTTCTTTGTTTAATGAGTTGGAAAAACCAATTGATCTTATTTCGAGTTCTGATCTTGATGATGAGTAAGTTTCTTTCTAAAAAAACAACAATATATATATATATATATATATATATATATATATATATATAGTTTTGATTGGTTAATGGAGATGATAAACTGTTTTCGTCAGTAGTCGTCAAATAAAGAACCTCTAAAAACCAAGGAGGATCGTTAAGACAATGTGAGATAAATAAAGCTACTACGCTTGTAAACTTGCATTTTAATAAATTGTATTCCGAAATTCATCTACTATGCTAGTTAGCTTGTAATTACATTAAAATACATCAGAGCTATTCATATTCTATATTTATTACTATTGAGGAAGTCAAGTGTTAATAGAAACCATATGATTATCTCACTTATATCAGAACATCGATATAACACACAACCATATGAGAAGCAAATTTGGACGAACTGCTTTCCATTTTTTCTTTATATTTCACTTCACATGCAGTCGAGAACACTTTGATGATCACGATTCTATTTTTATGGGAATTTTGATTTTAATTAAAAAAGTTGATCAAAAATGAGAGGATCAGTATTACACAACAAACTGAATGATTCCTAATCATAACACACTAGTGGGAAAAAATCTGTAGATTTGCAATTACCTTATTGACAAAGCAACACTATTAACACTCGTAATTGCGAAAGTTCCATATATTTTGACTTTTTAAAACTTCGAAATTTCATATATTCCCTTTTTAGATGCAATATGATAGTACATGGCTCTTTAACAAAAAGAGTTTGGTTACCTTCGGTATAGACGTAAGTCACCAATGTTCGTCATTAGTGGCAATATGCTTATAGGCAATTATAAACAGTTAGTTCACTTTATGAATCTAAATAAAGCCAGAACGAACATGGATGTAGAATAATATGAATTCGTTATATTTCGTGGTTTCTCATCAGCTGTTGTAAGCAGCATGTTCGTTCTGAATCATTTAGATTATAAAAAGAATGGAACACATGTTACAAGTTTAAGAACACCGAAGAATAACATACGATTCTAAAGATGCCGTTGTGTTTACATTACTAGTTAACTGTCTTTAAGAAATGTATTTAGGGTTTATAAAAAGGTATCTAAAAAATAAAAGCACATGAAAAACTATATGATTGCAAAATAAGATTTACAATTCTGTAAACAAAGCTCTGAACCTTAAATGTGTCTACCATTCCAGCCATGTGTCTGAGGAAAACACAAAAATATCTGTTAAGTAACACTTAATCACATGACAGCTGAACATTGAGAAATTTTTTCCTAACAAATCATGCCAATCCCGTTCATCGAACAACAGTTTCATGTTGATAACTTCGCTGTCTCTAAAGAAAATGCATATAAAACCGACAGTCAGTGAATTATTTTTATTACAAGATAATAGTCACTTCTAAGTAAGGATCATCAATTAAACTACGAAGACAAACTTGAAGAAATAATAGTAATGCTGAAAACTTACGCGATCTAGACACAATTCTTGTATTGGATGCAAATATTTTATGACAGACGTCATATTTCGATACAAATGCAAGAGAGAATTTATTCGTTTTTCAATACAGGAAACCAGTCTTTTAGGATGTTTACATTTAAATATGAAAAGTGCTGGACCTGAAAAATCATTACATTTCGTAAAATACTATTCGAAAACATCTAATAATATCAGTGATAAAAGTAGCTAATAAACTTATATTCAACAATTACCATATTCAATAAGTTCCAATGGAATTACGTTAGTCAGAAAATTGATTTTCGAATGAGCGATGCATACACAGACAATCAGAATACAACATATTAGTGAACTAGTTAAAAATGATATGTATTGTAACAACATCAAACATTAGTCAAGGAATAAAGGTATTAGCATACATAAGAAAGTTATGAGTGGACAGTGTACATTTGAATATGTAAAGTAATGAAATTTTCAAGAATTACATGAAGATAACAACGACTATATCAGTTCTATGATTGTCTATTTTAAGATATTTCACCCAGAGCCTATAGACATTTCAGAGACAATACCCATGAATAAGCTGTACGTGAATCACACCAACAATCGGTGGTTTAACAAACTGATAACTTATTTTAATTTAAATATCCTTAATATTTTTCTTAGTTAATCTTACATCAACTAGTTTATTACAACTTAGGAAGACAGGAATTTTAGCTAATGAAAGTTAAAAACCTAATTTATTGATTCGTTACAAAAAACATAACACCAGCACTATATTTGAAGCTTGTATTTAACACTTTAGGGAAAAACTGGTAATTCGCTTCCTGTCGATTTCAAAGGTACCTTTAATATGTACTTTTCAGAAAGTCATCAACTGACAGAAATTCGATTTCATTGAAAATCAAACTGAGTCGGAATGAAGACTAGATACCAATCCATTAGAAAATTGATAGGTGCCAAAGCATTGAATAAAGACAATGAAAATGTGTATAGGTTCATTAGGGGAAATAGTTCACAAAAGCCATTTATATTCTGTAAAACTGGGTGATTTAAATGGACAGCCAAGATGGAAACGAGTGGTTCCATTTTGTCAGAATTATCGACAAGTTTGGATGGCAGAGATATCATCTTAGGTGCTGGTTGTACGCTTGTTTACATTTAAAATCAATTACTGTGAGCTTAATGCTTCAAAATATAATTTAGTTGACCAATTTTCCTACCTTTTCGACTATATTGTCGTGTTTCATCATCAGTGAACATCAAGTCACCTAACGAAGCAAAGTTGTGGGGGGAACTACAATCGCTAAAACACTCATCTCAAACGAGGATGAATCCCGGAACTAGTTGGGCTATTTCACAAGGTATGAAAAAGTGAATCTATTTCATCACTCTGAAATAAATCTATAGTCGTGTTTATTGTTTAAAAAAAGGTCTATGAGTGGCAATTGTTACAAATAAGTCAAAGTATTGGGTCCAATCATGCAGTGCAGATTATAAAACTGGCTCGCATGGAGTAGAAGAATTCGGTGAATGGAATAAGTGAATTGATTGATCCTACACCTCTCGTCATTCAATGAGAAATAGCACTTTTAAACAACGCATTTGGTAGATTAAACGCATTTTAAATACATTATGCTTGACAACGCATAACCTGGGTGGAAAAATTGAAAAGATCAATATATGATATGTAGCTCCAAAATTAATTTATTTGAGTTGATATTTACTGGCAAATCACAATCCCACTGACATCGCTTGTGTTAGTGATTAGCGTTAATAAAGATGCTTAGAATAGAAATTTTGGTTTTGACTTTATCTCGAGCATGAATGAATATGAACACTTTCTACCTATTTGTTTCCCTTACATTTATATTCTGCTTGATCATCTTCATATTTCCAATCAGTATTGATTACCTAACAATAATGTTAAGCAGTGTGGTCACGAAAATGGATGAATAATTGTACGAGATTCTGCATTATTTTGTTTCTTTATGCTTATCAGTTTATTTTAAAATAAAGCCACACCATCTAATACATTACTAGTTGCTCTTAGTCATACCCTTAACTGCACACGAGACAAAGTTGGTCGCTTTCAAATCCTTCCTACACCTAATAACTCTCTTATCTCCTCGACTAACCCTTCCCACGTCCTTTTATCACGTCGCACCGCTAGGGCAAACGATTCGAGTACACAGAACGTTATTCCTGGTCTCCTGAAACCACGCTCTAAACTACATATAGGAACTTTTAATGTCCGAACATTGTGCCAAATAGGACAACAGGCTTCCTTAGCTAGGACTCTAGAATCTTACACCATCGATGTGTGCTGCGTCTCCGAAACGCGCATACAAGATCCGAGTAGTGTCATTCATTTGACCGCACCTAATCAAAATAAAGTTTCATCTCGATACACGCTCCGTGTATCTGGAAGCCCTGACGCTGCTTCCCGTGGCCTCGCTGGAGTAGGTATAGCATTAAGTCCTAGGGCAGAACTAGCTCTTTTAGACTGGATCCCAGTAGACAGTCGTCTATGCGCTGTCCGACTAAACGGATCAGTAAGGACCCGGAAAGATAGGGAAACTCGTCGTTGCCTCTTCGTCGTCTCTGCCTACTCTCCCACTGACTGCAGCTCAGACGATATAAAAGATGAGTTCTACAGGAAACTTTCTGACCTTCTCCGAGAAGCTAGGCGTTCTGATGTAGTAATAGTAGCAGGTGACTTTAATGCTCAAGTAGGTAAACTAAGTGAAAGGGAAAGACACCTGGGTGGATCTTATGGTGTCATGGCGAAAAGAACAGATAATGGCGACCGTCTGTTGCAGCTATGCTCAGATAACCGCCTATTTCTTGCAAATACTAACTTTAAGCATAAGGAAAAACATCTTTTGACATGGCGACCCCCGAATTCGTTCCAACGTTGGACCCAATTAGATCACATCGCTATCAGCCACCGATGGAGGGGCTCGATAGAAGACTGTCGCTCATTCTGGGGCACATGCTTAGATTCAGATCATGCTCTAGTGCGAGCACGTATCTGTCTGCGACTTACTGGTCGTAGGAAAGACACTGCAGGGAAGCCTCTAAGGGTTCTACTTAATGATAAGCAAGCTAAGAATATATTTCAGGAACAACTAGGAAAACAGTTAGGCAGCCATGTAAGTTGTGTCCACCCCGAGGCAGCGTGGAATGACATCCGAAAAGCTGTGGAAACAGCAGTGATATCCGCTAATAAGGTAAACCATAACGTTAGGGAGAAACAATGGATCTCGGCAGCATCTATCGCACTGATAGATGCTCGTAAACTCATCCCACCTGGCTCTGAACATAACGAAGAGTGGAGTCAACTTAAGCGCAGGCTAATAAGAAGTCTACGTAATGATCGTGAACAGTGGTGGGTAGCGAAAGCAAGAGAGATGGAAAAGGCAGCGGCAATAGGTAACAGTAGGCAGCTATTCAGACTCGTTAAAGAAACCGGTATTAGGAACCCGAATATCAGTGAAACCATCTCAGATAAAGATGGGCATATTATTCATTCTCAATCCAGGAGGTTGGATCGATGGGCAGAACACTTTAGGGATCAGTTCAACTGGCCTTCAGCCACACTTCAATTACCCACGATCCCCAGTCGTCCTGAATGGCAAATTGATGTAAGTCCTCCAACCCTCTGCGAGGTTGAAAAAGCTATAGGAAATCTGAAGCGAGGGAGAGCAGCAGGCCCTGACAGGTTGACCCCTGAGATTTTTAAGGATGGTGGTCCAGTACTAGCAGTGAGATTGACTGAGGTCTTAGGTAGAATCTGGGAACTGGACGTAATTCCATCTGACTGGTCCCAATCACTGATTGTGCCAGTCTATAAGAAAGGACAAAAGTCCTCCTGTGACAATCACAGAGGGATCAGTTTGACTAATATAGTGTCTAAAATATTAGCTTCAATAATACTAGGTCACCTAACCAAAGCTCGTGAAGAGCAGACTAGAGAAAACCAGGCTGGTTTTCGACCTGGACGTGGTTGCGTAGACCAGATATTCACCCTACGTCAGATCCTAAAACATGAACATACATTCAGACGTCCCACAATAGTAGTATTTCTTGACCTTAAGGCGGCATTTGACTCTGTTGATCGTGAGGTTCTATGGCAATGTTTGTCACTGAAAGGAGTACCAAAGAAGTACATTAACCTCATAAAGGCTCTCTACTCGAACACTACTGGTCGAGTTAGAGCCTATGGCGAACTGTCATCAGAACTGATTACCTCTAGTGGCGTTCGTCAGGGCTGTCCACTCTCCCCATTCTTGTTTAACTTTGTCATTGACATACTTTTAGAGATAGCACTTTCATCAGCTAAACCTCCAGGAGTTGAACTTTTACCGGGAGATTCACTTGTTGACTTAGAATACGCCGACGACATAGTTTTACTCGGTGAAGACGCTGACAACATGCAGAGTCTTCTGACCACTATAAGCAACTATGCAGGCATGTTCGGAATGCGATTCTCTCCCTCGAAGTGCAAAATGTTACTTCAGGATTGGGTTGCATCGACACCTGAACTAATGATAGGGAGTGAAGTAGTTGAGCGTGTAGACCACTTCACTTATCTTGGGAGTCTCATCAGCCCTTGTGGTCTGGTATGTGACGAAATCTCAGCACGGATACAGAAGGCTCGTCTAGCTTTCGCCAACTTGCGTCATTTATGGAGTAGGCGAGATATCCGTCTAGCAACCAAAGGACGGGTTTACTGTGCAGCAGTTCGCTCCGTCCTACTTTATGGCAGTGAAACATGGCCAATAAGAGTAGAGGATATTCGTAGGCTACTAGTTTTTGATCATAGGTGTCTTCGAAGCATTGCTCGTATATCCTGGGACCACCGGGTAAGTAATGCAGTTGTTAGGAAACGAGTACTAGGTAGGGATGGCAAGTCGATTGATGAAGTAGTGAAACTTCACCAGTTGAGATGGCTGGGACATGTGTTACGTATGCCCGACCACCGACTGCCCCGACGTGCAATGTTTCATGGTGTAGGAGTAGGTTGGAAGAAAGCTAGGGGTGGCCAGACCAAAACGTGGCACAAATCAATGAAGTCACTGACAAGTGGACTGGGCCATGTTGGTAGGTGTAGACTACCTGGTTGGGATTCGCGAGATGACAGCAACCGATGGTTAGAGACCTTGAATGACATGGCTCAAAATCGTTTGCAATGGCGAAGATGCATCCACTCTTTGTGTTCTACCAAATTCTAATCTTCTGAATTCCTCATGTCTTTATCTTTTTCTCTTTCCAAATTTATTTCACTGTACTATACTCCTTCAATAATTTCTTCAAACCCTAATCTTTTGGATTTCTGATTATACTCCTACTACTTCTACCACTATGGGATTTGAATGGACAACTGCATCTCTGTGCTAATGTGGTATGGCAACTCGAACTGATGTACGTACGTACGAAGTTCTACGTTGTGACTGACTGACTTAGTCATGTTGCCTTGATCGAAATACTGCAGACTATAAATTAAGAGATACGTGCACACTCATATTGAAAGCGTGAATGAGGATTAAAAAGAAATAAAATCACCCATTTTGAATAACTGGCTTTGAAATAATTATTCTAATGCTAAAATTAAAGGTTATTCGATTAGCAAACCAGAGCTTTCTCTTAAAGTAGCGATAAGAACTTCTCGGGAGACGTAAGTGCTCGAGCACCTTTTACACTGCGAGGCATTGAATCCTATTCCTGCTTGACGTAATGTTATATCCCCCGGTGAATTACGAATGGTAACTTTTAGGTCTATTTATGGATCAATGTAATATGCCTATTTCCTATTGTACAATTATTACGTAACTGAACTATTCATATTTGTATTTCTCTTTTCATTAGCTTTATTTTTATCTTTGATTTATTATCATACGATTCTTGAGTTATCATCAGTTTGTTGATTACTATTCACAGTCACACTCGGCTAAATATTGTACAAATGTTATTATCTATTTTATGGGTCGATATGGTTTGTTTGGTTGGTATATAAACTCAGTATGTTTGAAATACAATGATTCATACCACTGAGGCTGTTATTGGTGTTTTGGGCTTAACTGGTTGGGCTAGGCAGATCACAAGACCGGTTAGCACTCTAGTCTGCTCGTACGGGTTTCGTGTCACTGTTCCAATCGATAATTCGCTGCTCCCTGTTTGGCGGTCCTATCGCGTCACACACTAGCAAGGCATCCACTCGGCCACAGATATAACACGTAATGATTTGATTGCCCCTGGAATGCCCTGGTACGATTGAGTGGCCAAGTGTATACAGCCACTGTCATGGAAGTCCTACTCACTGCCTTCTCGGGGTGGAGACATTGTTTACGAGATTGAGAGGATGAAAAGCGAATGACCAATGCTTTAACCGGATAAGTGGATACGGAGGACTCACCCAGGGGAGTTGGGAAATCGTGATTCCAAACCAGGATCCTGAACGAACAAATGGCGTATGGACCTACTATTGGTTATCGGCTACAACGGAATATAATAACTAGTGCTACTATTGTTTTGATACCAGGTGATTGGGTAACTATAGGTTTCGATAATCTATGACCATTTCTTTGTAAGCTTATATTAAATATAAGATATTGTAGATTAGAAGCTCATTGAGCTTTGTTTTTTCCACTACTAGGTATTGAATAAAGATAGTCACCTACTCTCAATACAATTCGATGATTATGGACAGAATCTCAACGAATGGCTGGACAGCTATGTAGAATTTTTTTCGGTTTCAGCATTTTTTGCATTCATAGCACAAATATGCCTGTTTCTATCCTTAATAAAAGAACTGGAAAACTAGTGAGTGACAGTCTTAACAGCAGTTGTTTCCAAAATATAAAGGCATGGTTTAGTTGTGATAAAGATAGATTCAACCCATTTGGCAGGTATGACTTTATGAATCTGGATCTGAGCCCTATTATATACATTTATGGTAGCTGTACTTTGCGGACCGACTGACTGATCGGCTATCATGGAACTATATTTCTTTACGCCAACCAAGTGCCTTGTGGATTAAACCTTTGGGTCAAATGCTCGGGGTGTGACCTCCTAAGAAAACTACGTGCTTCAGTTTGGGCACCCGGGCAGTATTCCAGACTTCATATAAATCGAATTATTTGTGTGGCGCATATCTATTTGGTGCCTCCTTGTACCAATGTTTATGTGTTTGAATAAATAAGTAATAAATAAACCTGCAAATCAAAATAAACAAGAGTTCATAGAAGAATCTTACGATGGTCAGATATTAGTTAGGATCACAAACATAAAAAAGTAAGTGCTAATCAACAAAGTAGATAGACGAAATTCCACTTGCATATGATAGAAAATGGTTAGATGTACAGTTTGTGTTTCATCATTGTTTTAAGTGGAAGTAATCGATAAAGGAGATAGGATGGTGCAAAAAACTGTGGCTAGATGTTAGGATACAATAGTGACAGTATTTAATTGGTGATCACAGGGTCCCCACTTCAAATTTTACGCTAAACGTTTTGTTCTCAAGAGATGAGTATTATTTTTCATCATTATACCATATGAATAGCTAACTTATCAATATACAAACCTGCACATGAATTATAGATGCATTTGTTTATTTAATGTTTAATAAAATGGCACGATGAAATTAACCGAAATAGCAGATCTGGCTGAAATTCGTAATAAAGAACTTCTAGATTTAAATCAATAGTTCATAGTCGAAAATACCACTTAATATACTAAACGCCTAAACGAAATTGAGCTTAGAAACTACTTAAATTAGTAAGTTATAACATTTATAAAACGTATGGGCTTTAAAATAAATGAGTTGTATGGCTCTTTCTGATGTTCATCTGTGAGCAAGCACAAAGTAAAAGATTTTAAATATCTAGCCACTCGTATTGAATAGTAATCGCCATAGATTTACATTTAACATGTGCCGAAGAATGGGCAAACCCATTATATTTATTGAAGGAAAAGATAACACTAATTAATCTATTAAACTTTTGTTTTCATATCCAAGATTTAAGAAACACAAGAAACCTAATTTTAGATCAGCATTCAAATCCTATAAACTGATTGCAATGGGGCATATGCACTCCCTACTACCTTTAAGTGCTGAACACAGAGTTTACTATACTTCCCAATTTCTTTTTACCACGACAAGTTTTAGCAGACTGGTTCATATATATTGTTCCAAGGTTCATAAAATTGAAATGATTCTCTACAGTATCAAATGCTGTCTTTCCAGCTAAATAGGCAACTAACTTATCCTTTCATGAGATTTACAGTATATGCGACTTTTTATAACCAAAACATGGTAGGATGTTATGAAGTTAGATAAAACTTACCTAACTTGCATCGACTGCCAGACTGAAACAAAAATAAGGATTTATTCCTCCCATACCATCGTAAACCGTGAAGTGGCCAGAGAAGAACAACAGTTTGGTCATTATGTACATATTGAAACTTAATATCGTAAACTCTTACTGTTATCAGGCCTTGACGAATCTCTTTGAAATCATGATCTAAAAGACTAACACTAAAGCACATAGATTTTCGTTTGTTGAACATGGATTCACTGACTGATTGTAGGAACTGAATTAGAGGCTTAGATGGATTAGAAGGTAGGTGAGCTTTTGCTTTAATTCTCGTCTTGTATTCGTCGAACAAACACTGGAGATCATCTGATTTATTAACGCTATTAATGAGGCCCATTTCGATGAATAATCACAGGGGTTAACGATCGGTCAGATACGTATGTTTTTCTACCATGGAACAGGAGTCTGGAGAAGAAAATAATCACTGAGAAAAATTTACTTGCTTTGGAAAAATGAAAACTAAATTAACAGGTACCAACAAGAATAATACAATCGGAAATTCGGTACAACAAAAAGCAGTCAAACGTTTGACCACTACTAGTAATAACATGTAAAAATTTAGAAGGATCTATAGAAGCTCTAGGTTTCAGAACATTTAAATCAAACTGTAAGGGAAATTGAACCATGTTGTATGTCTGCTTAAACATTGAAGAAAGATGTGAGTTTTAATTAATCGCCAGTAGAGAAGCATTGTAACAACAGTTTTTCTCTTTGTCATAAGTAATTTTTAACTTCGCCATAATTCAGTATATCGTCATTTTAATTATAAATACAGCTGAAATTGTAAATATGTCAAGTTTTGCACCGTCCTTGTTAGTTTTAACGGAAATCACTAGTCAAAGACGCTCAGTCAAGAATCTCCCAACATTGATGTATTCAACCTAGAAGTTTTACATCATTCTATCGATTTCTAATCAAATACTGTTTCTTTCGACTATTGTAGTTGTTCAAAACAGCTTAACAACAGAATCATCTGACCCTGTTGTATCAAAACTTTCAGTAACAAGGTTACTGATAAAGATGAGCTGTAAAGGCGAGCCACTGATGGAAATGCAAATCAAAGTGCATATGGTAAAATAATGTCATTTTCGGATGACAAAAGTCCTCCTGAACAATTTCCGCTAGTTGGCTGCATTAGGAATATTTTGACTCGGAAAATAGCTTAAGGTTCATATTATAGTTTACGAACAACATTGAGAAATCTTAAGTGACAACTCGAAATTTCAACCGTTTATTAAGAACGCTTTGTGGCCATGTGTATCAAGGCTGATATTGGTTTGTGAGGAAAGCCGTGAATGACTGAATCTTAATCATAAATACTATTCCCAACATTATGAACCGTTAATTCATAGTTGCTGCTTTTAGAACGACTGAATGGGTCGAGATTTTGTCATGGATGTTTAGCGAGTTATTTAGGCCTGCTTTCATAGTTCAGATTTACCAAGTTACGGTATGGCTAACTTGGTGCTAACATACTGAAGAAGAGGTTCCTGATGAATATGCTAATTTTATGTTGACATTAAGCATTAGTCTAAAATTGTAAATAATTTATGGGTAATTATGGTTCGCAAAATTATAAAACTCAGTCATGGATGCTGATAAATATTAGGCTTGTTTACATTTTGATACTCCGTGTTTGTACCACATTTAGTAATAATTTCTTGAGAGTTCTATAAACTTTTTAATAACTCCATCTATAAAGTAACTATTTGTAAGTACCGATTTTAAGGTATTCAGATTAGATCTGGTAATTATAGATTTAAGGTCATAGGGAATTTTATGAATCCTCAACTGAAAACTGAGTTACATACTGCTGATTGATGACGACCTACATAACCTCGGCTACCATGGGATTATATCTCTTTACACCAACGACCTTGTGGATTAGTCCTTTGAGTCAAAGGCTCGGGGTGTGACCTCCTAAGAAAACCATGTGCTTCAGTTTGGGCACCCGGGCAGTATTCCAGACTTCACATAAATCGAATGATATGTGTCGTGCATATCTATTTGGTGCCTTCTTGTACCAATATTTAAGGGTTTAAGTAAATAAATGAATAAAAGGTACCGCATGACTGATTTATACAAGGAAAACAATGATTTTGCCAGGGTAACGGATGCCAGGTTAGACACCATTAAGAAAATAGACTACAAAACAAGAACGTCACTGTTAATGATGACTTTCAGTAGTATAACACTGAAACACAAGAGTATCAGGAACTGCACTAAGTTGTAGAAACACAATAAATACCTAAGAAAAATCCCCAAGGATTTATTATTGTTTAGCAGTTTATATAGATATACTGAAGAATTATAGTAGAGATTTTTTTACTAACCGAAAATCAGTGAGGTACAATCAATTTACGAAGAACAATACGGTATAGTACAGATTAAATTTTTAAAATGGATCTTCATACTAACGTAAATGCACTGAAAAAGAAGCATCATTTAGAACATCTATCTAGACATATCCCCAATTACAACAAATGTTTACACATTTAGTTTTAGAGAACTAGGTTAAAAATCTCAGAATAGTGCGAAAATATTCTACCGACACTACTAAAGAGACAGAATTATCAAACACCGTTTGGCGAAAGTAAAACATTTTCTATCGATAAATTGAAAAAAAGATTTCTTATCTTCGAATTTTGAGGAAATTTTAGGATTTAAGACAGCGTCATGTAGTTTGTAGTTCTCCACAACATCTAGAGGGAATCTTTAGCTTTCAGTAATAAGGAAAGGTCCACTGACTTATATTAATCCTTACAGTTTAACATTACGGAGGTCCAATCTCGTTTTGAATATACTGGAAAAACCCGAAAATTCCCAGAAAGTTTTGGGGATTTTTCCAAAATTTTACGTTATTTTCTAAAAAATTTTTGTCGCATTTCCCCTAACCATTCTACTGCAGCTTCGCCAAAATCTGGAGACTGGGTTGTCAGCAGATGAGGTAGAATTAAATCGATGTTCCTCCTCAACTAACATTCGAAGTGCTTTCCAAAATAAATGGGCCAGACTATAACTTATAGATGAACTATTCAGATTTACGATGACAGGTCTTGGATTTCGGGGCGCGGAATTCTTTATCCATCTAGCTAGATAGCACCTTGGCATTTTAGCTGGGGTGTCTGTGATTAAAACCCTAAATCTAATCCCTATACTGAACCATCAACTGTAAATCACAATCCTTATCTTTCATACTTATTTAAAACCCTCATTTCGCCTTAGTCAGAAGATGGATATTCTCAAAGCCACTTTAGCATCGCTCAATGGCCATCCATGAATTATAGTCTCACCAAAATTTGATCTCCAGAAAGATCGTAATCTTCCAAATAATTGAGAAGTTGGAACATGTATATGAGGGGACCAACCAAACTTCAGCAGTCCAGAGCGTCAAGGTCAATGTCAAACTTCGCGCTTTATCACAAACATATGTAAAAACAGTTCAGACAATCAGTATTTTTTGAATTATTTGTAAAAGTTGTTTACCTTTATTCCCCTACGGTGATGAGGTTTGTTCTATAAAAAATACTATAAAAAATACCTCCTCAACCATTTGAACTATTTAATTTATTGAAGTCTCCTAAGTCAATTTTTTGTATGTTTGGCCACTTATCTTGGAGTTTGGAGAGGACCTTATCATCAGTAAGCGGAATACTCCAAATGAATTTTTTTCAGTGGCGTTCTGCTGTCAGCGAAGCGCATTTTCTTGATGTTTTCTTCTTGGGTATAACGTTGTCTGACTCAGAAACTATTTAAAAAATCCTTCAGTTTTTAATTAAGACATTCGAAGCCTGTATCTCTCATTCATGTGTCCCATATTACATAATTCAGTTAATCGTCGATAAGTCACCCTGTTAAAATATTGAGCCAAAATGAAGAAAAACGAAATGTGATGAAGGTACGCCTGTTTTATGCACTCAGCTGTTAGTAAATACTCTTGCAAATGACAAACATGAGGAGACAGTATAAACTAAGCACATTAGTCAATTCATCCTAAATAGGGCGAATCGTCTTATAAGTAAAAAGACATCTGAACGCTTGTTTGAGTCAAATGTAAATGTACAAACTAACAGAATGGTTAGTATAGTTTGTCTAACCAGAATGAAACATTTAAGTGCTGCGATGGAGAGGTTATTAAAGTTATCACCTGGAAACAACTCTTGCACTATGGACCCTTACATTTAGCTCTTGAAGATCCTTCCCAGAATGTCGGTAAGAATACTGTCAATCCCTCTTCAGCTTTCTTGGAAGCTCTAAACTTGTAAGCTTCGCAATATTGAACAATGGGAGAGACACGATCATCATAAATCGTGTCTTTAATAAATCTTTCAATCCTGATAGATAAATAATTTCCCTACGAAGTGTCATTTGTAGACTGAATATCAGTCACTGGGGATGATTACTATAATTGTTAATCTGAAATCACTCCGGGTAATGATATAAGATTTTTTCACTTATCAGTTTCAGAAAGAATCTAAAAACCATTCCCTACTACGATTAAAAAACAATCGCACAGACCAGATGTAAACCACAAAAAATGGTTCACTGGTTTCCTTAGGAACAGATTGGAGTTTGGAATTCTCTCAAAAACATGCTTCAAAATTACTAGTGAGACGTTACTATAAAGGCATAATTAAGAAAGTCGAAGTGCCGAAACCATAGTCGTTTGTCCATCTGTATCGAGACAGGATTTATAGTGCTTTTTCGTCTGTAGTGTTGGGCCGTCCACGTTAGGTTCCAGTCTACGCTGACCGTAGCTTATGGAGGGTAAGGGGAACATTAGCTACAAATAAACTAATAAGGTTTTAGAAGCGTATTCAAGGGATTAATACTAACTTTTCAAGTACCAGCCACGAAATTATTTTTTCTCTGATGGCATCAGCTTATGTACCACAGAGTTCAAAGACACCTTGCTCTTTTTAAAGTAACGCTTCTTTACGACATCCATTTTAGTTTTATATTCAGCTTATTTGCATTAGACAAACTACTCTACGTCTTAAAGGTTTGCAAGTAGTCTTATTTACAACCTTAAAATTTTTATTACAAATTTTTATTCCAGAGCCTTATGATGATTGGAGGTGTTCAAATAAATGTACTTACAATTATTATAATAAGCAGGTAGATTCAGATGAGCACAATTGAACGTATTATATTTAGAATTTGTAATTGACGGATAATCAAGTGTAAAAGATTTATAAATCTTTACAAATACCACAACCACAAAAGCTTTAGTAGGAATCCAAGTTTCTGTGATAAGCTATACTCCTTTCCCAAGGTTCACCATGTATCTGTTCTGCCCTGTAGTGTATGTAAAGTTTGTATGATCTAGCACGTTCTCATCAACATTATAACTAACAACAAAAATTAAGGGGGCTAATCTACTTCCTGGAATTGCATTTGATTAGCATGTCGGTTTTATGTCCATGAATTCTCGATATATAGAATCCGAACCAAAAGTTTTCCAACATTCTCCATCTCAATCCTCGTGGCTGAAATCATTTTCACGATAATATGTGAATTCTGCAGACTCCAACACACCCTGAATCCGAACGGAGACTCCCTTACTCTAATAAATTCGATAGAATCTCTTTCACTACAGAATGTTTGGCGTTTGTATGTTGCAATGAAAAAGTGTATACGCCCCTCTCAAGCTCATCAAATGTTGAAGCAGAAATAGAAGTAAAAGCAGTTTTCGCTTTCGTGAAGAAGATACATGCCTAATCATTGAAACAAGAATGCGCAGGAGCAGCGAACAGATATATACACCCTATATCGATCAACCAGTTAGTGACCGTGTCTTTGGTGAAACGAGAGTCATTACTAGTCACTATTACCGTAGGAACACCCTACAGACTAAAACCTTACCCTGATGCTCGTGTCGTGAAACCAGGCCACATAAAAAAGGAATCAATAACTACGATTGCATTGTATTTGCCAAGAAATGGACCACAGAGTTCATCATGAAGTCTTTACAAGGCCTTAGATGATACTGGACATACGCTCCACTTGGAAAGATGATTTTCCGGCTCATAACATCTTTCACAACTTTTCACTGTACGACACATATCTGCATTTATCTCAGACTACCAAAATGTGAGCTTTGTCAAGTATCCCATTTTCTCAAAACTCGAACTTCACAATGAAGATCTTCGTGGACAGATTTACTTGATGAAGGTGATATAACAACACGAACATTTAAAATCAAAATATCATCAGGAGATGTGGACAACTCATCTCTCTTCTATAAATATACAAGAAATCTACATTTCAGTTTAGCATTACGACCTTTCCGTGCATCACTGAATGTATGTCAGATGTATTGGTTAGTTTTTCCAAAGAGATCTGGATGTCTCACTAGTAAGGGTTACCTTAACAAATCCTATGCAATATTAATAGGTTTATCTCGTAATGGTTATTGAGAAATGTATTCAGTATGTTAAATTCATTTAACACTCCCTTATCGAATAGTACAGTTGTAAGCACTCACAGTAATATTTCATCGTTGAAACATGACAGCTGAAGAACGTTATAAGGATTTTTCCAGGTGATGAATAAATTTTGAAGCTTCATAAGCTGTGACAATAGTCAATTTCTTTAAAAGTCTTTTGACGACCCAAAACACGGCTAATACTTCTCGCAAAGTTTGTGAATGATATTGCCCAACAACAGTAAATTTGCATGAGACACAGGTTACTGGTCTACTTCCCTGCCTCCAAATTGCACCTATACCCACAGGTGATGCATTGGTAATAAGTACAGAATGTATGCTAGATGTTTCGGAGGTACTGCATTTGTCTGTGAAGCTAGTCACTTTATATTTGGTCCAAAACTGTTACCATTAACTAGGTTTTCAATACATTCAAAACAAGACTCACAAAACAAACACTTACTAGGATTTGCCCTAATATTCCTCTGCAATAAACGATGCAACAAAGCAATACGTCTCTGATCATGAGTTACCTTATCAGAACAGTGAATAATAAGATCCTCTTAATAGAAGCCAACACAGTCAAAATCACCGACTAAACCATCCATTACTTCCTGAAAAATGATTGGAGGAAAACTTGGACCAAATGGAGGGAGGTTTTATCCAGTCAGGCTAAAAAGAGTGTCAATTGTTGTCAAGATGAACGGAGATTGATCTAAGGGGGTTTGAGGATAAGCGTCCTACAAGTCAACTTTCGAGAACATTTCAAAACCATGAAATCGATTTCGAGTAGCTTCAGCTTCCACCATCGTGCATATATGCTCCGAAAAACGGGAGTTCAATGTTAATTTATAGTCACCACATATTCTAGGGCGCTTGCAATGAGACTTCAATGATCTAACAATAGACATATCCCATGCTGAAGAATGGATCGATTAAGTCGTACGTTTTGCACACAAATCATTCAATTTCTTATGTACTACCTATTGAAGACCTTAAGAAACGCTTTGTTTTTTAAAAAAAACTGGACCTTGTATTTGACAATTTATCGGCTGAAATCTCTTCCCTTCACTGCACTTAGCACGTTCGGTACTTAAGGTATGTATTAAAATCTTCTCCAGAAACTACTAAAGACAACTGCTGTTCCCCAAACTAAAAGCTCACAAGTCATATATGAAGAAATATAATCTCTTATTACCAATTCATAGCATCCCCGTATGGACCATTTGTATCCAGTAATCCTTAATATTGAGACTTCAGTTGGTTGTGATACAACGTCAGGATCTAAAGATTCCAAGATCTTGGATGAAATATTGGACTGTCTGTATCAACAATAAAGTCATGAAATGTACCAAGGGATGTATATTATCGTTTATGAATATAAAAACTTTTTGAAACTCGTGAATAAAAATAAATGTCACAATAAGCGCCCTATTTGGTAAAGTCAGAACTACAGTGTTTATGAACACTGGTGGCGAAACTAACAGTAGCTTTACAGCCCAACTTGATGCATTCCACTCTAACGCTCTTGAAGCATTTTACATGACGAAAGGCACATGAATTACCTAAGCAAAAGTTACCACAGGCTAAGCATTTATTAAACCTATGCTTACCTCAATAACCTGCCTTGTAATTATTTGTTCAGGCACTCTTCATATTCTCACGAGAGCAGGGACCATTATTCAACAAGCGAAAGCTTTGATGACCATGAAAAGGTAGCCCATCTCAGCGACAATCAAACAAGGTGTCGGAAATTCTCACCGACTGGAGATCGAATTCGTCCAATACCTCTAAGTATATATATTGCGTTTCAATTTCTCAAGATACAATTTTAAATTTTCGAACTAACCCTCTAAATTTGGAATATTTACCCCAGCAATCAACTGGCAAAATGTAGAAGCAACTGCCAAGATACTCCACATCCTCTTCAGTAAGATTTGGGATGAAGAACAAGTACCAATAGACTGGAAAAAAGGA